GGTAGCGACTAACTAAGAGAGAGCCATACCTAGAGTACACCATGCTACACGAGTTGCAAGGAAAGGATTATACTGCGGCGTTAGTTTGTGGCATTGGTAGGAAATTGTCTTCTATATCGTTTCGAAGCAACTCCGGCTTGGAAAATGGGCGTGTGCTTGGACTCGGCTCTTTGGGTAGATCATAACAAGTGTAGTTTCAATTCACTTGATCAATTTAGCACCGACGCAAACAACGGCGTTCAAATTTAACCTGCACCATGATTGCACAAATTTTGATTCATCTTGAAGGCGATGGAAATGTAAAGAAAATACAGAAATAATCCCACATGCGTATGTGGCCGGACATTCGTTATTCTTGCGTTTCTATATACTGTGGGAATATATGCAGATTTGTACACATACACACATAGAATTTATGTATCTGAATTAAGACATATATAAGTATGAAAGTACACAGCATTTTGCTTTTTAGGTGGTAAACTGAAAATTTTTGTTTTTAAACTGTTATACTTATAAAGACAATGCGAAAAGTTGTAGAGCCTCCGACAGGGGGTGGTTATGTGCTAAAAATCATACACATAATACACTCTCACATACATACACACGTCGAAAAGTATAACTGTATGTCTTGTCGGACACACAACTTCACACATATACAAAAACACACACATGCTTCGAATGGACGGAGTAAATAGTGTGACCATCGTCCTGCCCGTGTGCCTTCATCTTTCAATTCACGCGAAAATTTCCTTCGCCGATATAGCGCTGTTGGGTGTGAGTATAAGTGGTTGCTAGTGACAGCGGGCAGGCGGAAAGTATGGGTACAAGCGAATCGAGTTTAGTTGGGGACGACGACGACGACGACGACAACGACGGCGGCGGCGACGACGACGACGACGACGACGAATTCGTAATTGTGCGCACACACACACACACACAGAGACATCTACGCACCAACACCAAGTCACTTTAGAAAGGCGTTGGCGGATAGAGGAGGGAAAAGGGCGTTTTGGTAGCTGGCCATCCTCAGCGACATATCGGCCGACGTATGGACTATGGACGAAGAACGTTTACTACAGCAGCTGGCAAGGAGCTGGAGATATAAGAGAAAGTTCGACACGGAGTGCGGGCGAATGAAAATAGAAAATTCGCCTTAGTGGACAATGGCCTCTCGGTTTAGTCAGTCGTTTGGTAGGTATTGTTGCTTGGTAGGCTGCTCGCCTGGTCAGTTGGTTGGTATGTCCGACGTAGGTATTCAATCCTGGATTCCATCCGATGGAAGGGAGTATCGGCGACGAAAATCACAAGTGTACATATATATGTAGTATATAATATATATATATATATATATATATATATATATATATATATATATATATATATATATATGTATATATATATCTATATGCGTAGCGATAAAACAACTTTAAATTTAGGAAAAGCCAAAGATGCTCAAATGAGTACATGTACATGTACATATGCCTATGCATGTGTTCTGCCTACGGATAAACAGAGTCAATTTCGCCACATGGAAGCTGCGTCTGGCGTTTAAGCAATGTGAATATGAACTTATTGTCCATGATGCTTGTATGATTATTTCAGCTGTGTTTTTGGCTCTTACTTTTCGATTTTCTGTTGTCTATATCGTTGTTGCTTTTCTGAGCTTTCTGCGCTATAATCGAATATTTCTTATGAAAACTGAATAAGATCATTGATTACTCATATTTAAATTTACTCTCAACTACTAAAATAAAATTCAACTGATGTTTACCCTTAAAGTCCTTCATTTACAATAATAAGAAAAAAAAATAAATATATATATATATATATATGAAATATATTTCGGCTCTATTAAAATACTATATAAATATTATATATTTTACAGGCTAACTTCAAATGTGATGTATATCCCAATCCACTAAAGCCTATATTTTGAATCCTAGGATTCCAAACTTTGCTGTGTGGAATACGATTGACTTCTATATAAGTTTTACAGTCTTCCACTTTGGCTTTGAAAGCAACGTTCTCAGATTTATAAACAAGTGTACCAATTTCGAAATTTACTATTTGACTGCTAAACAACAAATTATTAGTACTTTTTAAGATTAATATATACAGCTAAATTTAGTAAGCGAAACTAACAAATTTCACACAGCAAAAAGTTTTATGAAATTTTTAAGTATCCTTAGTTTTAAATACTAAAAAAAGGATAAGCAAAAATAAACATATAACTTTAGAAACTTTTCAAACCAAATCAAACATGTTCGCAAATTATTCTCAAATTATATAAATTTATGTTATTTATAAAATTAGCTAAAATTATTCTACTGCATTGCTTTTATTGACTTATCCAGATAGGAATAATACTATCTCGTATATAAATTTATTAAAGTTTTGGGCCAAAATATTAACTTTTGAAGTCAATTTTTTCTTTCAATGCATAAAATGTTATTAATTAAAAGGTATATTCATCTAATTATCCTAGGCAAATATATGTGATTTAGTTAAACATATGCATCGACCGACCCTTGTTTTTGAAGAGACTGCGTTCAACTTAATTTTATAAAATATATATAGGTATATCTGTGTAAGGAAGATCAAAAGTGATATATAATTATAATCAATAGTGATGGACTGCCAGACATAAACCCATTTAAACAAGTATGCAACAAGTAGGAGCTCTCTAGTTGAGACTGCTCGACTAGAAAATACCCTAAGCCAATCATTATACTCACACACACACACACACATAGACTTTACGCAGCGTCTGCGCTAGGGATAAGTATGGGCTTTGCAATGGGAACTTATTGGTTGAATAACTTTTCTTCTCCATGGAATTTCTTCATCATCATCAAATTTTTAAAACATGACAATAACTTTGTATAATAACTGTATTTGAAATCTTTTCACGCTTAAGAAACGAAGTCAACTTATCGATTTTTATCGAATGGGATGAGTTATCGAAATAAATGATAAAACACTTGTACTGCGATGGTATACATTTATTCTTTGGCTTTTGTGGTTTACGAGATCGCTGCGGTCATACGGAAGGACAGACACTCAAACGGACACACGAACAGGGCTAGATCGACTTATCCTGTTCAAGAATATATACATTATGACGTATCCCTCTGCCTGTTGCATACATTCTCACAAAAACATTATACCCCGAATTCCCATTATCAATGGACTCATCAAATAAAAAAAAAACGAAGAACGTTGCATCCGTAACCAACTGACTGCATAGTACTCATTCACGATCCAATAACAGCTGAATAAATGCTTTACAGGTGACGCCTAATTATTTTGCAATCCCATTAACACCTCTTTTTATAACAAAAATATTAAAAATATAGAATGGGTGACTGACAACTTACAATAAACAAAGAGCAACTGTCCCGATAAAGATAAAAACAGCATATCAATAAAAAAGATAACAGTACAACAGCACATTAAGGGATTAAACAGAATGCATCCCCTATAAATATTGCCCGTTGTGTGATATATTAAAATACTATATCTTCAAGAGACTTCCCCCTAACTCTTCTCGACCAACTGGTATTAGTGATCAACCGTTGTTTGCCATACTTTCAAAATATAAATATAAAGGACAAGATATTGTATAGCGGCTATTTACCAATCCTGCACCCCGCCAACAAATTTAAACATATACACAACCTCGCACTTTGCCAAAATTGAATACAGCATTCGATTTCGCTTGTATTTGCGGTGGTTAGGTTTTGCTTTCTCGACGCATGCATCTATCCATCCATCCATCCATCCGGCCGAAATAAAAAACTTCAAATATACATACACGCATAACTAAATGCATACATGTACACATCAACTTTTATATAGGTATCTGCATATGTGCACATTCACACACACATATCCGCATAGAGCAAGATTTGAATATATGACCAAAAGAAAGTAGGCCTGCTGCTGTTGCTGCCAAGAAGGATGTGCTCCCCGCAAAGCCGACCGCCCGAACGCCCGACCAACCAACCGCACGAACATTGCGTCGTCGGCCTCGTCGTCAACGTCTATGTGTCTGAATTGCGTGCAAATATATGTATATATATATGCATATATACATATATATATATATATATAAATATACATGTATATATATTTATAAATATGTATAGGTATGTGTGTGTGTGTCCAGCCTGTCCCTGAGCACGGCCAGTGCCTGTTGTGCGGCTGGACGATGCCAGCGTAAGCGGCAGCGAGAGCACGCTACGTCTTCGCTGCCGTCTTGGCCGTTATTAATCATTGTACATTGGACTGTCACCGAAAACGGCCGCGAATACGCCAACAGCGACAACGGGTAGAGAGCGAGAGCAACGGCAACAACGCAAACAGACACACACACACAGTCAAACACACGCGCGCACACACACACAAAGTTTTGAGCAAAGGAACAGAATAACGACAACAAAACTGACCATACGAGTGTAAACAAACTCACATGTGTACTCATTCGCTCACTCACTTACACACTCATACAGCTGTACGTACGCACGCACACACATACACGCACGTAAAGAGCCGCCGCGCTCAGGAGAAAATACTCGTGGTACGGAAATTCGCCGCGCTAAAATCAAAATTCGCTCACGATTTCTGCGCTCGCCGTCTCGCGGTAGTTTGTCGTCGGACGCTTGCTGTTCAGGTTCGCAGGACACTGTTGGACGGCATAGCGGTCACATCCTTTCGACAGCCGGTCACTCAAACACGGTGTGCACTGTCGCGGCTTATTTTCGCGACTTTGTTCACATATTCGGAGTTAATTGAAGAATTTCGAAATAGATTTCTGCAATTGCGCAAAATAATTTAGTTTTACAAACTATGTTGTGCTTCCATTTATTAAAAATATAATTAACATATTATATCAAATTAAAACAAAAACATCAAGGATTTTCTGTGACAATATTTGACAAAAACAAACCTAAAAAAGCACGTTTGTACTTTTCAATTATACACAATAGTGAAAAGCTAAATATTAGTGACTGTGTTTTACCCAAAAAAATAATACATTTATTTTATATCGCCGAGTATAGTCGGTTGATTCCATAAACATTTCCTGCTGAGTTGCTCAAAAAAGGTTGGTATAATATTCCATACATTTTTTTATTGAAACTAAGTGCTAATCAGATACCTGAGTATTGACATATCTATCTTTAACTGCTTGAACATCAGTTAAAGCTTAGGCATAAGTGCAAACTAAGCTTACAACTTCCACAAACAAACAGACGCAACAAAGTCATTTCACGTGTTGTGTTAAGGATATATATATATACTTAAGAGATATGAGAATGGTCTACGTTAATCTAACTGTAAAAGCTGTATTTTAAAGCTTATCTCTTTTATAAGTGTTATGCATATAATTATCGAGACGTATAAATACTTTTATTATTCCCAATCTATTCGGCAATTAACCAATGAGCTTAACCTGCATGGTAAATTTCCTAAATAATTTATAATTTATATATTTTTTTATTTATAAAAATAATATTTATAGCCTTATAAGTTATATAACCTTCAATTTTTAGAACAAAAAAGATCGCAAAGCATGCCTTTATTATGTAATTTATTTACACTATAAATATTGAAAATAACTAACTTATTACAAAGTTGCCCTACATAAGATATTTGGCTTCAATAGCAGTTTTGTTATCGATGTATATCTATTTGGTTGATTTAAATTATAAAATTTTGCCACTTAACAGACTTAATCTAACCGAAACTAAAAAAGATTGTATATAGGAGCTAATTGTAGCATATATGAATATAAGTATTTAAGTTTTTATTGTAAGAAACCTAAATGAAACATAAAACAGTCTATTTATTGCGAAACAAAATTATACAATAAAATCGAACTTTTATACCGATAAATAAATAATTATTCAAACAATAATTCATACAAACTGCATTTAATTCCACGTAAATAATAACAACTTCATTCCATTGAAAAAGTACCAAATACCGAAAATGTAATTCTATAAACCATCCTAAAAGGAAGAAAGCATTAAGCATTTCCCGCACCCATTATCTAATTCAAGAGGATCTCAGTTAGATAAAAGAAAAATAAAGTTATGTTATTTTTAAGAAATAATGTAGAATTAATTATTTTATAAAAGATATCAACAAATAACTTCACGTAAGGTGTTCATAGAGTAAGAAAATCGTTCAAATATACGATATATTTTTTTAATTATAGCTATGCATAAATCGTTAAGAGTTGGGGCTTTATCGACATTCTCCAACAGGTGATTCCCACACACAATAATACATAATATATAAATCTGCACTTGGTGGGTAACAGACACAACAAACTTTTTTATATTACTCTTTAAGCCATTTTATTCGTTTTTCGTTTTTCGTTTTTGTGTTAACCCAAACAGACATAGACTAATACACACACGCATACACACACACAGTCGAAAAAATCATTCATATCATTGAGTATTGTTCCCACAATTTGCACATACTTATCCTCAAATGTATTAGTACACTCAGAGTAGTTTCTGTCGTTGACCTGCATTCAGCAGACTCTGCTGCTATGTCCTGTGTGTCCTGTCTCCCACCTCCTACAATCCCACACAGTCAGAGTCTGTGTCTGAATAAGTTCGATACGAGGCCAAAGCGACGATAAAAATAGTAAATACAATAAAAATTATAATTGTATATAGGAAAATCACATGCTTTAATACACATACACACACACATACAGATGGATATATATATATAATAAATAAGCAGGCTGCCGGCCGGCCATTATTTTTATTTTTATATATTCGTCTGCAGCGAGGAGTATGTAAGAAAGTTTAGTGTTTACGTATGTAAGTATGTAACCAGACACATCCACAGACGAACTCTGGCTCTCACTAATACAGACAAGCCATAGACAAACTTACTGTAATTCTTTTATATACACATATATTTCTTTCATCTTTTTCTGTTGTTACCAGATTTTTTTCATGCACTGTCCCAGTTCGGTTCATGAAAAGTTTAATGGCACGTTGGGAGTGTGGACTTTTCGAAAGAGAAAGTAAGAATTCTTTTGCTTTAGCTTTTGCTATGGCCACTGAATGGTAGAAGACCTTGCAATTTTTATACAGCTGTAAAAGTTTTATTCGATATGTGTGTTTGGTGGCATCTGGGGGCAGTAGGCAGCCCACAGCCACAGCCACAGCCACAGTTATTTACCACTCCATTGGCTATGAGTGTCCATGTCTGGGTACACGATTCGCACAATTATGCACCTACATTCATGTTTACACTATGAATGTGTGCATGTGTGCCTGTGTGTGTGTGTGTGTGTGTGTGTGCAGAGCAATATATATACACACATCTCTATGTAATTGAAATGAAGGTTAAGGACATGACCAAGTAAAGCCCCCGCCCCCCAACGCCACACAAGTCGATAATAAGTTATTAATTTTGCTTAAGGAAGATCAGTATCGTGGCTCGCATAGTCTTAATGTATTTGTGTCTACTAAGAAATAATAACAATAATTTGCCATAAGCATGTTAATAATATATTTAATTTGGTTAAAATTTGCATATTAACATAGTTGAATGAACATTTGAAAGTATTTAATAACAGATCACAGCCATTTAATTAACTAACTTATGTATATTCACATACAAGCTGATAAAGACTACGCAATCTTGGCGTATACGTATACTATATATATACATACATACACATATACATATACATACATACAGACATGTAGGTAATTAGCTAAGACGCCCACGAGAAACAAGGACTGCAGCCTCTTGCGTGCACACTTCTTGTTCTTACTCTTCGATGCCTTGTCCCTCTCTTAAGCATTGCTCTCTTTAGTTGCATACTCTTTGTTGACTCTTATAGCTTTCATACTCACACACGCAAGTCGAACACGTCCAGTGCCGTCTTGCTTCTCAAACTTTTGTTTTTGCACGTATGTTGTGTGGCTTTGTATACATTCAAAGGAAAGAAATCATGTGTCAGTCATGCGCAAAACGTGTTTTTCATTTTAAAATCGCGTGTCCCGCTCCTTCAAATGGCAACAGCTAGTGGACAAGCTCCTTTGCATGCCTCGCACTTGTTAGCTGAGACGGAGGCGGAGCATACAGCCATTCGCTTGGCTTCCAAGATACCGACGGCCAGCCATCATCTCGAGTCTAACCCACTTAAGGCCCGAATTTCGAACTCAGGCTTCAGACCTGGCTTGGACGAGCAGTGCTCATTCTCAACTTGCACCTGCCGCCGTCGCCGCCACTGCCGCATCTGGGAGGGGGCAACGCAACAGGCTGTAACTGATTGAGCATGGGGTCACTGCTACTGGATGGGGATGTTTTTGCTAGCAAGCAAGCCAGCGAGAGCTTCTCACGACAAACATGATGTTGTCGTGGCCGTTGTCGTTGTCGTACTCCGTATGCACGAAGGCAGGTAAACAAGTTATAAATCGTGTGCCTCGTGCGCTCGGCTCCAACTCGTGGAACACCCGACGGTGACGACGGTGACGTTGGCGAATGGTTTATTCTTGTTGCTTATTCGTAGATTCTCGCGGTACTATGTCTGTGTGCTGCAATTTGGAGCAGGCGCGAACTCAACGCACCAATTAGCATATTCCATTGTCTCTATGTGTGTGTGTGTGTGTGTGTGTGTGTGTGTGTGTGTTTGTGGCTGTGTGTGTACGTATTTGTACGTCCCAGGCCTTTTCATTTTTGGCATTGCTGCGACCTCGTCGTCGTCGTCGTCACCGTCGTGTATGGCTTTTAGTGGCGTGGGGGCGTGCCACAGCTCTTTTCGCCGTGAAGATACAGCGCTGGAGCGGTAGCATACTTGATGTCTGTATTGGTATATGTGAGCGCTCAGCTTTGTATGCATGTGTATGTATATAGTATATTCGTGGGTTGAGTATGAGTCCCGTTTATTTACATCTACCTCGCGAGCTGTCCGTAAAACTTTAAAACGCGACGCGATTTTATTGGAGCTTCGTGCGAATGTGCGACTCGCCCTTGCCGTCCTAACGAACGTCCACAACAACCCCAGCAGAAAGTACATGGCGCGCGCACAGAGTATTCGCTCTACATATGTATATAGCATGTAGTTGCTCTTGGCGAATGGAAACGCATTATTTTTGGCTATGTGCTGCATTCATTATATGCGTACCATGGATGCGTATGCGTCTTAAGTGTGTCACAGCCACAGTAATTAATTTAAATGTTTTTCCTCATCTTCTTGTTCTTTCTTTCTTTCTTGCAGAATCCAAACTGTTTGATAACGGCTTGAAGTTGGATATTTCCAGCTATACCCACATGAACATACGCATAGGCACAAAGGGCAAGCGGCCGTTGCGTAGCTTGACCCCCCGCGACAAAATTCATGCGATACAGCGCATCCACGATGGTGAATCCAAAGCCTCGGTGGCCAGGGATATAGGTGTGCCCGAGTCAACTCTACGCGGTTGGTGCAAGAACGAGGACAAGCTACGGTTTATGTCCCGCCAATCGGCAGCCGACAAGATGTGTGCCGATTCGCTGGTGGATAAGCTGGATGGCTCCAGCAGCTTGTTAGGGCCACCCGAAAAGCGCCAACGTTTAGAAAACACCCTGCCTCTAAATTTTTCTAATAAAATGAATTTCGACGAGCTTGCTTTCAAGCGATCGCCCCTTAATGGTTTGGACTATAGTACAAATAAAAGTCTATCAGAAATGAACTACAACGGACTACCAGTTGATTATGTGGGATTTAACGGAGCGATCAAAAACAAAGTTTTTGGCGCAGATATATCCCGCTCCGGACCTTCTGATCCGTCGCTAAACGCCATAAGCCCTCTATCGAGTCTCACACATCTGTCTGGTCTCACTGGCATATCGCAATCCCCGCTAGCAATCAGTTTCAATGAGCTGACCTCAAACCTTAATCTGCTGGCTCAGCTAAACCCCGGCTTGGCAGCTATGTCAGGATTAAACAATTTTGCAGCAACAGCCAACACATTACGCAACCCAAAGCCGAGTGCCCAGCCGCAGCAACAAGTACAGAGCCCACACAGCGACAACGGCGAGCGGGAACGCACTCCAGCGCTATCCGTCAAGAATTGGGCAAAGCAGAAGCCATCAGGGACGCCCTCCGCAACTGGAGACTGTGACATGAAAAACGGCAACATGAAGAGTCCCAGTCCCAAGCTTGCTCCTTCACTCGTTGGCTGTGTTGCGCCGTTGTCAGGTCTGCCCGACGATCCTCTGCTCTACTGGCTTAAGTCGCAGCAAGCAATGCTGGGACTGAACAGTCTGTATCCACCACCTCCGGTAGCATTAGGTGTTACAAGTCCACCAATTCGCTCCTCAACACCACAGCAGATGAATCAATATTCTAATACTCCACCAGTTCCATCCACCCCATTGGCTCCCGCATCACCGGCTCTCGGAAGCTTGGATGACAAGAGCTCGGCATGGTATAACTGGTGCAAAGCGTTTGGCGCCAGTCTGCACTCACTCAACCCGAATGCGGCAACACTGGCAGCGTTGCAAGCGAACTCACTACAACATCAAGCAGCATCGACTACCGCAGAGACCACGAATATGGAGGATATCGTTAAGCAGCCGTTTGACAACATTTTATACTCGCAATTAACAAAAGAAACTGGATCGCCGTCGGTACGGAGCCTCTCGTCTAACGATCATAATCAAACTGAACAAAACGAGGCGGCCACAGATCTAGAGGTAGCGCCTGAAGTCTCCGGCAAACCAGAGGACTTGTCGGCCAAATCTGTCAAGTCAGCGAGCTCTTCCACAAGTCCGACCATGGCCTCTCCGAATCGCGTTGCCAATAGTCGTGATCACAGCCCTGAGCCGAGCACTGGAGTAAACAGTCAATCGGCGATAAATCCTTGTAGCACAGAGTTGAACAGCACCCCAGGCAGTGTTGGTGAGGATTGCAAAAATGTTCTCAGCAACATCATCTACAAGATCGGCAACATTGCAAACACAGACACATCCCAACATCCCCCCACGCCTGTTAGCCCTGAGCTGGGCTGTGACTCAGAAACAAGCTTCAACAGTGATACGCATCCTCACAATAATAATGACGTCAGTGCCAGTAACAATAACAACAATTCCAATAAGACCGACGAGGAAGAGCGCGCCAAGTACGTGGATTATGCAGCCGAAATCGAAGAAGTAGTAGCTATTAGACACGGCGAAAAGTTCCTGCAGTGGCTCGAGAACTGTAGCAATCCACGCGTCACAGCCGTTCAACTGATGCAACTCAGATTCCTGATCGCAGCTATTAAGTCGAGCAGTGATACGCAGGGCGCGTCTAGGTCCGCTGACAATTGCCACAATGAAAATGAAGACAATTCTCATGAGGATACAAGCAGAAACAAGTCCCGTCGTCGTAAATAGGATAAGCCGAAGTTGGCACCTTTGGAGCCAGCCACGGATATTGCTTCAACGGCGATGGGGCAGCAGAAAGACATCGACACCGAAGGACAGAGCTGCAGCTTAACAGACTTGAGCTCACACCCAGATCTGAGCTGTGCAATTGGCGTTGAACCGCTCAATTCACTACCAAGCAGGTGCCAGCAGTTCGCTCCAGCTGTCTACCAATCATCAGCTACCCTTCTCAGCTCACTGATATTTCCTCCCTACGAATTTGTACACTGTGACCTCGATGACGACCCAGACGACTGTCAAATAACGGGCGAATACCAACAATCGGATGAACTCAGTTCCAGTAGTGACGAAACTGTACAGAAAGACTTAGAATAACTAATTTCTTCCGACCCATTAAATATCAATCTTTATGTACGATGCTTAAATCATAGACTCAAAGCTGATCTTGCTCCACGAAACTAATTTTTGTGAATTTTACCATCTTCATTAGATCAGATCGGATGTTTTCGTTTCCAATTTGCAATTCATTTTTCTAACCTAATAAATCATGATATTAAATAATATTTATAATAAGGTATAAAATATGTAAATATGAAAAAGTTTTTAATTGGATCTTGTTTAATTGTTTATTTGCCTTTCAAACACTTTTTGAATGTTTTTATATATACTAGAAAAATGTTGCATCCTTTCACTCTTCAGTTGAGTATCTTAATATAATAAGTAAAAGAATAATTAATGGTGGAGACAGTCAATCATATGGATTTGATATTAGTTACTTTTTATTATTAATACAAATACTCATGCAAATAATTAAATGAAAATATTTGCTAATAAGAATTTTATCAACTTAAATCCGTACAATATGAATATAAAATAAATTTAAAAATGTAGACGTTTTAATTTTAAAACCTTGTTTAATAAAACATTCGAATTAGACAATTTTTATGAAACAAATTGACTATTTCTTGAAGAGCCTAAAAAGTATCTTTGAAACGTTGAGTTGCCAGCAGAGTCGAGAAATACTCGAGTCCGCAGTGGCCAACTGGCTACGACACCACTAGAAACCAGGATACCAATAGGAACATTGTTAATTGCTATAAGGATGGAAAATGGTATGTAAGGGATTTGCTAATCATAACAAAAAGGACATCAATAAAAACAGCTTTGATGAACGTTTCAAATTATGAATTAAGCATAGAGAAAACTATGACTTAAATTTCATAATCTGTGGGCATTTTACGATAAGGTGACTTAGCATTCGCAATCGCTATAAGGAGAGATGACATCGTGGACTTAAGATGCTTTTCAGTGTTGATTCAAAATGTTTGTATTTGTATTCATAGCTACTAGAGGCAGCTGTTTCGATATCGCATTAGGAATCAAGTCTTCAAATTGATAAGATCTATAAAATAGAGATATATTTTGAAATAATTGTTCACGCTATATTCATACTCATTCAGGCGAAGTGAAAGAGTATATTTGTCTTGTCTGTTTCTTTCTAAACTGTATGTTTTAGAGCTTAAACTTCCATATTAGGCATGTGTGTTACTGTTATGTGGACCAATGCTCGTGGCATATCAGATATGACTATATATGGTGTTGCTGTTAGAAACTTGAAATTGGGATTATATACAGAGGGGAAGTGGCAAGCCGCAAAAAGATCCTTTCCAGTTTTATAGCTGGAAAGATCGATTATTGAGTTACTGTTGACCTCCTCTATCGATTCACCAAAAGAAATCGACGTGTGCCATATGAATATATGATATGTGACATATCAATATATGCAGCTCTGAAGTCTCTGACCACAAATTTGACAGTTGCGTTAGAGAAGATTTCTTCCAAGAATTGATAACAAATTAAAATTACAGGAAATCGAGGCTTAGCAAATGTTTCTTCCAAAGTTTTGGAGCTAGCAGCGTTTAGACCGGAAATGAGTATTACGTAGTCGGCCCGACTGCAACATTCTTACTTGTTTTACCAAGTGTTCAACATGCACTTTATTAATATAACTTATGTCTCATTTTTTCCTTATGTACACACATTAATTTTATTACACCTGAACCCACTGAAAATGGGAAATCAGGTGTGGGTGACCACGAAAAGTTCGTACACTCTTGATTTGGTCGACGATCTGAGTCGATTTAGCTCTGTCCGTAAAAGAGCTGAAGACTTGACTCCGTGTATACCACGCGCATATCAAGTTTATTGGTATCGATCAAAAACATTATTGAAATGCAGTTGCTTTATATACTGTGCCTCCTCCTTGCATGTGGTTATGCATACCTTATACAATTTTCGAATTTGTTATATTTTTGATAACGGCTCCCAATTTCCAAAAATTCTTTAAATTTAATTTCAGTTGCAATTACGGCCCATTCGTGAAAAAGTTTGCATTTTTAATAACGGACTAGTACTCCAATAGAACTTGTTCATCATACTTTGAAAATGTCATTGAAATTGGCTAAGTCACACAGAGGTTATTAATCAAAAGGTTTTGCAAATTAGCCAATGGATGTGGGAAGAAGTGCCAAGCTTACTCAATTTTGTTATAAATGTGCGCACATACATTAAAATGCGAATATTCTTTTCTTTTTGTTTTGAAGAATTGCAGTTGCAAAACCGAATCGAATCGGCTAATGTAAGCATCGCAGATAGTTATTTTCTCCGGAATATTGTTGTCTTATGTTGACATCACTATTGCAGACATACATGCTCCGAATTGATGCCCTAATGGCACTAGTATCTAAGTTACGTTATATATATATTATACGGTACAAGCAATAAATTCTTAAATTTGTACAATTTTTTGAATGAAATAACCGTTGTGGAATGTTGTGGAAGGCTTTCGGTGGCCAAGCTCGATCAATAACAAAAATATTTGATCAGTACAAAATGTCCAAAAAAGGCAGATAACTCATTGTATACAGGGCGACCTTCCACATCAACTGATGAGCAGCAAGTCAATGAATTAGTGATAGAAAACCGTTAATTGATAAGAGAAGACAGAGATGAATTGTCATTTCGAAAGATTCAGTCAACGACATTTTGAATGTTTAGATCTGTTGTAGATCTATGCGAATTTTGCCTACGCACTAAAAGCGTATTTCGGGTACTTCATTTATTGGATAATAAAAGAGGAATCTAAGATAGGATTGAAGATCATTTCGGAAAATTGCTGTTTGGAATACAACAATAAATAATACTTTTATTTTATGACACATTTCTAAGAACTTTTTGGTCACAATTGTATATAAAACAACTAAGAAAGCTCTAGTCGGGGTGCCCGACTGGGAGATACCCTGATCCCAGTTTATTAATACATTCCGTAGTTTGTATCGAGTATTCAAAATAAAAAGAAAACAAATAAAAAACGACATTACGAGACCAGGATTCGAACCCGGACTGTTTGCGCATCGTGCACCAACTCTACCAACACCGCCACTTCATAATTAAAAATAAAAATAAAACAATACAAAACAATTCATCTCCAGCGGGCTCGAACCCTGGAATTAGCTGCAAACGAGCGCCGTCTCTACAAACGCCTTCACATAATGGCCCTAGTTCCAACTAAACTTACATTTTAAGAATTTGGGGAAATGTGGAGCCCGTATCCAAAATCCAACAAAAATCAAAATTGCATAAAATATACATAAAACTAAATACAACATTTGGAGGCTCTAGTTCTTAAGACTTCCGAGATATACTTTATTAACTGCATTTCAATCATGTTTTTATTCGATAACAATTAAATGCGAATAATAATAATAATAATAATAATTAATATCGAATATTTGAAACAAATTCGATATGCGCGTGCTATACACGGACCAACAAAAAATTTCAAGTCTCTAGCTCTTATAGATATTGAGATCCACGCATTCACACATACGGACAGACGGACAGACAGACAGACAGACAGACAGACTGACAGACAGGGCTCAACCAACTCGGCTTGTCGTCCTGATCAAGAATATATATACTTTATGGGGTCTGCCACGCCTCTTTCTGCCTGTTACATATATTTGCACAAAACCATTATACCCTGATTACCCATTTTCAATGGGATCAGGGTATAAAAACAGCGCCTTAACGGGCGGAAAACTCCTGGAAAAACTCTCCCTCTCTTTAGAGCAAAAACTCCTTCATTTGGAAAGTTAGCTAGTAGCAACCTATCTGCAGAGACTCAATCACTGTATACATGGCTCCTAGTCTTAGAGCTAACCTTTGAGATAACTGTTGATCTATAAAATACACGTCCCGTCAAAAGTGCATGGCAAATATGGATTTTTAATCAATTTCGCGATTGTTGAAAGTAAATTACTCGGGGGTGACATGAACTCAATGCAATTTCCTTACTCAGTTTATTGATATTGATAAGGCCATGTTTTCCAGCATAAATAGCTGTAAAGTGGCAGTGCCCAATTTGGTATATATTATCATGATAAGTTCTAGAAACATAATCACACAATAAATACTTCGATTCGTGCTGTGTTTAAAGTATCTCGTCAGAGGTCAAACTTCTTTTGGGGTCTAAACCTTTGAAATTGTAGAAGGTATCGTACCATATGCAGTTAGGAATATATCAACTATATAGTTTATGTAGTGGACACAGATGACACTTTAAGCTAGTAAGCCCAGTTCTATGGCTGCGCACTGAGTAGTTTAGTAATCGTATGGGAATATTAGTTTCTAGTTCCCGGACAGACTTCTTTTGTTTATTTATCCTATTGCACAGTGTAGTACGAAGGGGAAAAGGCTTACCAAATTGGTTTCATCTTCCATTGGTTCATATTGAACAAAGTCAGCAACAAACTTTGCAATTTCTTCAACATTTGATATTAGCTCTGGGTAAGCAAATGCTGTCGGCCTTATTGTGGTGCATACGAACTTCTGAGGGAATTGATGTTTCAGATATTCAGTATGGCATGTGATCTATGAGTTAATATTGGATAGCAATTACCTGTACATTACATTCGTTAGGCAGGGCTAGCACCATGGCACGACGGCGGGGATAGTTCAAGACGAATTGCCTGCGAAAGTTTTCGGCATAGAGCAGGAGGAGTCTCTCCTTTGGAGATAAGGTGTAGTATGATGGTGGATAGCATTGGGGACTGTCTTGGAACTCTTCCCTTGTCTCGGGAAATGAAAGATCAATTCTTCCAATCTGCGCAGCTGGGTCCCCTTCAGATAAGCTGAACTCGCTTTCCACATTTTCAAATTCACTGAATTCTTCTTCGCCCTCTTCTTCATATCCAAAGAACATGTCCAGCTCTTCCGCGTTCCGTTCTTCGATTTCTTTGAGCTTGGCAGCGTGTTTGTTCGGGTCTATGACACCCGGGGACTTTTTGTTTTTTTGAAATTGTAATTTCGACATGCTGAAGCTCTTTTCTTTTCTGTTTTATGCTTTATGCTTTCTGTTCGCAATAAAATTTTGCTCTGTTGCTATAACAACGTTATCCCTTTCAAAATGTTGATGTGACTTAACAGTGGAATGAATAAATTCAATTTATGCACTGCTTGTGTTTCTACTTTGACAATTGAAACAAGGTAAGACGAATACATCATTCACTCCAATCAAACGTATCATATAGTTTACGCACTGCTTACATTTTACTGCTTGAGTCTAACTATAGTTGGGCTGTTAGAACTGCTTTCTTTCTCACTGCTTGAGTTTGACTACTGTGACAATTGAAACACGGTAAGATGCACATACTGTATTCACTACATATAAAGGTAACATATAGCTGTACGTACTGCTTACATTTTACTGCTTGAGTCTAGCTATCTTGGCAACAGAAACTAGGTAATAAGAATATACAGTATTCACTACGTAAAGTGGCAACATATAGCTGTGCGTATTGTTTGCTTTGTCACTGCTTGAGTTTGACTACATTGACAACTGAAACAAGGTAAGATAAATATACAGTATTCACTCGATACAACGGTATCAGAAATCTTAAACATACGAAAGATACCGCTTTTTCTGAGGTCTGCTGATTTTTCAATGTTTTTAAGATGCTGGAAAATATTTATCTTTCGTGATCTGTATGTAGCATCCTCTTAGCATATTTAAAATAGCTTGACTAAGATTTCTATATCCATACTTATAGTAAGTATTGCTGTTGACAAATGATTTGCATTCGGTTATAATAAAAATCCTTAGTTAACAAAAATTTTTACTACACTACACTTTAATTGGTCTTTTAACTTTTAAGATCTGCAAAATTTTAAGATGTGTTAATATTGATTAGAAGCCGATAATATAGATAGATATCTAAGATTTTAAAAAAAGTTAACAACTATTTGATCAACATTGGCAGCACTGGAAGTACCTACATTTATATGTATAAGTATACATTTATAAAATGAGAAAATTGGGACATCTACAATGGGCAATAGGTGGCGGATTATCACAGTTTTGCCTTGCAGAATAAAAGTGTCGCCATCTACGAAATGTATAGGAAACGAATGTTTGTCAAGGTAGGCTTCAGCTTTGGACGGATTATTAAATTCTTTCGTTCAATTGAGTCAGTAAATTCAACAAAATTCACAAATGCAGCAATATATCAAGTAAATAGTGCGATGTTAGCAAATGGACAATGGTTTATTATTGCTTGGAAAATGCTTTTCGAAAAAGGGAAATTGTAAACAAGAGTAAGTATTCCACATTTTGTTTTGTTGGGTTTCGTAGCTCTAGTTCTTAGCAATCAAGAGTGAGATTTTTATTTTGTTTAATTTTCAGCAATTCAGAAATTATTCTTAAATTACAAATAATGTTTATTCAAGCTATTATATAATAGGAAAATCGCCGGTGACTTCGAAAATTGTATATTTGATTTTGAGCTCGAGTGCCGTATCAATAAGCATTTTTAGTGTTGCCAAAGAACAACTCCAGCGGAGTTGCCCGTTCGCATTGACCAGGGACTGAAAAGACGTCGGTACGTAGGGACTTACGACCTCAGTTGATATATCACAATATCAAATTGAATTGATTGTAATCGTATCGAAGAGTTGTTCTACAGGATTTTAGACAACTTCAAGTTGGCCTAAGGTAATAGTCATCGAGACTATATTCACTCGCCTGAAATGTGATCAGCTAACTTGCGAGTAAAATATTAAGTGGTTGCCAGCAGTCATTGATGTGCTATTCCAAGACTGCTTCGATGGTCATGTCGGATGCATCACAAGTTAATACTAGACTCGCATCAGGTGCAGGGTGACCTAATGATTGCCAAGCGCCGAAGACCGCCCAACTTAACACCTCTCAAGAGAAGGAACCTTCTAATTCCAAGACGTTACCACGTTACAGATGGTTTCTGGATGATGTAGTCTGGCTAACCCAAGCTGTGGATTGGCCCAGAGCATTTTTTAGTCGACAAGTTTCTTAACTATGCCAAGTTTGATCCCATGTCAGCAATACGATTACTTCAGGAATGATACTGATGAGCTTCCACGAATAGAGATCTATCGTTATTGCCACGGAAACCTTGTGTAAGCTGCCGAATGCTTTGATTTAAGATCAACGAGGATGCTGAAGTAGGTGCACTCTGTTATTCTTAGCGAGGTTGCTCAGAGCGTTCTTTTTTTGACGTAGGAATTAGTTACATGAATAAGCTAAGAATTTTTGAATCGTTACCTGGACTCGGCGCGGTACGTCGCATGTGAGTTAAGATCACAGTGGATTCATAAAAACAGTTTTTCCTCCTTGCAGCAATCGCAACATTTTGCACTCGGTAAGAGGGTGCGACTTTAATAATGATGCCATAGCCAGATCCTGAACCTTCAAAATAATAACGTTATTCAAGTGGATTGCGACTACATCAATCCGTTCGATGTCGTCAGCCACATTGCTAATGTGGAACGAGCGTTCCAGTTTGGTAAAAACATAATTTTGGGTTATTTTTGTCGAATTTGGTAACTTGGTCCCAAGACAGGTTTCTGGTTGTAGCGACAGCATGTTACCAAGTTGTAGCAGATTGGCTTGGATGTCGTCCAGTTGGGAATTGACTGCATCAGGTTCCATGATGCTCTCAAGAATTTTGTAGAAGCCGTGATGGTACCTAAAAGTTTGATCTATTTGTGAGAATACTATTGGATTGTTTTGATTTTTGATGTTGGCTGTGGGTTGATTTTTTGGCCTTGTTTTAGCATGCGTTGCATGCTGCATGCATATCATCATTTTAGCAATACAAGCAATGCCTAATCGAAGCTAATAATAATTACTTACTATGAATATTGCACAGTGATTCGCCGGAAGCTGTGACAAATACATTTTAATCTCAGCGTTGCTAGAGAGTCGACCGCTAGAGACCGCCACAGCATTGCGCAGGCTTATGGCTTTAAACATTGTTATCTAGTAATACCTTCGTTTATTGGTATTGTCGAAAAAAAAGGTGACAACTTGGGTTTCGTGTCTTGAATTTATCTTAGTTAAAATAGTGATGATATTCGATAGAGATAGAAATGTCGATATTTCGCGCTCTCATGGAATTGACCATAGATGGCGTGTCATAGGGCTGCCACATTAAGTTTCAACTATGTCAGTCAGCAATCGGTAAATTGTATTCAATGATAACTATCATAAATAAATAGCATATATCCAGCAAATATAAGCGATTACCCGATTCCTTAAAGATGGCGGGCTAAAATTATCTCTTTTGTGCTGTTAATTCATTATTAATTGATAAAAAATGCATGCAAGTACAGTAACAACAGTAGCTCTGGTCACTGATCAGAGTCGGTTTATAGTTAATTCATAAACCTTAGCTTCGTTAAGTAGGAAACATATATTGCGGCTGCCAGGCGGTAGATGGCGTTAAGTCCAAATTCTGAGAGCTATTCGAAAAATGTGTTGACCCTTTAATGAGTGGACAATATCACTAAGCCTAGCCCGACGAAAGCGGGTTTGATTTAAAAACATTAAATAAATGTGTGCCAATATTAGTCTTTTACAAAAATGAAATACGATTGTGAGTGTATTTTAATATGTTTACAAATGGTTTCAACGATTTGTACATTTTTAATAGTTAGTCAATTTTCATAAAATTTGATACTTGTACTTATACCATATTCAGAAGTAGTTTACTAAAATAGTTTGGGAGTTAAAACTATACTTAAAGCTACGTAAAGCTGTTGACAATATTTTGCATCGTTCTTAAATATTGAATTATTTTAAATTGACTTATAATAATTAAGTTTGTGTTCAATGCCCGCATATGAACAGCGATTGCACAGCCGTAAGACCCCTGAAGGTAAAATGAGCGACCCTTCGTATCTATTTATATGAAATGGTCATTGTCGGGGGGACTATGCAACTTGTTTTCCTCACTTTCCAGCTCCCATTGCTTTCGCTTCGCCTGCAGAATGAGATCTTGGAAAGACCCATACTCCGAATTTTGATGGGATTTCGCAATGAGTCCTGCGTTGCCCTCATCATCGAACAGATCATAATCATAATCCGCGTCGGTCTCCCTGTCCATTGAAGTGCGTGGCGTGATATCGGATGCTATATCACTGTAGTCGCCATTATCAGTATGTTGATCGGCTATATCACTCTCATAGTTGGTGTCATCTATGTTGTGTTTCTGGTAAAACATTTTTAATAGTTGGTCCACATGTTCAGTGGACATGTCCGTCACCATCTTCACAGCAATCTTTCGGCGAGTGCGCTTCAGTGGCTTTGTTGGTCTGTCTGACAGTTCAAATTGAAAGGAGGTTTTAAGCGAGCTCCTCGGGCTTTTCAAGTTTTTTACCAAAGCTCGGAAAAGTCGATTGAAACCCAATTTACTTGACTTTTTCTTTTTGTTCGTTCTTGCAGCACTTAAATATTTTGGGTTTTCCATAATGAAACGATGCAGCAGCTGCTTTGTGCCTGGCTGGTCCTTCTGTGACTTCAGAAGCTCAACTATAAATTGAAACAAACCGAAAACAGTGTCATTGAATGCTTAAGAATTGGGACAGAAAATAGTTTTTCTCACCTTTTTCTTGGGATAGTCCGAGCCTATTTTGAAAGACTCCCCAGTCATCGGTGCGGCTGTCAGCTGTAGCATCGACATTTGCCGGTGCAGCATTGGCGTTTCTAATATAAAATCCATAAGATAAATGCAGTGGCATCAACACCAGAAGTAGTAGAATTTGCATGTTCGCATATATTGAGTACATATTGAGTACACGTCTTGTTTCTTGCGAAGTACACTTCCAAATGACGCACTATTGGCCCGCTGCTTGCTTAAATACTAATTTGCTGCAGTGGAAGTCACAGGCTCAAGGGGTCATATAATTCCACAACAACAACACAATACTTATACATACCTACGGAGTGCACGGGCATATAAACAAAGGTCATATTCACTTTACTTAGCAAGGCAAGGCGATCGAGTCAGGACGGCTATCGGCTGAGATAGCAGTTGACGATCGAATGATGCCGTCTTTATCTTTCTTAGTAACACTTAGCGCATGCAGTGGCAATTAAAAGACAACCAATACATAAGATGAATTAGCGCTTTTCTACTCTAAACACAGACAGGTAACATAACCGCCAGTCGCCGACGGCTGCGCGAGCGGGAATCAAAACGCAATTCAACAGCCTCGGGCTTACGCGGACGGGGACGCGAACGAGGACGACGGCGAGCACGAGGACGAGGTTGATCAGTGATGGGCGACATCGGTGCGCCGTTTCATGAATGTAAGTGGGTCATACAGGTAGTTGTTAGCCATTTAAATGTGAAAGGAAGTGCATATAAATCCTAGCGCCAGCCATAAAAGGATCAACTGCGCCGATCTTTGTCTTGATCTCTGTCGACAAATGTGTCGCTAATTATGGTTGAATCTGGGTTTTATAGATGTAATATAAATAATGTAAATGCGATTTGCGGTGCAAGGCGACACGCGAAGCCAATACGTAATTAGCCGGCGCCCAACACAATACTCATCCGCACCTCAAATAAAAGTTTCTAATCAAACCCATATGTGATAATAGTTCTAGGCAGTCTTAGCTAATTTAATACCATTAACTAATTGTTGTTTTCTAGATAAAAGATATAAAAATATATATTTATATATTCCCAGCAAAGCTAAGTGAATTTATCCGTAGTTTTAGCCAGTTGAACTAATTATTATTATTAATAATAATTGCTTGGTCATTTGTATAAAACAGGAATGGTTAAACGTTCCAACCGTGTTCGGCAGACAATCAGTAAACATTGCTAGACCAAGACTTAAGATCGGAGCCGGCTGGCTGCACTTGGCTGATGATCGGAGAATGTGGTTCACTTACTTCCACAAAAACACAGAGACATACGCATCTTATTTCGACGACAACTTCGGTGTCTGACTTCTCAGCCTGTGTGTTTGTTAAGCACCTAATACGTCGCGACTGTGAATTTGTTGAATGTGTGATTAGAGTCATAGATAATTATAAATATAGCTATACAAATAATAAAACGTATTTCGCCATACGTTATATACTAATACTGAACTCTAGTCATGCGGCTTACTGATGTCACTAACTCAGCTTTTCATCTTTATTAAGAATTTATCTAATGGCAAAATTAAGTAACATAAGATATGAGAAGAATAGAGTTTTAAATATGGTTCGCTGACTAAAAGCAACATGCTTTGCGAACAGAGTATTGTGTTTCAGAAGGAATCAAAGAATTAAAGCACCGTTTCCATCAGAGAAGATTTTTAAGTCTAAGTCAACTTCATTTGAAAAAAATTACTTATAAATAAGAGCGATGTGTTCGGAGCCAATTGGCAAAATAAGGTTCGTCGACAATCCAAAAACGCTGTTTTTTTTTTTAAATCTAAATTATCTGATTTTGCTTCAAGCATATTAGTTCTTGATATATAATTTCCCGATTTTCTACACCAACAGTGGGCGTTTGCGTTTGATACTTCAGAATTTCAGGGAATTGGAAAAACTAATAATACAAATAGAATTGTACTAAAAGAAGTATTTTACAGTTTGACCAGTTTTTTCTTAAAAGTGCTGTTATTGATTTGGAGAGAGTTACAGTTATAGCTTAGTAATGGGATTCTTGGATCTGAAAATAAAATGTAGAATAGGTTGCGTCTGATTATTATGAATTAACTCAAGTTCTCCAAGTAAATTTTGACATGCTTCATTAAGAATATATTTAAAGGCGTTAAATAAAAGACTAATTAAACAATAGTAAATAAAAAGAAATAAACCTTCGAGTAGAAATACTGTCTTGTCTTTTTTATTAACGATAACCAGATGGCTCTTTTATATTTAATAGTAATAATAATAATAATAAAAATAAAAAGTTTTACAATAAATATTTTTGCAAGCTTTAAATGTTTCATTAAATATAGTGCAAAGCACTATACTTCCTACTTAGTTTATATATGTATAATAAAGCTCTTCGTGGCAGTGCATGGATCGCTCCTTTTTCATAAATAACAAATTGTGACTTATAATTTTTCTCCACTGAGATGCACAATATTATAGTAGTTGTGGTCGGGAAAACGTTCCAATTCGATATAGTCCATTTCAGTGTGCAGTAGTTTGTCGAGCATCTTTATTATTTCCGTAAATGTGGGTCGCTCGTGTACATCCTGTGACCAACAGTAGTACATAATATTATAGAGCTCTCTGCGACAATGCTCTGGCTTTTCAAGGCGATATCCGTCTCGAACCTGCAAATAGGAAAGTCAATAAATATCACGTAGGCACGGGCATTGGGGAAGTGTGAAGTTGTGCCTTACCTTACGCATTACATCGGCAGCAGATATACCTGGATAAGGTGTGGAGCCTAATGTAACGATTTCCCACATTAATATGCCAAAGCTCCAGATATCCGATTTAATTGAAAATATATTATCATAAAGTGATTCTGTAGCCATCCATCTACGAGTATATAAACACATATTCACAGTTTGATGTAATGAAAACGGGATGATATAGTAAATTAAATATAATGTTCTGGTACTCTATATATTGTTGCCAATCAAAACAAATATTAGTACATATCTTCATATTCTATTGGACAACTAGCAAATGACAAAAAGTGTTTGATCTTTAGCATATTTTCAATATTTGCAACTGAAATTAAATGTAATGCATCTGGGAGCATTTGCAGAGGGAATCCATAAATATAAACTATAAAATATACATAAAACAAAAATACAAATTTTGATACTTCAGCTTTCCTTACGTAAGAGACTAGAGAAGGATTTTAGTCGATTGCATTGAAACACGAAAATTAGTCGATTACTTAAAACAAACTTGATCTGTGCTTGCTATGGGAGATCTATGTGCCAATTTTAAGTTTATAGCACTTATAGACTTAGGCGGACGAGCAAGCTATTTTACATACTGTCTACATTTGCCACTGAAATTCAATTTAAAGAATTTTGTGAAAATTTTAAAAAAGCGTCCAAAACACAAAAGAAGTCGAAGCCGTATAAAATATACATAAAACTAAGTACAATATTTAGAGACTCTAGGTTCATGGTATAACAATAATCATGGTATAATAATAATCGTGCAGTCGATATACAATTTTAAGTTATTTGATCCCTTTAATGTCGAAGCTTAAAAAGAAAATATCTACTTAACATAGATACAGTAACCAAATATCATATATTTTTGGAAACGGTATTATCTATTGATCAATTTACTTTTCAATATGTTAATTAACTAAGCTAATTACTTTTTCTTATCAGCCACAGTTGGCCTTCAGCTCACTTTACACTGCTGATTCAGGAATGGATTTTCGTTGATTTATTTGACTAACTGATTGACACATCTTTTAAACAACTTATCGCAAGAATTTACCTGATTGGTAGTTTTCCTTCACTCTTTCGCTCGTAGATTTTAGAAGTGACGATATCCCTCGCAAATCCGAAATCCGCAACTTTACAGGTGTGATCCTCAGTTATTAATATATTTCGCGCAGCGAGGTCACGGTGAATTATCTGTAAGGAATTAAACTATTAATTACAAAATTCTTCAAAACGTTACCAGAAATAATAAAACAGTGCCAAGCCAGCAATTAGTTAATATTACTATTGCCCTGGTAATTAATAAAAGATGTACAGAATGAGCTGCAAGTATTTTTCATTCAAGTTACATATCCTATTCATCCATTATACATTTACAGTTTCATCCATAACATTTCAGAAATTATAAACAATTTAAATGGAAAGGATTAAACGTTGGCTCCTCCTCGACTAGGTAGACTTTTGGATGAAAAGCCCCAGCATATTGTCGTTGTTAATAATTCAATTGATATTGCTAGTCTTTCGACAGCCAGCTTTCGTTACTTACTCCGCGCGACGTTAGGTAGTCCATTCCCTTAGCAACTTGATACATGAATGATGTCAAGTCCCCTGAAGTCAAAACATTGGATTTTCCGTGTGTATTTCCATAGTGCCTACAACATAAAAAATGTTAATTCATAAAAATGCCAAAACTAATTTATAATGATAGTGTGTGATGTAAGTAGGACGTAGAAATATCTATTTCTGCCCATATCGTAATCGGATCGGACCTAAATAAGTTATAAACTATTATCATAGCTTACCTTTCTGCTCGTGAGTTTCTTAAGTAAGTTTGCAATTTTCCTCGACTCACATACTCAAGTATTACAAAAGTTGGATCCTTTTCTGTGCAACAGCCCAATAATTGAACAACATTTACATGAGGCTCGAGACTTTTCATCACCTGTAACAGCAATACGAAATATGAATTCACCAGTATTAAGAGAAAAACATATGCATTAAAAACACAAATAAATAAATATACATTTCCATGTCCGATTTAATGTGCAAATATTTTTGCTAATGCATATGGCGGAACACATGTCGTATGGTTTGGATGAATGCATAAACAAGTCGAGTAAACCGGCAAGTCAATATTATCGAGTGTTTGCCTTTTCTTTGTCCGATTCAATGAAAACCTTGCTAAACTCCGAAAAATCAACAAACTCTGTGACGAGCTAAGTAAAACTCCGAAAGGCTTCAGTGCGCAAGTCTGTCGGAGAGTCAGAGAGGCAATCGCATTTAAACATCAGAGCGCATTCAGTCAATTATTGTACGCAGCAACAGGAATTAGTTTGAGCCCAGACGTCAGAGCAGGAAGGCTTTCGGCTAAAGCTTCTGCTACGTTTTGCCCACTCGAGTTTCGGCTGATTCATATATAAAATGTATAATGCGATAACCAAATCTTGTGTGTAATTCGTAAAATCTGCGGATAGACGGCAGTCTCTGCAAAATTGGTTCCTGATGCTGTTCTATATTCCTGATAAAATTATCGTTATTGCGCGGTTCAATTCCTTCCATAGCATAGGAAAGTTTTTAGCATGGGTGTAATAATTAATTTGCCAAGTGCATATGAAATGCAGATAACGTGCGCTGCTCAAATACTAATAATAAGTTCAACTGATGCAATAAGGTGAATAAAGCAATTCAAATCAAGTCCGACTAAATATGTATACATATAAGTATTGCTATAAAAAAAATATAAAGTTTAAAGTTGTATAAATCAGAATTTATCAGTGGGAAATATATGTTTTGTCTCAAGGTGAAAGGTCTCAAAATACCTGAAATTGTATTTCAGCGTAATGTGTGAACATATATTTGGCAGTACTATGAAGGCATACCTCGACTGCTTGGATGAAAACTGATGCTTTAAATTTTAAGCAAAAACTTGGAGCGGGAAAACACCCCAAGCATTGCAAAAAGTAATACTAAAGTGGAGTAAGTTTATATTTTACTTTAACAAGACCACAATGGAAGTTGGGTTTTCTTATCTAAACATCAAATGAAATTGGCCATTTTGAGACTTCTTTCCATGAAGAACAATCTTACTCCAATATCGACGAAAACATTACACAAAACCAAATAAACCTTGATGAAATCATGATTGAAAGAGCTCTTGTGAGGTTTGCCAAAATCCCCTATTGTTGTTGACATATGTAGATGGACGTAATTGTGCTAGTGCATTTGTTAGGCACAGTTGATTTTGGGACGATGTATAAGTCGGAGTTAGAACTTAGAACAGGATACATCTATGTTGTTAGGCAACTATGGCACCACTTATACTTATTTATTAACAGTTGAATATTCGAAACACTCACCTCCAATTCCGAAAGCAAATCTTTTTTTTCGATCTCATCTGCACTTTCCTTTAAAGTTTTCACTGCAACAGTAGTGACATCTGCAGAGCCTGTAGACACAGAATTGAAATAAAGTTTTCGGATATTTTCATAAAATCGAAATTAGTTTCCCTGCCACGGAATAACATATCTAAATATGTCCACTGCTATGGAAATTAAAACTTTACAATTGATATTCTGATTCTTATGCTTCTGCTGTTGTGAAACTTTTCTTTTCATTAATGATCAATATAATATTGATATTTTGCAATATGAGTATTGAAAACTATTATTTCTTTATTTTGCTCATAAATACTTACCGGCCATGTCGGTTGCTTCACAGCGCCAAACTTGCCCGAAGGCACCTTCACCCAATATATTAAAGAACTTCAGTCGATGCCTTGGGAATTCCCATCGATCAGTGTTGGGATCGATTCCGCAGCCACCCTCCAATACACCAGCACGTCCGTTAGGCGAACCCGTAGTTGGGCTAGTTGAGCCCACAGCGGAGGCAACTGCAGAATCATCGACGCTGTTTACCGCAGTTGATGCTTGATACGTTGACTGTAACAATCCAAGAGATTGTGAGATTGGATCACATTTAATATTGTCATAATAGCTTTGTGTGAAAGAATAATGAGAATGGGAAATTATTGTGATCAAAAATCGAATTGCTTTCATATTATTTTGAGGTAAATTAAATGTAAATTTAGCAAATAAAAAAATTGTTTCTATATCTCGAACTGATGAGGCACATATTGAATAAATTAGAATTTTGAAATTATTTATTCGTTTGGTGGTGGCTTTTTATTAAAAATAAGATTTATTTACCGTTATTGCCAACTGTTGATCCCGCTCCCAAGGCACGTAGCGGTTGCCAAAGGCGGAAGGTCCTTGCCACTGTTGCATAACCATCGAATTGCGACTGTCGTCGGTAAGCGTGTTGCTGAGATGACTAGGATTAGACTTTTTGGACAGTTCTTCCTTCTCCTTAGACTTTTTCATCGTTTTGCTGATAGCGCATAAATGGCTGCGACAAACGTAGGCGAGAATAGTTAAGGATATTGCAAAAATGCCACACAGTCCAATAATAATCGGACTTGTGAAGGACTTTAAGTTGAAATCAGTCAATTTGTTCTGATTACTGTCGCTCTTGTGATCTGATTTTGCATCTGGCTTAGATAGCAGAGAGCTGTCTGAGGTCTGATTAGCTATTGGTGTCAGCTTTGTGCGACTCGGCGGTGTCGTTGCAGGAGAGCTCTTTGTGGATTGCGCCGAGATAGGCGTCACTGGCGGCTCAGTGCCAATTACTTTATTATCTTCTTCTTGGCTCAAATCCGGACTTGATACTGGTGGATACAGTTTTTTAAAGGGAGGTAGAACGAAATTGCCACCGTTGCTTGCCGGAAAGCCTTGTGGTAAATTCAAGACAGGCCGCCGATTTGGCAAGCCATTTCTAATGGACTGCACGCCTGGCAGTTGATCAAATGATGGCAAAAATTGGGAAATGTTCTTCACTACATTCGATATCGAGGGTGGCGAACGAGATCCAAAGCCCTGGTATCCCCCACGTTCGTGACTTCCCAAAATGTTTATAAAAACTTCATTTTTTGCTGTGTAACGTCCATCCGACACGGTTATATATATAAGAAAGTTTTCACCGGCCTATAAAAATAAAATTATTCAAAATAAATTTCATTAGTAAAAACGAAATATTTATATAAACAAATATAATTATATAAAATTAAACATGTTTACTTTAAAATAGGACTGTGTGGTCCCTATATTGAGATAACTACTTGAAATTCTTTATCTTAGAGAAGTAAGAGTGCTCTAGTCGGGAGTACTCGACTAGATACACTGTGTTTAGGCTCCTATCTGTGACGCCCCTTTTATCTATAACGAATCACACATAACGTAAGCACGTATAAGTAGTATTCGTAAAATATACTTTATGGCGTCTGCCACGCCTACTTTTGGGTGTGCATACATTAAAAAAGCAATGAATTTTCATTATCAATGAGTTCACAGTATATATATAATATATATTTGAAACAATAAGGTTTTCAAAGTTAAAGTCTTAAATGTAATTAAAACATTAAGGAACCCAATTCAAGGGTTCTTTATTGCTGTCATATGATTTATATGTAGATAATTTAGATTTTAATGCGTTTCTTGTGATAACGGATAAGCTGTGGACTGAAATTGAGAATGGCACGTATTTAGGTATAAATAAGAATGAAATTAGTTCTACCATAGTATTCTACTATATTGCCAATATTCACATATGTTACTTGTTATTGTACGTATCACCTACCCGTCCAGATAAGCTCTCGTTTAGATAGACGACACCTGTATTGCGATCTATACGAAAGGGTAGTTTGCTCTGTGCATTCGACTGTTGACTCGAGCCAATTAAGGGGAGGAAGCGTGGCTCGATTCCGAACACAAGATCATCTCCGTCTGCGTCTTCGGCACGAACACGATCGATAATTCGACCCACCTCTTCTGCTTCCGAGATACGCCAATTTCGTTCTCGAACATATAATATTGGCGGTGCATTTTGTTCCTGTGAAAAAGCTGTAAAATATTTAACAACAAAAAAATATTATATAATTTATTAAAAATAGTGGTAAAATAACAGACAGAGTTTATATCAGTACTACTATCCAGCTTAACTGCAAATAAGTGAAACCTTTAAGTGGGGAAAAGTACTTGTCGTGGACTGGACTGTCTTAAAAAGGGCGAGGATATCCTTCTAAGTATCAAAAGACAGCGGGGTTTAAATATCGCTTCAGTTCCCGAATAGAATATATTAATAATATTAAAAGGTTACAATACTCGAGTTTTGACAAAAAAATACATATATTTTTATACAAAAACAACAACAAACAACAAACTTTCCTATTAGAAACCATTCTACAGATAGATTTCAAGTAAATGAAGTTGGTTGCTTCCAGACAATGTTTGATAAAATTAATTGATTCATAAAAGAAAGTACGTTATTAAAGAGTTGCCTGAGTTTCATTTCAATTCGAAAATTCGGCAATACGGAACTCGTTTTATTTTCATTTTTTCAGTGTATCCAATCAATAATTGATTTTTTTTATTTACATTTGCTGTTGGTGTTTTTTTTTTTAATATAAACTGTAGTGAGCTCACACAGTTGGCGAAATTTGGTAATTCTTTATACTCGCATGCGTAACCTGTTCTCGAATTGAACAGAAACAGCCGATTTTCATATATTTTTGCTTCATTTGTTGTATCTCTTACCACGCGACCTTCAGCTGCACGGACAGTGTTCACTCATATATATAGAAAACTTAAAATATATGAGCGTCTTGGCATGCATAACTGGAGAGGGATTTCAAACTGGAAAATAAAAGTGCGCTCTGCCTGTGACCGAGAGTGTTAACATAACCAGTTTAGATTGTGTTTGTAAACTGTTTTCAGCAAGTGAACAAGATTATATTGCTTTTGCCCAATATCCGTCTCACTGTCTGTTTGCCTGCCGCCAATACTTCAGCTGGAGACTACAAACTGGTGGTCATTTTGCTTGGCAATGCTCACTGAATATTGGACAAGTCATAAAAACCAATATAATCAAACTCTTACAGCTTAGGCCACAATAATTGTAGGCCAACCATTTATTATCTTGTCTAACAAGTAAATCTGCACCTAGGTTAGGGTGATCGACTCGGAGATACGCTAACTCCTTGCGCGGACAAGCACACCCAAACTTTGTAATTATTGGGGCATGGTCAATATACACAATGAATGAATGACTCGTAATGCCGAGCCATCAAGTCAAATTGGTTGCGAAGAAATTATTATTGTATTAAAGGAAAAATGACATAGCTACATCATCTTAGTTCTCTCTCTTGATGAAGAATTCATATGACAGTTCGTGATGGCGCTCCTGGGCTAGTACATGCATTTTAACACAACCATTATATCAATTATTTCCATTTACAATGGATAATGGTGGAAAAACAAAGGCATTAATTGTTATGTACACCCACTTCCTACCCATAAATGTTTCCGAAAATCGATATCTGCTTAAGCTTAGGTCATTAAAGCCAACAACAACAACAACAAATCAACATTACAATTTTCGATTGGCTTTACTGTTTATCAAATCACAGTATTGAGTCAATTATTTAAGCTATAATTTTATTTACGAATACCAATCACACTATTATAAATTATCAGAAAAGTTTAGAGGTGGATGATTGCTATTCTCTACCATATTCAGTCTCGAAAAAAGTAAACTTCGTTATGCATTGGGCCTTTTCGTAAGTTGAAGCTCGACTATTTCTACAATATTGAAGCGGTAAACGATTATTATCTTAAATACCCACACTGCCTGCTGTTTTCAGTGAAATTGCTCGAAATGCGTAGGGGGAGTATTTTGCCTTGACCGTGACAATTTCTCATTATTAGTCGTCCCAGTCAGTCAGTCTTAGCCAGCTATTGAACTCTTGTGGCAAAGCACAGTGCACTACATCAGTGGCCGCTGTGTCAATACTTTGCTTTTATAATGATCGGTCATTGACACAAACGTTTGTCGAATGACTACGACCTATAAAGATAATAAATAATTTAAGTCACTTCCTGAAACCCTTGAGACTTTTTATTTAAGACAGATCGACGGATCTCACGGACAGAACATTCGAGTCTTGATTTAAAGTGATTTATAACAATATTCGCCTGTCTAAATGTTTACTTTTAAATACTCATAATTACATATTTGGCCAGTCAAACTTACCTTCAGAAACAAACAGCATGTCAATGGAAAATATGAACACCAAAATGATGAAATTTAGGTTCATGCGTGATGAAGCTCCCGCCATTCTTGGCTTGCAGATGAAATGCCGCTCATCTTGATAATCCATTGTGTAGTACACCGCCAAAGCGGTAAGCCTGTTAACAAGAATACGAAGAATACGAACTTGTTGATAACGGAAATATTAAACACTTTTTATTACGTCGGTTTTTTAGAGTAAAATAAATAAGAAAACTGGTTTCTTGGGCACCTGCAAGCACATTGTGGATTTATTTTTTTTGTAGGAATTTTAACAATTTATTTATGATTCAATATTCAGTTTAAATTCACATTAAGCACACACAACACATTGTACAACAAAATCACTATACCAATGACGCACATTTGAGACGACAAAAGATCAATGTTTTATCAGGCTTTGATAGTTAATCAGATTAGTCCAAAGTCCTATTCACCATGCAGCATGATAATAGATATGATGTGAACATATAGCCAAGACTAAAACGGCATGTGGCTAGCAGCAAGAGTGAAGCTGATTTCTCTTTTGCTCATATACGGGTGCATGGTGCAATCGTTGGGCATACCCAATGAGTAAAATGAAATATCATGGCACTGGTGTAAGGCAGAGACAGCAACAGACACATTCAATTTCGTGAAGATATTTAAACAAGCTCTGTCGAAACAGCCTTTCAAAATGGCAGGTGCCTTATGTAAGAGCTATGCAAAGCTTAAATTATATTCTTTCAGTGCATTTAACGATGACGTCAGAGTTTCACAAACAGGCCGGACATATATACAGTCGCAAGAATTTGGTAATAGAAACGAAAAGTTAAGAGGCTTTAAGTCGCCCTTTATGTTTATTTGTTTAGCAATCTAAGTTGATTGTTGATTGAAATACACTTATTTATTAAATATTTAATATAGAATTATTTCATATATATTGAAAGCACATTCTTACAAAATCACATGTGTATGTTTTGAATAAAAGATTATTGAAAATGTATGCTTGAAAAAACTTTCTCAATTTGCGTTTCAGCGGACATGAAACATACGCGCAGACGCGACGTTGTGAATATCAACACGGTGTATATACTACTAAATCAAGTTCAGTAGATGGAGCTTTTCTTCGGTCTCTTGAACGAAACAAAAACTGAAAACGAAAAACTTGTTTAGCGACAAAAAACAACATACTTTAACTGCTCTCTCTCTCTCTTGCTCTCTCCTTTTCTTACCCTTTTTTCTCTCTCTCTCTCGCTCTCAAACACTCTCTATTTGATCAGCTCTCTGTGGAACTAAAAAATACCGAAGCATATTACGTTATTAATATTTGTCAGTTACCCAAGTAACTTTAACCCTTATTTCTTCTACTTACTGGCGTTTGAAATAAGGGCTTACTTGTTGATTCATATTCACAACAGCTTATACCTATGTATTTTTTGATACATCTTATATTATTATGTTCGAGTATATAAACGTAAACAGAACAAAATGTTTCCGACTTCAAAATTAAAATAGTCGTACCTGTTTAACTTGTTTGATTAATAGATAGAAAAATGTAAAATGTATATTTAAAATTATTGAAAATATTGTATTACAAAATCTGTTTTGATTATTTGTTTGATCTCCCATAATTGTTATGTATAATTTGGATATTATGCATAATTGATAACGCCCCTTGACAAGAATGGGAAATGTGAACACTAAATAAATACTCAAGTATGATTAAATCTAATGTATTCCTACGTACGGTACGGTGTATTGTGTTTAAACACCTCTTCTAATGTAGCTTATATTAGCTTAAATTAGGGTGTATCGTCATGTGAGTACCTACTGAACAGCTTTTAGTATACCGGAACATAGTTGTTTGTGCCTGTGTTCCAAGGCACCAAAGGCAGATTGGAAGTTGGTAACCCCAGTTTTTTTGTTAGCCACTTGCTGGAGAAAAGAAGTAGTCAAAAGGTGAAATACATTTATTGCCGCTCTTTTAAAATATATTATTTAAGCATGTATACCCTTTTTATTCGCTCGCAATAACTGAGGGAAGCAATATTAAAATCGAAAAGATACTAAAAAGAATGGGTCCTCAACCTGCAATCGGATGATTTAAATGTAAAAAACTCGATATTAATTTACTAAAATCATTTCGTGCATATGCTTGATACGTATGCATATACTATCTAGTATTCGAGCAATGTGGCCATTTTACAGATATAAGCATAAATAATTTACTTAAATTTCGAGTTGAAAGAGTAGTCAGTTGTAGTCCGATACATATAGTTTAACACAGAACAATGTTCTAGAATTTATCACACATTATTTACAGTGTATTCTCTTAGTCCTTAAGCTTCTTAATTAAGTTAATTATTTTCAAGCATGGCAAAGTCGAGCCCTAGCAACGCGGCTACTCCTCCTTCAATTCAGCATTATACCTTGCACAACCATTTTCATCGGGCTCAAATTCGACTTTCACTAACGAAGGGCTTTCCCATAAATTGTTCAGGCAAGCTGACTACATTATGCAATTTACTTAATTTCATAAGTTTTATTCTAAATACCCTTTGAGAATGAGAAACTCGAACTTATCTGGCGGCTATATAACTTTTCATTCAATCGGACAGGAGCAGGAATAAATAACCATTCTATTATAATATAATTAAATTAAATTGCATTTTCAGTCTCTTATTATATAATATTCCATTACTATGTCCCACAGTGCAGTGGCAAAATTGTCAGCCAGATAGTTCTAGAGCAGTCTAATAGACCACTACATTGTGCAGCACGGAAACAATGCGGGCGAGTAGCTGACAGTCTAATAAATGTTGTTGTGACGTAAGGTAGACAAGTGATTGGGGTGCTCATGAACGGCTTACGGCAATGTGTTTATTTCTTTTTGCTCTTATATTTATGTTTAATGTGAGGAATATCAGTGGAACTGCACAAAGTTTTAATGTGACGAATATCAATAATGGAATATTCATATGTTGATATATCAATAAATGTACATTTTCAAGGCCACTTTGTGGTCGACATGCATTTATTATTTATAAAGATGTGATAAAATCAATATGCATTTCCAAGGGACCTACCCTCTATTTATTAAATCATACATATATAAAATACATATGTGCTTATAATAGTGTACATTACCAATAGCATGCAGCTCGTATCATGAGCGATAAGCCAACGCATCGCTTTTCTAATACTAATAAGGCATTGACAACGCAAAAACTAGCAACTGACTTACTTGTTTACATATAACTAAATATATACCACAAACAGAAACTGTAGTTTTCCAGCCTGGCAGATCATGTTCCCTCGCGAGTGCTTAGATAGTCGACGTGGTGTGGTGGATAGTAAACTAACAAGTAAAGTTGTTGCAGTCGGGTGCGCCCGAGGGTTGTGGAGCTTTAGCCCCAACACTGTGGAAAGTATTACTATTTCTAAGTGTATATCCAACATTATGAGTCTATCTCCAATAGCGGTTAAAATTGTGTGTGCAAATGTATGGGCAATAAGAAAATAAAAACTCTTTTTATTTCGTGTCAATGGAATTTTTTGTATATATTTTATTAATTTAATAATTAAATGTGGATATAAATCTAGGACAATATATAAGCTAACCTTTATGTTCGTACCGATCATGGAAAATGTATGTGCAAATAAAGTATTTTGATTTTATAGTTTTGATTTCATAGATGAACATTTCTAAAGTCAATAGTAAAGCCAGAAAAATTATTTCAGTCTCGTGGATCATATTCGTCGATGGTCTTAAAAAAGCCAAATTTATCTTTAAAAGCCACATATAATTTGTATAGACAAAACTGTAAGACATGTTTATATCGCATATACTCCTCCTACAGAGGAAATGATTTTCATTATACAAACGAACGGATAACCTTCCGATGAACAATACCAATATACTCTTTTTACATCATAAGACGAAGGTAAAAGCTTAATTAAAGTATATTTTTAATTTAAGTTGGTGCTGTATATATAAATATATGCTTATAAACAACTCTGGAATTTTTATTTTATTATTGTTAATTTTAATTTTTAACGAAAATAGTTAATATTTAGAAAAATTCGAATGTATATGGGTCAAAGCTAAATATTCACTGGAGCACTCTTCGACTCGCATGTGTTCCAGATAGTCGCTTTAACAGGGAGAAACCTGTCAAAAATAATAGCTATGTAGGTTGTTGATGATGCCATAAAGTGGAATATTGCCAAATGTATCATTTCTAAATATAGTATTGCATCTTAAATTGTTATTTTTGTATAACATATACCCTAAGCCCATTTAATGTTACAAAGGTCTTGAACTATATAATTAGGCATATTCCTCTATATATAAATGTACAGTTTTGAAACTTTGATTGTAAGCATATCTAAAAAAATTAAATAAATATATGTGCTACCTAGCATATAGCATGGAATTGCTGTAAAATGTAAAAGTCGTAATCTTGTCAATAGGTTATATATGCATAGACTACATTCATATTTGAATTATTTAAATCTAATTCACATTGAACTGTAACATATGTAATATATATGATAATTTGTGCTTACCAATTTAAGCACTATTTGTTTATTGTGAATCAGTAAGCGTCGCGGTATTTTCAAGTCGAGCATTCGTTGCTTGTTGAAGTGCGATAAGATCTGTTTGCTGGCTATTACAAATAAGCTGATAAGAAGAAAGCCAAACGAGCACTGCTGGAATATTGACAGCGTTTCCATTTCAATCGTGTAGCTCACTGTATGCGCCTCGCTTAAGTATTGTGTGTGGTAAATGTTCATATAGATTATCGACCTAAATTAGTTTACATTTCAACAAGTATAAATATTAGTAAATAAATTAATGAGCATATATAAGTACTAAACATTTAATTAGTAAGCATTTAATAAAATTGACATGATATACTTATATATTTTTATAATATATGATATGAAATATAAATATATAAACTATGAACATACATATGTATAAGAATGATTCAGTCAAGAGTGTCGTGAACCTAGCGAATAATCATTTTTAATTTCTAATAAGTTTTTATGTTTTTGTGTACATATGCTAAACAACGACTCATTTCGAAAGTTTATCAGTAAGAGCAGGTTGGTCATGTTCCCTGAGTCCCACCCATAAAATGTTTTGAGTGAAAAAGTGTTTTAAATTGAATCATTAAAAACTACATACAGATGTGGATATTAATTTAGTTTTCATTAGTGCACTTTAAATTTCCAGCTTGTAATACTTTTTTATATAATCTAAGGACTGCAGTTTGAAGAAATTTTCCCATACACTACTCCCATTTCCAAAGAGGAAAGTAATGGTCAGAAAAAAGTAAGCTTGTTGAGTATTTTTATTTCTGATTAGGACAGCAACCTGAGTTGGTGCAACCATGTCCGTCTATCCGTCCGTTTGTCTGTTTGTGCGTATAAATAAAAGCAATCTCGTTAACCAAGTTCACACTTATCGTTAGTAATCGAATAATAATGGCTTTGTGTGTTTATACATATTAAACAGAACAACTAAGAAGGCTCTAGTCGGAGGTACCCTTCCCTCCCAGTCCTCTCTGCAGTTCTTAATATTTTTAATAGTTTGTATCGAGATTAAAATAAAAAATAAATAAATAACGCCGACAATGCATCGACTGCCACTGCATAGTTAAAAAATAAAAAAAGACAAAAACAAACGTCCGTTCGCCGCTTAGCATTGAATCCAGAACTCGTCATCAACGAACACCGCCTCTACCAATACCGTCACCGCACTGATTGTGGGATAAGCTTCAAATCTCAACTAAAGTATCAGCTGACTATTCAAGCCCAATTCAATCGCAATTTCGATTCTTCGAATAGAAAACAATATACGAGTTTCAATGTATGGTTGCACATGTATAGGCAAAATAAGAACGCTTTGCGCTGCTTGCCACGTGCCTTTGCAAATTGGTCAAACGCTTTGTTTAATAACATCTATTTTACTCAATGGATTTTGACGAAATTATCAGCATATGATATACATATTCGATTGGAGTAATTGTTAGCTTAGTAAAAAGGAAAACTCCTTCACATAAATTAAAGAAAGCATGTATCCAAAATATAACAAAAATAAAAATTGTAGAAAATATATATTAAAATAAATTTGGAGGCTCTAGCTCTTAAGCCGTAAGAAATATAATTTAATAACTGCATTTTAATCATATTTTAAATTGACAATAATAAAACGGGAATAGCTGTCGATTATTACAAACTTGTCTCAAGTCTCTACCTCTTATAGATGCTGAGATCGACGAGTTCACACATACGGACAGACGGACAAACACGGCTCAATCGACTCACAAGCCGTCGTGTATTACCGACTGTTGTTTATTTAATGCATGTCGAGTTTCTTAATATAATTTTCTTACTATTGTTACTTGTTTGTAACTTTTATTAAGCAACAAAAAGTAGCAGGTAATTCTTGCTTTAATATAAAGTTTTCAAAAGTCGAAGATTGTCGTGAAGAGTCTTATTTATATTAGTTCGCATTTACCTTTTATTCTTTTAAAATAGGTGTGGGATCTGACAATTAGTAATGCGTACACGTTTATTGATCATTCTTTAATCGAGGTAAAGGAGAAACCATGACCCATAAACGATCTCGATGCAATATCAGTGTACTGTTAATACTTTTGTATATTGGACAAAAAATGAGAGGCAACGATGCTAGCGTACAGTTTCATCAGGAGTCAAGTGAAAATAAATATAATCTTGGTGAACAAATTGAACAAATAGAAACACCAAGGGATCAAAAGCTCACCGTACGGTTGCCATCGAATACACTTCTTAAGTACGGCTCCTATAAGGATGTTTCTATACTGCACTTTCGAGTTCCATTGGATACGAAAGCTGCATACTTTAGCTTTAAAGCATTTGAGGAATCCAAAAGTGCCTTTCGTAAGTTGTATATATTTAAATTAATAATAATAATAATGTAATCCTATTTGCAGAAAGAAAATGCAAAATTAAGGATGTTACACTACATCTAAAGGCAAGCAGCTTTCCAGTGATTAGTCCTGAAAATATTACTTTTCCAAAATATTTCTTATCCTCTGAGGAAAGGTAAGTTTTCCCACCTCAACAGCCTTTTATTTCTTATTTTATTTTATTTATTTACCTGAAATTTGATTGATAAAGTAAAAGAAATGAACGTTTTTCAAGATTAACACTCAAAGGGAATAACATTTTATCAAAATATTAGATATTAATTAAAATTCAAGCAAGTTTTTAAAATACATTTTTCTCATTTCTATTGCAGTTTTTATTTATAGGATCCGCATTTACCGAAAGATTAGAATAATAGAGATTTATGCTTTGGCAAATACACTCAGCTCATCTAGAGCATAAGTTATTCAATAACGAGTTTCCACAGTAACTTTTAGCCTCTAGGCACCATCGGATAAAGCACTTTTACTTGTTTTGTGTTAATGAATGAAGCATGCAAAAGCAATCAGCTCCAATAACATTTAGTTAGAATTAGACACCCATTTATTTATTAATCATTTTATTGGAGTTTTAACATCTTTGGTGTAATTTAAATATTGATCTACATAATCTAGGGCAAATGCGGTATATAAGGTATATATATGGCAAACATATGTATTATAAGCGTTCTATGCCGAATAGACTGGACTAGTTATCAGGGAACTCTCTTTTAAAAGCTATACTATCATAATACATGAATCAATTGATATTTTATATATGATAATTATTTGAAACGCAATCGTTGTCTTGTAGTGAAATTGTATCAAATAAAAAATATAAAAAGGTTTGAACATGGGGCTCTGAATTAACAAAAAATTAGTTATATATTTACAAGCATATTTCTGTAGACTATTCAATTTAACTCTGGTTTATTTGGAGCTCAAATCTTAATAAAAAAACTACTTTATTTGTAAAAAATATATTTTAATTAAGTCGACTATAAATTTTATTAATTAATGTTCCGAAATATTTTCAGATTTAAAGTATATAATCTACAATTTCAGTCTGATCAGAAGCGACATCGTATTGATATACAGGGTCCTCAATTAGGAAGTTGGTTTGCTGTTGCTTTTGTCAGTTGGACAGATCCAAATAATGATCGCATTGAACAACAAGGTAACAAATTTCTTCTCTTATTTTGAATTTAAGTTTTCATTTGTGAGCTTTGGTATTCACAATTCATAAGTCAATCGGGTGAATGCGACAAGATATTCACAGCTAAATAATAAATAAATAATCTATTCTTGATTTAGTATTTAGTATTTACCGCAAATTGTACATATGAGTATATCCCAAATTTCAGGCGTATTTTGAAATCATAAGTGGTTGTTACAGTTACTAACTATCACGATTTTTATATTTATTTTAAAAACTAAAATTAGAAAAATATTTTCAAGTGTATTTAAAGTCGTTATATATATAGAAACAGTTTTAACTCCTAAATATGTTCCATTAACCCTGACATAAGTAAATAATTTTTCTTTAACACATTTGTTACGTGTATAGGGCTTTCAGCATCATGCGAGACGTTGGTATTGGCAGAATTGTCTGTATCAAGTTTCTATCCGACCATTATAACCAATGGACAAGTAACTACCGGCAATATAACCAGTACGTTTGTCTACAGCAAAGAAGAGTCTGCTGACTTGGCTAGTGATCACAACTTTGGAGCCACTAAGCTGTTACGAGGAATAATTTTGAAGAAAGAGCATAAAAACCATCATTCAAATGTCACAATTGAAAATAAAACTCATGCAGAATTCGAGGCTGGAACAGACAAAGACACATATAGCGACGGTATCAAAAATAACACTAACGAAAGCAATGGTAACTTAGAAACTAACAATGAAATAACTTACAAGTTTTATGTGCCCGCCGACACTGCTGTAGCAACCGCGCGGGTAACGTTTGGTAAAGTCTGCGTGGACTGTCCAGATATCGGTTTCTATATTCAGGCAAACGCATTTCCACTAATTCGTAGTGGGCGGAAAAATGTGGCCGGTAATGAGTATAACTACTTACACAGTACAGTTATCAGACCAAATCAAACTGAAGAGATCTCAATTAAATTTTATGTTCAGCCCGACACATGGCACTATGCCCTTCTAAAGTTTGTGAGCTCAGCGGATGAGCTCTTCTTGGCTTCACATTTCGGGGAAATCAAAGCAACTGGAGACACTGCTTCAAAAAGTGCTTATTCGTCGACAACAAAAGTAGAAGCTAGACAGGGGCAACGACTAAATGCAACAGATGATCTGAGGTCGGAATCCCACCAGATTTCGTATATGCTTCAAATAGATTTCGATCCAGTGGAGTCAGACCGGGAATCCAATAGGACTCACTCTCAGCCTAAATCTGATTATAAAACTAATTGGGAGCCGGTGCGAATGCGCGGAATGGATTTCTATCCTCTGCTGCGCCAGAGCTACCATGAATTTTTTATGTTTGACTTTGACTTGCAACCAGATGTAAACGGTACAGTTCCGACACTACTTAATTTAACCGCACTATCCCCAGCAGGATTCGCATTTGAGCTAGGCGAGGTCCACGATATTGGCGGTACACTCACCTTTGCCGTCTCTATGAAGCCAGAAGTTCGTATCATTAGTGAGCTGAAGCAGGCTTCACCCACAATGTCACCGGCATCAGAAAGAGGTGGAATTCTAGCTGAAAAGTTAGTAGGTAATTTAGATGACGTGGAAGTTATGATGGGGCAAGAGCAACAGCCCAGTAATAACCAAAGTATGCAAATCATTGTGTGCATGCGTCTGGGAGTTCCAGGCGTTCCAACATGGCCCGATAAATGCCGATACGGTCAACGATTGCTGCCGGCTTCTAGCATAATAAATAACACTGACATAATGGGTCTCATACATGTACCCTTTCCAGAAAGTGGCCTCTGGTAAGTGCCAATACATCTCAGATAAATTCTGATTTGTTTTCTATTTGATTCATGAGAGAAATAAAAATGTAATTTAATTATACACAGGTACGTCACTATGGGCTTGTTTTGCCACGGAGCAGAAACAGCGCGGGTGACCATAATAGACAGCGTCAAGGAGTTCGTTCGCCAACATCTAAATTTGCTACAAGAGATGCGGAGTCCCTGTGCCTGCGCTGCCAACGCCAAAATCCATGAAAATTGTATTGGATCGAAAGATTGTCTTGCCGGCATGAACGAAACAGAAACACTAAAGGTAAAAGAGTGCATGATGGATTCCAAATGCACCGACAACTACTTGGAAATGACACGTCTATTTGACGTGCATCACAGATCGGCTACGGAGCAACACTTTGCGCTGGAAAATTGCAACACTTCAGTAGTTTTCTCCATATCATCAAGTCCATGTGTAGCTGGACGCTGTGGTCGCTTTGGCAGGTGTTATCATTATATGTCTGGGGGCTTCGTATTTTCAACTTGCGTTTGCATGAAGGGCTACCGCGGCTGGGATTGTACCGAGGACTCACAGGTGCCATCTAGTATGTCAATACTTATGGCCTCACTGCTATTGACATTGAGCAATCTACTTTTCATTCCGAGCATTTACTTGGCCTTTCGGCGCCGCTATTACACCGAAGGCGTAATATATTTCTTTGCTATGTTCTTCTCAATTTTCTATCACGCGTGTGACTCAGGGGAAGATGAATACAGCTTCTGTTTGGTGAAAATCAGCGTACTTCAATTTTGTGATTTCTACTGCGGCTTGTTAGCCATTTGGGTCACACTTATTGCAATGGCCCATATGCCTCAGCAGTTTGTTTCCTTACTAAACATGTTCGGTGCTATTCTACTTGCATTTGGCACAGAGCTAAACAAACAAAGCCTCTGGGTATTTCTAGCTCCGGCTTTAACAGGCATTTGTCTCATTTCCACAAGCTGGGGCTTACGCTGCGCCAAAACGCGCAAGTGGTTCCCCGCGCGACGTTACCTGACCATCTTTATGCCACTCGGATTGGTGCTGGTAATGATTGGCTTGGTTTGTTACGCGTTTCTCCAAACCAAGCAGAACTATCACATTGTTCACTCCGTTTGGCATATGGTCATGGCGATCAGCATAATGTGCTTATTACCATCGCACAAGTCTTTCATGCCGAAATCCTAGCACTCCGACGTTTCTATGAAGTTTTACCTTGCAAAGCAGGAGCTCAGCTGAACTAGTTATGCCACCTAGCAAACGGGGACAGCTCCCATTCAGTGCGGAATTCTAAAATTAGATATAGAATTAAGATCTTAAATATTTAAATGGCCATTTCTAAAAATGTACACAAACACAGGTAAAAAAGATTGAGTAACAAATACTCAAACTTGTACTTTTATAACGTTTTAAAAGTTTTTAACGTGGTCAGTCTAAATAGCTTTATCACGTTAGGTCTAAAATTTGAAGGAGATTTACTGAAAGATAAGCATAAAAGTGTTTTGCGTCGTAAGCTCTAAAAATTGTTATTAAAATTAAAAATAATTTCGTTATGGCACAGAACATTAATGTACCCGACGAAACAAGTGTTTTGTATATTTAGAATAAAATATCTCAAGTCGAGACATGCCGTAGTCTGACTTCCATTTCGGATTTAACTCGTCAAAAACGTACACAAAATTAAAGTCTTGTTCTTGATTAGTAAATTTCATCAACTTTTGTTTGCTGTTACACGCTACATAAAGACATGAAAATATTCTAAGATTGTATAAATTAATTCGACAAATGTGCATACTAAAGTGGGTAATCAATGAGTATACATAGTGCATACATGGACAAACGTATAGGTAGACATAGAAATATTATAACATTAAGAGTTGAGGAAGAGAACCTGTTGTTATTTTAGATATGAATGTATTAGCCTATTGATGAAGCCTTATTAATCTTAACAGATATCATTCCTGAAAATGTTTTATCTTGTAAGAGAACTTTCTATTAGAATAACTAATTTTCAAATAAACTGTAATTATGCATTGATGGAGTATGTGGATTAATCGTAACACACTTCAAAGCTATTCTTGAAGTTCGGTATTAAGCCGTCAGTTAAAAATACCGAGCTTATATAGGTACGAACATTAAGAGTGTACCAAACCGGGCATCCTCCAAGAATTTACAGTTAACATTTTGCGAGTTGCTAATTGTTGACCTCCTCGATATTTTGGATAGACCAGCGTCAAATAGAAGTCTTGCAGAAGAAACACTGGTGGCATTTTCTCAAGATAGAAAAACTAATTATAAAGTGTTCAACAAATCACAAAGCACTTCTTATAAGTTACGACGTTTTTGACAATGAACAAGAATTATGTTTTATATGTTACTTGGTTTGCTTTTTGTTAGTTACAACAAATTTTCATGTATATTTAGATTATACTCAATTTTTTTCTCATGTGCTTATTTTTTTTATCTTATTTTTAAGTTAAAGATCTAAGGAAAATTCCAATCACCAGTATATATCAAATTTTGTGTATTATCGACTTTATGTATTTCTGCTATCGCACGCTGCCGGAACCGTACCGAATTTCTCTTTCAAATTGTTCCGCCTTTAAGGTGCCATCTATACTTTCACAATTTTTATTAAATATACTGTAAGCACTTATTTCATTAGGTTTCTTTGGACCAGTCCTGGTGTTGAAATATATTCCAAATAACGCGGATAACATTAAGAAGACCAACCCAAATTTAAGCTCTATAGCTATCACGTACAACGTCACCCAAAACAGAAAATATACAGTCCACAGTGTATATTTTAAACACCTATTCTCTTTCTCTTCGTTGGCATTGATAGTTCCTGTTGATAATTCATCTTCATCTTCTGATGACACATATTCATCTGGTGTATCATTAATGCTAGAAGACTGTGCAGGGGCTGGCTAAAATAATAAAAAATACATTGTTTACGTCCAAAATAATTATATTTACCGAATGCCACATGTCACACCTTAACTTCGATTGTTGTTTGGTATTTTCCCTGAATTGTATCCGCGCCGGTACCTAGCATCCAAAATCGCTTAATTTTAGATTTAAAGTTGTTTAATATTTCCCTTTTTTGCTTTTGCTGCCGATAATGTCTCAACTGCTCTTGAAAATCGGCCATAAAGTGATTTTTATTATAAATGCTTGATACAAATTAGAGATGGAACATTTCACATATATAGAGATGTCACTTATGAGTGGATGTCACTGATAGTCCCTTATCAGTAATACTGTGAAAGTCACAGTTCTTTTTAAAAATAGCTAAGGAAAAGCAACTTAATAATAACACGTTGAACAATATAAGATGTATAGATATACATATAAACATTTTTTTTTATTTATTTACCAGTTTTTTAAATAGTTTTTTTTACTTTTGGTATACATACGTTTTTGTATAAACCTAAATGAAAGTCATATCAAAGATATTACACGGAAATCATAGTGTTACTCTGTTGGTAGCAGCAAACTATAATATTATTGTTATTACGTAACAATATATATTTACATCATTAACTTCTTGGTTTTAGTTATTGAGTGTTGTTATTTACAAAATAAACTTAAGTTTGCTATATAAGCGCAACTAAATATTTATATAATAATAAATGCTGGAATCAAATTACGTTCTATCGGTTGTGCACAGTTATTTGGAGACGGTCAACAACAATTCAAATTTAATCGTAATTTATTATCGATGCTGCGGAACTGTTCATACTCATGCCGCGAAATTTTGAGTTCCTAACCGAATAATTTTGAAACATACATATGTATGTTAGTCTTAATTAGTCATTTTTAGAGATTCAAGATTTGTAAAAATACAGCTCCTTTTCGATTTGCCACACCTCAAAGAAAACTAAACTATTGTTCGGTTTAGTAATGGAGGATGTCAACAATACCTTAATAATCAAATTTTCGAACCTCTTACTTTATCTAATTTTGTCCGATTATCCATACATATCATTTTTTAATCACACAAGTATTTAATAGAAACTGTGAGTGCTCGCTCCAATAATCTTCAAAATATATATGGTTAAGCTGTGAAAAATTCAGTTCAACCAGATGAGCCACGCCCTCAATGGGCGTATATATAGAATGAATATTTTTGTATAGTGGTTGCTAAAATGAAGAATTACAAAAATGTTTTTGTTTTTGTGGTTATTAATGCCTGAAAGGAGACAGTAATTAAAATATAATCTAGTGCAAAGATATAACTTAAACAGTAACATTAAAGTATTTAACGACTCGTGTCGACAAAATTTATGTAGTTACATATTGCTTTTGTTATCTTTGACACTTTTAAAAATGGTTGCTGGTTAGTTGTATGTGATTGTTGCATATAGTAGGCAATATAATATTTAATATAATATTAATATTTTAATATTAATTTACTTTTTTACATTTGGTAAAAATCTATTCAGGTAATTTAGTATTACATTATTTTGAACCTCAAACACTGGTGTGATTACTGTGTTCATATAGTGTTATGGTTTGTATATGTGAGATGTCTTCCAGTGCACGCGGTTTACCTACGTATACAAATATTTGCTTTTGCAAGAATCAGTAATTTATGATAATAGGCTAAACTAAATCACTATAATTCCTTAATTCCTGCTGTTAGTCTGGTTACCTGAGTCTGCTTCTTCTTTCTTGAGGTCCATACTATGGAATACATGTTCATAAATAACTTCTAAAAAACTTACCTTTAAATACTTAAATGGGAAATGCAAATCGTTTATTTGATTTGTGTATGCAAAGCATTGATCCGATGTTTAAAAAAGTGCCAGAAGACAAGCGAATTGTGGAATGATATTCTTTCATTTGAGTTTAACAAATTTTAATATGAATACATAATTATATGCCTGATTCTTTGTAATAGGTAATAGAAAAGAAATTAGCAATTGTAATGAATGTAATATAATGTAATTTTATATATATTGTACAAATGTAGAAATAAACACAAAGCACAAAGAGAGCCTCTTCGGCATTTTTATAACTATGACCAAAATCAATGATTAGTTGAAGATCTAGGATCAACAAATCTTTGGGTGACACTTCGTTGAGCTCTTCCCTAAATAAATCGATAAATTGTAAATTATTTTGAAATTTTATTAACTTTTTACAGCTGGCAGCTCGACAGAGTATGTTTTTAATGTCAAATTCAGGGAACATTTTAACTTGAAATGTTTTAACGTAGTAAAAAGGCCCAATAAAAAGCGTTTCAAAACAGTAGCAGTAGTGCTGATTATAAAGTAGCATCATCATTAGGCAAACAGACGTGGAGCCTTGTTTATAAGTATTATTATTTATGTGTATAACTGAAATGTGTGTTACTTTTGTATTTCACACTTGTAGGGTGTCATTAAGTCATAAAGTGTTTATAACATGGTTTATAAGTGTATGCATGTGTGTGATCAGCGCAAGCTTACAGCAGCACTTTCAAGTGCTTCACTTACACCTAAGAATGAAACCTATCTGCTACCGCATCACATCATGTGACGTAACGTTTACCTTTGCTTGTCTATAAATAATACTGAATGTAAAATGCACATCTATTTTCGCATATTTGTGTATTGAGGCGAAGAGTCCCCAAGAGTAACTATATTTGAAAATTTTGACATCTATATTGTAATAATAGCAACACTTTTCTTTAATTCAATATTCACATTCAATTAATTTAGAGAAAATGAAACTGGAGGGCAGGGGTTTTCTTAACACCCCATACTGAAGTGGGACACATTTAATAAATTTGTCAAATGTCATCTCCACATTTATTTATCTTTACTGAGCACTGATAACTAAATTATCAATGTTCATACGAGGGATGTTCAGTAAGTCAGTTACTGATAGGCATTTGTTTCTTTAGTCGACCCAAAGTAAGTATATAGCACCGTTTTGTCACCGTTTTTTATCAAATTATCAAATTTATTTTGATATTGATCTTTTTAAACTCAAGGTAATTGACGTGAATGACACCGTGTGCATCCCAAAAGTCGGGCCATAGACTTTTTAGCTGACATACCCACCTTGGCCTTCTTTGATTCACGTTCACCTGATGAAACCCGGTTTTAGATTATTCCTTGTGATGGATCTATGCTTAACTGCGGCTACAAAATCAAAAATTCAATAACTCGTTCGGGTTGCGTCGAACACTCTCGCCAAACACTCTTTGAAGTGGTGACACTATTGCACTTATAGTAGAGAGTGAGCAATCGAATCACCCACTTCGCGGATAGTTTTATAATATCCAAATATATATATAAACTTACAGTCTAAGACACTTCAAGTGCATGTAATCTTTAAATACTGAGAAGGAAATTTAAATATCTATTATTATTAAAAAAGCCCTCGTACATAGAAAACCATTTAAAACGAATCTTGGCTATCTTTATATGTTTGCTAGCACATCGTGTCTCATCAGTAACACTTTAAAGTAGCTTCGGTAATGATAGCTAATTTCTAAAAAATTAACACAATTCTTACAATGTCAACGAGTGTGAACCAACAAGATGCTGAATCAAAGCCAGCCCAAAAAACCATGAATATTGGTCATGAATATGAAGAAGTTCTTGAACTGATCGGTAGGTCAGCTTTTTAAAATTACTTGTACTGTAGTATGCAGACCACTCTATTAAATAACTATTTGCTAAAGGATTTGGACGCGTGCAGTGGATTATACTGTTAGCATCAGGACTGTTGCTTATGATGGTCATAAATGAGACCATGGGTATGTCATATATAACGATTGTATCCCAGTGCGACTTTGAAACAAATTCAATATACAAGGCCATCATGAGTGCTGCTAGTTTTATCGGTAAGTTTACAGCTTTAAATGTGATGGGTTTTGAAATATGTATCTGTTGGGCAAATCTTTAAAAAGTTTTCTACTATAAATGAAATTAGTTAAATAAGTGAATATAGATCAAATATTTTCTATATGGTGATACAAATTAACGTTATATTGTTTATATGTAGAGTCTCTTAGAATATGATGCAGATCTAATTAAGCAAATTAAAGTTATGATAATCAGTTTGACTCCACATTAGACTAAAATTAAAAATAATTAAATTTCCATATTCAAAGTTTTAAACTTTTGCTGTTTGACCTTATATCACACGTAATATATTTGTAAGCATTATAATATAAGAATTTATTCAAGATTAATTAGAAACGCTCACTTAACTTTTAATAATATTGAAAAAGTGGTGGGAATATACAAACCAATCCTTTCCCTAATTGTTGTTGTGCAGGCTAACTCGAGATTGTATCATGGCGGATAAACTGTTGTATCAAGGTGTCATAGAGTTGAGGTATAGGTAGGGTTATAGTAAATTATTTAACTTATTAATATTTTTCGAAAACATTTTCTTATATAGGAATTTTTAGCTCTTCGTACTTCTGGGGTTATCTAAGTGATGCCATTGGCCGTAAGCCAGTTCTGATATATACGACGTTATGTGGAAATCTTTTGTCATTAATATCGATCATTATTCCAAATTTCTGGATTTATGTGGTGGCTCGATTTTTGGTTGGATTTTTGTAAGTATACAGTTAAATTGTCAAATCATATATTCATATTCACATAGTTTATTGGAGTTTATAGTGTATGGGTGTATTACTACTAGGCATAACTGCATTCCTTACAAACATAGATTGTCTTTCTACTTAATATACTTAATACAGTTTATACATACATATAATATATTTAGACTCATTCCCCTCGTTTTCGTTTTGGTCTATATGACAAAAGTCTTTAATTTATTCAAAGGCTATATTCACTCTAACAAATTATTTAGTCAAGTACTTTTAAAATATCATGAATATATTTATTTACAGTATAGCAGGTGCTTCTTCGACTACATATGCATATCTTGGAGAATTTTTTACTCCCCGGTATCGACCAATAGTTATTAACTATGCAAGTCTGTTTGTCGGCATTTCTACAATTTATGTGCCAGGTAAATATTTTATAAAATTGAAATTTAATTTAAAATCATATAATCAATTCAAGTGAATTTCATGTTTAAGCTATTGCTTGGCTTGTTATGTCAATGGACTGGACTGTGGAAGTGACTGAAAACTTTATGTTTCGCCCTTGGCGATTGCTTACTGTATTTTATCTAATTCCTGGACTGATAGGAACTATACTGCTGATAAAAATGCCAGAAAGTCCAAAGATTTTACTATCGATGGGTAAAATCGATGATGCGTTTAGCGCCGTAGAGTGGATCGCCTTAAAAAATATTGGAAAACATCTCCGTGACCTTAAAGTTGAGACACTAAAATGTGATGTACTTTCAGACAGAGAAAACATCCTGAATGTTTCCAACTTACCGTGAGTTTGACAGCAAAAAATATAAGTTTTTTGTGAACAATAGTTTTTTATATCGTTTAGAACGGTGTCCATCAAAAAAATGTGGGAAGAAACTCTACCACTGCTCAAAAGGCCGCATTTAAAAAACTTTGGCATAAGCTGCATTGTTATGTGTGGCCTCTTCTTCAGGTGGGTTAGATGTTTACTTAACTTGATTTTTAACATATATATTTATTTAACTTTTCAGCTCCTCGGGCATGGGCTTGTGGTATCCAGAAATACTTAATCGGTTGGAATCGTCCGTCACTGAAGATGCAATGACTGTTTGTGACGTGATCGATGCTTCTGTTAATCAGCGGCATGTCAACATAACCACAGATGTATGAGCATGCGGTCAAACATTACGTTGAACAATTCTAAAACCTATTCCATTTTTTACAGATTTGTAATGATCAAATCAATACAAAGAGCTACATCGATACGATTACATACGGATCATCTTTAATTATAGGATATGTTGTAATGGGTTTTGTTATTAATCAAATCGGGCGCAAAGCATCCATTACACTGGGACTAACCATTGCTGCTGGTTGCGCTCTTTCGTTAATATGGATTAAAAATGAAGTTGTTATAATAGTCTGCTTTTGCTTGTACCTGGTATTACCGGGCTTATGTATATCGGTGTTAAGCGGGGTCGTGGTAGATCTCGTCCCCACAAAACTAAGAGGCAAGGCCGTTTGCATCTGCTTAATGCTAGGACGCACAGGAAGTGTTTTTGGCAGCAACATCATTGGTATACTTCTCGAATCGTATTGCCATATAACATTTGGATTATTCTCTGGATTTGTTTTGGGTGAGTCCGAATTAGGCAATTAAGTTATACACAATTCGCAAGTATTAGTGTTATTTAATTAAGTATTGACTCAGTATAATGTGAGGGCTTTTCGTAAACACTTTAAAACTTTTGTATGTCATGCAATGGAGTAAATTGTAATTAAAATTTTAGTATATTATATATATATATATATATATATATATGTTCAATATTTACAATATTTTAAAATGTATTCTTTAATATTTTTAATGTAATCTTTATCTTTTTTTCTTTTTTTCTTTACAGTTTGTGCGTTGTTGGCCTTTATTTTACCAATGTCAGCGATGAAACAGTACTAATGGCAATAGCATACTGAGAAAATTCAATTCATTTAAGATAAATATATGCTTCAATGCTTAACTTATGTCATTATATCAAATTAATATAATAATAAACAGGAGTGATATTGTGATATTGATACATACATGCACAGAAATATATTCACACACGCTTATTTCTCACTTTATGAAGAGGCTGACCATGGCCTGCAATATAGGAAATTAATTGTGGAACATCAGAGTTATTCAGAGCTAAATATTGAAATCTAAATATACCTACAAATATAACTAAATTTTCATTTTTCCAAAATCCAAAATTAGAATTATTCATCACAGGGGAATCAAGCTATCCTGATCATCAAGGAATAATACTTTTAATACCAAGACAAAATATATACAATCTTTGTGTACTAATCTTTGTATACTTTGTATAAGATCAGTGTCATTATACGGATTAGATAACTGACTAAAATATCTACAGTAGTAGTTTCAGAAAACCTAGAAAATATAAAACTTGGCAAATATGTTCTGTCACATCCATTCAAGCTTTGGTAAAGTAATAATTCGTATGTTGGCAAATTGTTTTAGTTCAATTCGAAAAAACGCTACAAACAAGTTACGTTTACTGACCGCCAACGACCTCAAAATAGCTACTTTGTCTGCCCACTTACAATGTAGCTTGTCGTAGCGTTGACTTGGTCTGTGTCAAGTTAAGGCCACAAACTTATATATGTATGTATATGTTAACAAATAAATTTTTTGATAATTCGAATATTTTCGAATATGATCATTTTAAGATAAGTAAAAAATGTATTTTCCATATCAAAAATTTTAAGCAAAATATAACAAAAGGCTATTGTTGGAGATGGCTATCTAGGCAAGGTACTTTAAAGCCCGACCAACATGAGTTTTCAACGCGTCAATGATAACTGAAAAAGGTAATGCTGTTGCTTAAAAACTTAAAATATAGTTAATTCTAACTTGAACAATCAGAACAATCAAGAATTCTTACGTAAATCCATAGAGGAGGTCACCAGTAACTCAATTGACAAACATTGAGTTTCTCGCTGTTAAACTTTAAAGACACAATTTATAAAGTCACAGTAACTTATAATACTTAATAGTCACAGTAACTTATAATAGCTAGAAGCTCGTAGATCTCCATACAACACGCGCAGATCAAGTTAGTTTAAAATATTCGGTAACTATTCCCGTTTGAATGTAATCGATAAAAAATACCGAACTTCATTATAAATATATCTCCTACGTCTTTGAAGCTAGAATCTCAAAATTGTGCTTGAAGTTTAATGTATATTTTATACCCTTATAATGTTTGGTATATATTGGATAGTGGTCCCAAATTTTACAAAATTCTTTTAAATTAAAGTACAGTTGTAAATATAGGTAATATAAAATAGTTTGCATTTCGACCAATTGGAAAAACCACTTGACTATATATGAGCTCACGTACATTCAAATTCATTAATTCTTTTTATGCGCACAGGCGATATGAGTAGCCAGGAATTCCTGAGTTCACTCCATGGCGAGTAAGATTTATGCTGCGATATCATGTTTTGCATTTAAAATTTGGATATTTCGTTGAGGAGTTCAACAGCAACTTACTTGCCAAATTTTGGGCTTAGATCAAAAAATATAAGAGACACAGTATTTCTTGATTAACCTCTCTCCTAATATTCGAAGATATATCTATATATTTTATGTTCGAGTTGTCTACACAAATATATATTCCTAATATAAATATTCCACTCTCGTATTTCAATATACATTTAAATTACACAGAAGAAGGTACCAATGAGCAAATTTCATGTCTCTAGCTTTAAAAGCATTGTCCAAAATAAATAACAAAGAATAAAAAATGGACAAGTAACTGCCCGATCCGGAAATACTCTGAACCTTACGAAAATTTGTTATTTATTCGTCTGGTCCATATACGGTTTTTGATTGTAAAGATGTGAGTTCAAACCATGAAGGGAATACATTTTGTCAGTCGATAATTTGCATAAGGTTGGGTAAACTAGTTTTTTTTTTAAGAACAACCAGTTGATTTTATGTACCATTGTCCGTCCGTCGTCGTATTTGCAACGATTTCATAAGCCACAAAAGCTAGAGACTTAAAATGTATATATATATATTTTACTTGTTATTTTACTAATTATAAGTTAAATAAAAGGTTTTCAGCTTTGCCATGCGACGTTTTGACGGCCCAAATAAGTCAATTCTGGTATATATGAATTTTATAGAAGAGTAATGCAAATAGTAAGACGATAGCACCTTAAATATTATAATTTATTATATTATAATATATTATAATGTTTAAAATGTCTTAATACTTCATAAGACTTCGTGAACAATACAAAATAAAAACCGCATAATTTAAATCACATAATCTCCCAATCGCTTTACTAAGAAGCTGCATTAGGCTCTATGATTAAGTGTAACCGGAAGCAAAGCTTTAGTCAAGTTTTAAGTAAATATATTTGGAGTACAGTTAAATCCTTTTGTGTCAAGGCTTAGTTTATGATTCGGTTACAAGAACTAGATTTTCCACGAATATATAAATTCGTGTAGGGTTTTTTGAAAGGGCATTTATTGAAAGTGCACTTATGTCAAAGTAATTTATTTAATATATATATCAGCATATATTTGTATTTTGTACACTCACGATTTAAGTCGCCCTCTCTCTCTCTCTCCCTCTCTCTCTCTCGCTCTCTCTCTCTCTATCTCTCTCTCTCTGTCTGTCTCTCTGTATATCTCTATCTCTCCCTTTCTCCAGTTTTATTAAGATATAAAATTCACAAGTATTTTAATCTCAGAACAAGTTTTTTGCGCTCTCAAGCATTAAAAGTTGGTTAGCATTGTAGTAAGTATCTCACAGCTGTGAGCTGTATGTCTTAAATGTTATACATTCGCTTGGAATACTTATAAGGTGTGGCTAGTTTGTAAACATCATCAGTTGGATGCTTGCCTCTCAGAGCGAAAATGCCTTATTTCAGTGGAGATACATTTGTTTCAAATATGTTAGAATATGATGAAGTCTTGGAGAAGATAGGTAAGTAGCTAACCATCCACAAATAGTTGAATTTATCAGCTCAGACTATTTAACTATCTGATACATTGACACAGGTTATGGAAAGACCCAATGGATACTACTTCTAATAAGTGGTCTTTTAACAATCACTTCTGTGGCTGCACAACAAACAATGAGTATTGTTGTCATCGCATCCCGCTGCGAATTTGAAACAACTGAAGCCGAAAAGGGTGTCATGATGGCGGCATATGTAGCGGGTAAGTCATCAGTTACACTGTATACACCGTTTAAATATCAGTTAGCGATTATTTGATACTTGTTAATTAAACATTTAATTAAGTGTTTTATATACCAATCAATAGATTGAATAAATGTGAGTGTATTAAATAATATATTTATATACATATACACATGTACTATATATATATCACTTATATTTAGTATTAAATAATATATTTATATACATATACACATGTACTATATACATCATTTTATACACTCTCATATATTCAAATGAAACATGCTGATTAACATATTATAAGTATGCATCTGTATATAAACTTAGCGATATCTGTATATATTACAAAACAACGGAAATTTGCATTTTAAAGGTGTTTTTCTCTCAACCTATATATGGGGATATGTCTGCGATGCTATAGGACGCCGTAAAGTTTTGCTTTACGGAACATTTTCAAGCAGCGCCCTTCTATTTATTCTCATGTTTGTTACAAGTGTTTGGCTATTTAACATTATTAACTTGCTTTCTGGTATCAGGTAAGTGTCATTTATGTAAATTAACTAAAACTACACCCCAAATGCATTTAAAAAGCATAAGCTAGAAACAATAATGCCTAGTATCGGGCGATTTCGACAAAGCTCTACTACTTGCTTTTTTTTTAAGAAAATAATATGTTAAATATATATACTGAAGAATTAATCACTTACAGCCTCGGCGGTGTCTCAGCAGCAATTTATGCTTATTTGAGTGAATTCAACATACCCCGTCACCGAGCAGTAGCGATCAATTACTCCACAATGTTTGTCAGTGTTAGTGCCATATATGTTCCAGGTAATTATAAAATTTCTCAATACTGTACGAGTATTTTGTCCGATTCACACATATATTTCCATATATTTTAAAATCTGTACTATCAATGGAACTAGAAATTATTTATTCTTATAGCAATTAAAAATGAGAATTCGTGATACATGTTTTTTTTTAATTTAAAACCGGTCAACAATGTTATCGGAAATCAGTTATTAAAACATTTTTTTTGGTATATCTGGGTATAGAACCATGAACCCGTCGACAATATTCTTAACAGGACGTCGACTTAGTACTGTCCGCCTGTCTGCTTGTGTGAACGCGTCGATGGAAGATATAGGTGTAGATATGGACACTATATATTTTTAATCTTGAGTTATCAGCTCGGGTATATATTCCAAATTAGAAATGATACTACTTAAAATAATAGAGTTTGTGAGATACGAGATATAGTTTTTCGAATTTCTACGCCCCTAGTAGGAGTAATGGACAAAAAACCCAAGAATATATATTCAATATTTCAAGCCTTTGGCTACAATACGGGCGAAATGGATTATTTCTTACGGACAGCCGGACAGATGGACGGACAATTACATCATGAATGAGTATAAAAACTTCACTGATTAACAATAAGCAATGCGAAATGCGAAGTACATGTTGCTCAAAGTTCAGAAAACAGCGCATTTCACATGATGAACACAGTTACGTGCTCACTGAAATGGCATTGGTTTGGACAACTACATTTTCAAGATTTTAAATATCTCAACGATAAACGAGCATGCATGTTGATATAAATGGGTAAAGTGCGTTAACCCCATTATTTTATTTTTTGTTTGTGCCATATATGGTCCGCAAACATAAGGCAAGCATGTTTTATTTTGTAATCGGAACAACTTTAGGGCCTTTCCAAGAAGAAGAGACCAGAGCTCTACGCTTTTACTTTCTATTTAAGTTAGAAACCGTTTTTCTTTCGGTGGCTATGCTTTTAACACATATTGTCAATGCCAGATATCCCGGAAGGTATGTGTTTTTCTTAAACATTTTAAGCTGACAAGGCAGTAAGTTTGCGGCTTAACGGATACCGCTGCTATATGTGTTGAAGCAGCGACGGCAAGCTTACTTGCTTACTCAGCCTGCTGTCTATACCTTAGCCAGATGCAATGATAGATTATTTTTATTTTAATATGTTTGCACGGCTTTAGGGAATATTTAATTTGTTGTTTAGGAATACTAAAATCTTTGGTTTCACGCTCAGCTTATTGAATGCATTAATCATATCATCAATATCATTTGGATAGTAGACTGAATTTCTTCGATAAAGTAACGGGAGAACCTCATCTCATTTGCTCTTTTTGTGTCCTAGCGGACAAAGAAATTTAGCGCATTCTCGATCAGTGACTTCTAAAATCACTGGAAGACGATCTGAATAATCGCGGAATTGCTAGTTGTTGCCGAGAAGCTTTAGGTTCGATGCCTGGCAGTGGCGGTTTTTTATTTCCATGTGCAGAAAGAAGCAATGAAGTATATTTAAAAAGACAGTTCGGTCCCGTCTAGATTAATATAATTGTAATAGTTCGGATTTATAGTCTATACATTAAACATTAATTGTGGACATGGACTTAGAATCTTACAGTGGGGAATACATTTAAATTTCCGTTTAAACTATTAATTATTTCCACTTTTTTTACTTATTCACGGAGTGAAATGAAGAATCTTTCAATAAGCTTTCCGTTTACATAAACATCCTAATATATTCATATATTTAAAGATTGTATTCTAATGTATTGACAGCAACCGCTTGGGCAGTATTATCTTACGACTGGAGTATCCCGATTGTTGGCGACTTTGTGTTTCGACCATGGCGCTTATTAATGTTATTAACTCTTTTACCTGGAATTATTGGAGGGCTGATACTAATACGTTATCCCGAAAGTCCAAAGTATCTACTATCTCAACAAAAAGAGGAAGAGGCATTAATTGCTGTAGATTGGATCAGTAAATTTAATCGAGGATTACCAATTACTCAAGTTCTTAATTGTAATGAAGTCAGATTAAAGCCAGAGATACAAGCTGAAGAAAACATAATATCAAATTACAAAGGCTGGCAAATGCTCACAAACATCGCTCGTGCTACTAAACCCTTGTTTCAAAAGCCACATGGATTTAATTTCGTGCTATGTAACGTGGCTCTCTTTTGTATGTTTTTCAGGTACGTTAGAAAAAGAAATAACTTCAAATACTATACACGGACCTTTAGACTAATATTATAATGACATTTTCCCAAATCGCATGATAACATTTTTTGTCACTCATGTTAAGTAGTTACGGTTATAATTACTTAAAGTACTATTAAAAGTTGTGAGGACTCTAAAATATTTAGTAATGATCGCTTAATCAACGTTATTATTTCTATACAATATATTTTTTAGCTCTAATGGAATACAACTTTGGTTTCCAGAGATTGTTAACCGATCATCCAATGACGAAAATCGTAACTCTACAGTTTGTGAAATATTGGGCAGTTCCGAGCAAGGCCAAAATGAATTAATGAATAGCACTAATGTAAGATGTCAATCACACTGTTATAAATGAAGTAAATATTCTTACTTTATTTTTAGATCTGCTCCGATGCAATATCAACCAATACTTATATTGATAGTATGATAGTGGGAGTTGCTTTTTTGGTCGGCTTCTCAATACAAGGCGTCATATTAAACCCTCTTGGGCGTAAAAATGTTTTGATGGCTGCTCTTATATTATCAATATTGAGTGGATTTCTCCTACATTTTGTTGCGAATCCCATCGTGGTGCTAATATTATTCTGCTTATGCATCCTTTTGCCTGGACTATCAATTTCAATTATGCTGGGTGCAATTGTCGATCTGGTCCCAACAAGTTTAAGGTAATAAATAACACCTAATTATTGTTTCGTCCCTTAACTCGAACTGTATTCCTTCAACACGGAGACTCGGACTATGTAGTTTCTTTAATATACACTAATATTAATTAGTTGTTCTACTTCGAAGATCGAGTTTATAAAAGCTCAAATAATACTTTTTAAATGATCTAAAAAACCTTTCTAATTTATTAAATTTATATTGTGTAGTCAGACCCAACCCACTTCAATTTCTTTAATCGTTTAATGCATTTTTTATAAATATGGTATAATTCATGCTAGCATAGGAAATTCAGGGCATAATGCTTATACGCTATAGAAAAAGACGAATATCTGCGTTAATGTAGTCATGTCTGTTTGTATGCCTATGTGCCGTATATCCATAGTCCCAAAAGCTAAGGTCTTGAAATGAAATACATACTTTTGTATACCATTCACAGTAAAAGCTTACCTTTTGTAGAAAACTTATAAGTCTTAGGATTAAACAATAATTTGAAGACCGTCTAAGCAAACATCAAATAAATATTTCGGAATTTGGATACCTCCCCGATTATCTAAAAAATGAATAAAAATTAATATATATCTATATATATATATATATAAATATATATATATATATATATATATATATATATATATATATATATATATATATATATATATATATATATATATATATATATATATATATATATATATATATATATATATATATATATATATATATATATATATGTGTGTGTGTGTGTATACGGAGTGTAATGCACTGTTGTATCATTTTAGAGGAAAAGCTGTTAGCTTGTGCATGTCGTTAGGCCGACTTGGAACTATTGCAGGAACAAACCTCATGGGTATTATATTACTCCAGTATTGTACCACAACGTTTGCATTGCTTTCTTTAATTCTTATAGGTAAGTAATAATAAAAAGCATACCTAACCTTAAAAGTATAGTCCTCGAATCTATTTATAAGAAGATAGCAAAAATGATCTTTCGGTTACCCTCTAATAACATACAATTTTACCCTTTTCTTTCAAATATTCTTTTGAGTTGGTCTATGTTTAGTTTTGAATTTTAAAGCTTCCCAAAATAAAATTTTTAATTTTTTAAGTTATTCATGTAAAAATCCGTATGCCTATAAATAAGAGCTCAGGGGAATTATCTTTGCTGCCTCAGTCGAAGGCCTAGTCTATTTCTTAAAAATGAAAATAACAATAACAAAATTATAGTGAAAATAATTGGTGAAGTCCGAAAGAAGCATTTTAGCTCAAAATTTGTCAAAATAATTTAAAATTTGTAATTTTTGATCTTATTGTGAATATTTCGAAAGCAAAAGCAATATTTTAACATTTAATAAACATTTATACACTATTAACAACATTTTTTTACAGTATGCTTCGTGGTTGTGTATCATCTTCCAATCCGGAATTCGGCATAATTTTAATTTTGTGATTAAGATAAGCGTTATATAAAAAATATATATAGACGTGAATACACTTACATACAACATATATATTATACATATTTGACACCTTAAAATACTTGTTTAAACTCTAAAAACCTGTAATACCAGATGTTTCTAAATAAATGTTAACAATTATTAACTATTTTTGAATGGGTAAGGGTATATCAAGTATATTCAGTGCTGTAATCTGTAACCAGATGAGTATAACTTAGTCATAGACAAATAATACTACTTATTGAATTATGTTATAATTAACATCATTGATATATACAATAATCTATTAATAGTATAACAATGTGACTTACCTATTTTCTTCCTCCGATGTTTCAAGTCTATTGCTTTATTAAAGCTTTAACATTTGTATATTGACTCGGTAGACTTGCCTCTTGTTAAAGTGTTTAAGAATGCACTTTCAATAACATAGGTCTATTGATTTGAGTATCATTGATGTTCGAAAACAAAGTGATGGGATCTTCGCGCATTTTCTAATAGATAAATTAATCAGACACCTTCAGGTATCTACATATTTATAGCGATTGCATAGTAATAAGATTATACAATAACTTCATTATCCAAATGTCTTGATTATCGAGAAATTTATTAAGCTTCCGCTTCACATCGTACATCGGTTGTTATGATGAAAAGTTTTTATTGTCATTCAGAAATTTTATTGAGTGAGCTTTTTATTTCTAACTATAAAATCTGTGTGTAGCACACAGTTACAATAGAAGAGAGAGGATTTATAATTTTCTCATTTTCTTAATCGATTTTTTAATTTTTATAGGACGTTTAATCTGAGAAAACATGTATTTACCTAACAGAATTAGTCTTTACTAAAATCGGTTTCGAATTAGTTTTAGTTTCGGATTAGTTGAAAATGTAAAAAATTTCAATAGGTTTGATAACAGGGATATCAATTAGAGGATGTTCACAATAATTTGTTATTGTTTGAAGAGACTATTCTTCTTCTTCATATTCAGCATCTTCGACGTAAACTTCACCGGCAGTGTTCTCCAACACGAAAGAAGTTTCTCCAATCTTTGAGTTCAAGTCAATGATTGGTTCATGTTCAATTTCAGCAACAGGAGTTTCTGGTTCATCAATTATGGGCTCATCAACATCTCTACCTTCTTTTTGAATGGATTGCAACTCTTGAGCAACTATTTCTGCTTCTTGACGTGCGATTTCGGCCAGTTCAGCTGCTTGGCGTGCCAGGTCACCCTCGCGCTCTTCTTCAGCTTGTTTTTCGATTTCTTCCAAGCGACTCAACTCTTGCTCCCGCAAACGCTTTTCTTCTTCTAAACGGGTTTCCTCAGCCAGGCGATCTTCTTCAGCTTTACGGGCAGACTCTTCTGCTTCTTTTTGTGCAGCTTCTTCGGCTAAACGATTCTCCTCTTCAAGTTTACGAGCTGCAGCTTCTTCTGCAGCTTTGGCTTCTTCTGCTGCTTTTTGAGCAGCTTCTTCTGCTGCTTTTTGAGCAGCTTCTTCTGCCAATCGAGCCTCTTCAGCAATGCGAGCCTCTTGAGCCAATCGTTCTTCTTCAGCTTTAAGTGCAGCTGCTTCTTCAGCCTTTTTGGCTTCTGCTGCCGCCTTTTGAGCTGCTTCCTCCGCTAAACGAGCTGCCTCTGCAAGACGAGCTTCCTCAGCAAGGCGAGCTTCGTTAATAAGTCGTTGATCTTCGGCTAATTTCTCCGCTGCACGCAATTTTATGGCTTCTTCCTCTAATGCTTTTTTTTCAGCTTCTTCGCGTTCTTTTTTTGCCTTAAGAGCACTGTAATAATTGGTCATACCATTAGAACTATCTTAGACAATTATTAAATTCCACTTCGTGTACTTCTCTTCACGACGCTTTGCTTCGTCAGCAGCGCGTTGAGCTCGTTTTTTCTCTACTTCTAGTTCATCTAAAGCCTCTTCGTTTACAGTCAACAGACGCTCCTGGCGTAGACGCTGCTTTTCTTTCGATTCCAGATCAATAGCATCTTCGAGGGGTCTGGGAGCAGAAAATTTTCTTGAAGGACGATTCGGATCCAAATCGGCATCTGAAAGCCAAATCTGGTTATAGCTTATGTCTGTCTTACTGTTTTGAGTAGTATTGAGTTCTACTTTAACCCAAGAAAAATGCGATTAATTAATTATGTTAGTCACGTATATATATATATTTGTATGTATATAAGCAATTATATTTTTAATGAAATTTAAGATATTGAATATATAAATGTACTTACCCTTTGCAATTGCTGGGATATTGGCCTATACTTCAACAGTGGAGATTTTCAGATAAAAAGACTCCAGTAATACAGTAATTATTTTATACTCGAATTAAATGTACAAAAGAAATATTCGTGTGTGTGCCAATTGTTAGAGATATGAGATTATTGTGTAATCGAATATAAAATAAAGAGTATTGTATGTACAAAGGACCCGAAGTAATGATTCGTGCATAGAGTGTGAGTCCAAATAATATGTTATTGCTCCAATTATTTTTGCTCAGGCAGAAAGAATAGACCTGTTCTCACAAAGTTTCAATATTTGTAAGTCTCATTGAAGTGTAACTGTCATTCATATGAATAAAGGTGCTAATCTTAAAAGTATATTTAATGTCGATGTCAAAATCTATAATTTATTTCAAGCAACCCGAATTCTTCAACTACATAGGTGGTATTTCGATTTTTCTTCAACACTTGAATATTACGATACAAATTTTCTTCAACTCCCATTATATTTACTGTATATAAAATGTTCGATTGTGTGTGAAAATGCAAATGAAAACATATACTTATACAGCAATTCAGCCTATTACTTAGATGATCGAATCAATATTTGAAAATGTAGGTCAAGGTCATCAAGGCTCTCACAAGATTTATTAGCTAGTTATTTGCTATTGGCCATTGGCCAGTGGTACGATATACATATATGTACACAAATATCTATAAAGAGCAAAGGAGGAGTACATAATACACAAAGAAGTATAGTTATGTATCTGATGGCATCACAAACTTGTATTTAGTTTCCGTTATCTCTAGTTAAACAGTTTATATTTCAATAAGATTTACATTTTTAGATCTGTGATTACATATATATATATATATATATATACATATATATGTATATCACTGAGCATATGACATTCCATATAAAATACATTGCACAAGTTTAAATATACACGTCCACATACATTTAAAAAATATATGATAAATTTAAAGTTTACATAAATCAAAAAAAAAATTTTTTAATTTTCCAAATGCCCAGTAAATTTGAATCAGTAAAATATATATCAAACAAATATCATATGCATTGACGGGTTAAAAATATAACAATAGATTGAAATGATGGGTGAGTTTTGTGAATTACTGTAGAGATCGATTCATCAGAAATTTGTAATAAATCTTTCAATGGTCAAGTTTATATTAGTTGTCATGTTAGTCTGGATATAAAGCGTCTGCTGATTCTGCTGATATCACTTGTTTATTTTGTTGATATCGGTTTTATATACTAACAGGCAAACATAAGTTTTTTTAAATTTATTTATTTATTTAAAATATAATAATGTGTATGTCCATATTTTATAAAGTCAGGCATGTTATCTTTTAGGCCTCAACTTCAACAGCTTCAACTGGAAAGAATCAATCAATCATAAAACGTATTAAGTTAGTCAAGTACAAAGAACAAAGCTAATAGGATGCGAAAACAAATGCATTAGTTACAAATTATTCGAATTACGGTCGCTCCCATGTAGAAGGTAATGAACAATTTAAATATTTACGATATTATGCAAATTTGAAAAAAAAGTGACATTTTCACAAATTACTTTGTAAATGTCAGAATAATATCCTATTAACTTTAACTACTCTATGCATTTATTAATCTAGAAGGAAGATCGAAATACAAATGATTTAGTTAAACGATCATGAGTAAAAGGATCACTAGTTCTCTTTTGCTTTATACAGATGCCACTCATAAGCAAGTAATAACATGAAATCTGTTTGTAACAGAACTTACCTTCCTGATGAGCAATATTGCTTTGTTTCTCATTCTTCCAGGTCGGATGTCTAAGGTACCAGGACAAAAGGTTAATATCGTTTCGAACTTTGTCCGAATCGTACATAGGCCTTCTAATATTATAAGCCTTATCGCCACATATCCTTACAGAGGCAAGATGACTTTTACCTTATTATTTAATATTTGAAGAACAGCATTTAATAACAATTTTAAAAACAATGCAGGTTGCAACTAAATTGCTATTACACTATATTTAATATCACAATAGTAATCCAAATGTATTAGAGGCAACACTAAAATGTATTTACACATATATTCGATTCAATTACTCACCAACATATTTTACTGCTGGTCTTGGATAGTGAGATATATTGTGAACTTCCTTGGCAATATGACGCACCGGATTTGTAACTCGGGCAACATAGGCATCTAAGGCTAACTGAGAGGTCGGGCCATAAGAATACCTAAAAACATCAAATTACCTCGGTTAACTTACTTATCGAATTTCCCTATCTTAAATAAAACTACAAGAGAAATGTTCAATCATTTGAGGTAAGCTCTAGCTTTCGAGGAAACTGATTTTCAAAAGTGTTCAATAAAACATTGTGTGTTTAAGTTGCTATAAAAATTTGTAAAAATGAGAAACTTGACCCATATACATATACTACGATTATATAGAAAAATAACAGTTACTCTAAGGTAGACTACAAATATTTAATAAAGTGCTTAATGGGGAATTCAATATTATATCAATCCTAAAACACAGTCCACTTATACTAATTAATTACCACAAAGTAAGCTTACCCAGTCACTGGAAACGGCGTACAGCTTCGTGCACGACGAACAACGGGAGTGTGCAAGTCCCGCATTAATGATTGTGCTCGATTACGTATCCTACCCGTTTCCTCCGAAAAGGTCTACATTTAAGTATTTAGGAAATTAACAAACTTTTCAAGTAATTATTATCTGAAAGCTTCTGTGCTGATTTTAACTGAATAAAATAAGCGGAAACTTTGATATTAACCTCCCAAAACTTACGGTGAAGGGTTCGGTATTGAGATAATTAGTTAAAGCCCATGCGCCATATCCAGGAGGAAGTCTCTTCAGGTATGAAGGTGTTACACGTAACGGAGATGTAGTGATCCTTACCGGAGATACCGATCGAGCATAAACACGTGTAACAGTTGTAGGATTGTAATGGTACGAAGGTGTATATGTCGTATACGATGTTGGGATATAGGCAGAAGAGTAGTATGTCGATGGCAAATAGGTTGGACTATAGTATGTCGATGGCGTAGTATAGGTGTAAGAAGACGTTCTCTCCGGAGATGATATCACACGTGTTGTAGTACGCACAACGCGCACAGGCGATGGAGAGTGTATAATGCGCGAATAAACTCGGGTGGGAGAGGTAACAACCCGAACAGGCGAAGTAATAACGCGTGTTCCACTGGTGACACGTCTTGGGATGGAATAACTCGAGTAGATTGGATAACTCGTTTTGTATACCTAGTATATTTATCAATATTGCAAGTTAGTAGAATATTAAACCAAAAAATAACATTGATAGTGCATGAAGATACATGAGAGCGAAATAGAGAGAGTGATAATAGTACAAGTCAATGCCTTCATATGGGTATTTTCATTACATGCACTAGACAGTCGTTGCTCTTTTATTAATACTTAAGGAGAATCAAGTGTATTTAATATAATGCAAAGCCATGGGAAAAATAAGCATCAATTCTGCGTAAAATGATGCTGGAAGCATCATCACGGCGCGGATTTCTCCTAGCCTGGAATTACTAGAGTATATTTATATTTAACTGCAAGACACTTTTGCATTGAGGATCCTTAATATTAAAAATTACGAGAGTATTCTAATCGGATGTGCTTGACTACCGATGCTATGTTCAAAAGGGTCTCTTCTGTGTCCCAATGAGCAACCATGCTAGAGAGTGTACAGGTTTTTCTTGCAAAATTAATATAATGAAACCTAAAGACTATTAATTTTAAATTATGTTTTCAAATATGTTAATGAAGGGTTCGCTGATTTTTAAATAGCAGAACTTTCATCTGTTTAAAAAATAAATAAAAAAAAAAAGTTAAGCTCAGTAGCGGCTGACAGTTCATACATAACTCATCGCAAGTTCATCAAGTCTCTAGCTCTCATAGGTTCTGAGATCGACCCGTCCTCATCAGGAATATGTATAATTTAAGGGGCCTGCCAACCCTTGTTCTGCCAATTACATACTTTTTAAAAAACTATTATATAACAATTTTGCATTTTAATCTGGTAAGAATATTTTTGATAAATACAAATACAATTACCCCTAAACATTTAGTGTTAAAGTTTTATGTAATTCAACAAATATTTCAAAAATTTATAATATTCGTTTGTTTTGGGGCATATATTGGTAAAGAACTGCAGTTTATAATTAAGATTAAATATACTAACCACTTATGAATCCAGGTGACGATGAAGTGATTGAAGTATGAGCAGAGTGATAGATTAATTGAAAAATTTTAAAAACATTAAAGATGATGATGACAAGCAGATCATGAGCAACAAAAACTGTTTTTAAAAATACTTACACGTGTCACTTTTTGAACAGACGGATACTGAAAAGGAATTATACAACATTGAATATAGTTTAATATGTTTTTAATGGGAAACACCACTTCCTGATATCTCAGCCCCACATATAATATTGGCAAACTAAGAATTTATGTTCCAAGGGATATTTAATCGATAACATCATCCAGCTTTGTTCATATGAATATCGTATTTGAAATAACATAATGCAGTAAATTTGTACATATGCAAATAATTATATTTTTTGGGTGAACGCGTATTTTATTTTATTGTATCACAAATACTTTGAAACTATAAATGATTTAAATGATGGGTAAATACATCATAGACATTTGTCTAGTTATCTCATTAACAATCAAAGAAATTATTAGTTATGTTAGTTAATTCGAACAATTTACACAATTCCGGTAGATAATATAAAGAGACTTCATACATCTAAATGTACATACGTATGTATCCGGTTAGATAGTACAAGTTGCATTACAAAGAAAAAACAATTTTAGCGGAACGATTAGTGTAATAAAGTTGTAGCCGCATAAGCCATTTATGCTATTGTTTTCATAAAATCGTAATGATCTTAGACATGGTACGAGAAGTGACGGTATTTGGTGCCACCGGGCAAGTTTCCAGACGTGGTTGACGAGTAGCTGTAGCCACCGGGTCCAGCGCCAGTTGTGCTGGTCCGTTCGGTGCTATAATTGTAGGCACCGCCGGGCCCACTACGCGATGTTTTCTCGACCGTGGACGAATATGTGGAGCGCTCCGGCCTGGCGTATGGGTTGCTTGAGTCATAACTGCTTTTCTCAACACTTGATTTTGAGGTGTATGAGTAGTCCGAGGAGGCACGGCTACGATGCGAGCCAGGTCTATCCGTGCACAGGTCTAAGCGTGGAGTCTACAAATTCCGATTTATGCATTTAGGTGAGAATTGTAAAGGAAAATTGGCAATCAGCATAAAAAAGTTATGCAACTAAAAACAAACTTGCTGTTCCATAACAACTATTCTTTTAAATGAAAGGTAATTTTTTTTAAGGCTGGTCCGCTCAACTCGCGCATTGATAATACACAAAACATACTTTCGACAAAGTCAATGTAAAGTTAAGCAATTTAAGCATAAGTGTATTATACAAATTTAACTTTTTAGCAAACCAGCTTTAAGAAAAAAAAATAAATAAACGCATGAAAATATGACAATTAGAATCTGCGTAATTTGAACACCATAATCAAATTCTTTCATATATATGTTATATTAGTCAATCTATCAAAGGAAATTGAAACAGGTTCGTATCTCATTATACTTTGATGCATATCGTGTTTTGATTCTACTGATTTTAACATAATAATAAGAAAAACAGAAAGTCTCATGTAGCATATTTTATGAAAGATGTATTATTGGCAATATTAGATACAAAACGAACAAAGTGTCAGACCTTTTTAAGGTTGTAGTAAACTCTAGTATATTTGATCTTACATTGAAAGTATGTATATGGTCATGTGCATAGTGTATCCTAATTGTAATGGTAGAGACTTTTGGGTCAATTCGAATAATTCGCTTTCGGTGTGATCAATTTTCGTTGAGGAATTTTCTTTCGCTATCAGTTAGTTAGTAAGAGTACTTTGTGACCATTGCACCCGACTTTTCATTGCGATAGGTTTCTCGGCGCACCGGCAGACTTTCGGAAGCGGCACGATGCAAGCGTGGCAGTTGACTATCGAGAGAATCGCGAAAGGTACGGGCGGCTGTATTGCCTCCGGCTTCCACAGTATCGATGTGCTGGCGCACCATGCTTAGAATACGCGAGCGATTCTTATCACGTGTTGGCACGTATGGCTCAATGGGCTGATAGACAATCTTATAGTTTGGCTTTATTGCGGCCCGGTTTATTGGATCAAGTATAGATCGCTTGCGTTGCTCATAGTCCGATCGACGTAATCCAAAAGCAGTCACCGGATCAGAGATAAGTGAAGGCCGTGGCACGAAAGGTACTTTCTCCCAGTCAATTGGTGGTCTGTTTGATTTCTGCAATGCCCAGAATGTCACACAGGTGGGTTTTAAATTTCGAAAGCCAAGTTTACGTTGTTAGCGTATGCAGTGCAGAATTGTTGTGCGAAGTGCTTGCAGTTCAACAGCTGGGACACCACAATCATCGGCTGCACTTGCGATCCATATTTCCATGCAAGCATTTATCCATAAAAATCTACATGCAAGTATTTACATGTACATATGGATGTGTGTATGTGAAGGTATATAGATATTTCAATGTTTAGCTTATGTACAAGCATAGGTGGTCCATGGATGGTTAATAAATTAATTGTAATACGCGTTCTATGATCTATTTACATTGAGTTTGCATTTAGAAGGAATTCCCAAAAAGTTTTTCCCAAAAAATTAAGTTGCAGTAGGTTTGATAATGGAAATATATACATGAAATTGTTGTTAAGATGTTTTATTTTTGTTAACAATTAACAAGTGTTCATTTTGTCTGAAAATATTTTAGACAAAATACATATTATAGTTAATTAATTAGAACCAGGTCGTCAAAGCTTAATAGCAGATCTCAATTTATGTCAGTTATATTTGTATTTGTAAATTTTCGTCTCAACAAAAGTTAAATTTTGAAAATTTAAATTTTTCATTCTGCTTATCTGTTTATCTTATGGGAGGCTTTAACGCCTATACTATAGTCTGTTTGCTCATTTTGCCATGGTTGATTTAAATGTATTTTGGAAATCAAAAAAATGTATTTTTAGATCAGCCCGAAAATGAAATGCGCAAACAGCTTATATTACACACATGTTTGTGTGAATAAATATGTGTACTTTCATATGTACATACTGATGTATCTATGTAAAATGCCTAAAGATTTGAAAGATAAACGAAATATATATCGGATGCAAACTAATGAACACATCGATAATAGAGATATATCTCTAGAAATAAAAGAAATTATAACTCTTCATTCTCGAAAATTTAGCAGTTAGGTATTAACTCAATAATCCACTTTCAAATATATCTATATACATAATAATTGTTGGTCAAGATGTACATACAAAATTATTTGAATTTAGACATGGGTGTATATACACACAGAGCTAAATTTGGAATTTGAGAGCAGAAAAGCTTTTTTTATTTGCACGATCGCCAATGATGTTGGCTGAGTCTATGACGAATCGTAAAATTTTTAGATATTATAGCGATAGAGAAAATAGAAACAACCTTGAAATATACTCAATAAATTCAATCCAAGGTGATGTAAAAATAAGAGCATTGCGTTATTTAATTTTTTGTTTTCTAATAAATTTTTAGTATATATAATACATACATAATATATGTTTTTTTATCGGCTATATGTGTATGTCAGTACGAAAACGCTGCGAGTGTCGTCCGATAATTAAATATAAAGGTGTAACTGATTTAAGTTTTATATATACATAGCTCCATAGATGTGATTGGTACTTAAGCTGAATCAATTTTTTATTTCCATTATACAAATCTATAAGAAAAACTCACATGATCTGTCTGTATATGATATACGAATAGAAATGAAAATATATTTACTTATATAAGCTTTAAGCATGCACTTTTTTCTTATACACTCTTTTACTATTTTATCCTGATACGATATTCATATGTGAGACATTTATTAAGACTAGATTGTAAGTTACTTTTGTGCTCAAACGTGTTTCAATTTCTTTAACTGGTTGCACTTTTTTAATGAAATTGCGGAACTCAGCAAGTGGGAAGTAAGCCATAATAAATCAAAGTACACTTTGAGGAGGATCATAATGAAATTCATTTCATAAAGTGTTAAATTTATCTGCTGCATTGACCAAAGTAATTTTGAAAAATTATGGTTTTCATTAATCCCATAAAATATTTGTCCGCGCAGATTAATTTCACAGAATTTATGAATTGAGAACCTCAGTACAAATATTTGCCAAGATTACAAGATATCCTTCGCGTTACTAAAATGTTTTAAACTTACCGTCACAGCATACGATGTTGTCACCGGTCTGGAGCTGTAAGTTCTACGGGTTGTAAATCCACTTTCGTAAACCATTTTCAATAATTATTATTCAAATTCAGTACAAATGATATGTAAAAATCAGAAAGAATCACTTATTCGTTTTTAATTTCGATTCAAGTTTCTCGTCTTTTCGTGTTCTTAACTTGATGCCCGTTCGAGTTGTTCTGTTAGAGAACTGGATGGAATGGTTTCTTATAATTTTTGTATTACAAATATCTGAATAGGTCTCGCTCTTTCTTATTCTCACTCTCTTTCATTGGCTTTTATACATTTATTTTTGGAATAACAAAAATTGAAATCTCTCATATCGCTGAAGAGCGTACTATTTTTTTAGCATATGTAAAGCTCTAATATTTTTCATTTTGCACACGCACACATGTTTATAAGAATGTACATAAGTACATATATAAGCATATATATTTTTGTATATATATATATATGTATACTAAGTATAAAAGTGAATAAGAATGTTCCACAAACAAGTAGAATTGAAATGTGGAAAAATAGGCATACAGTAATTAATATTACGGTGAGTATGTGAATAAGGTAAATAAAAGATGAATAAAAACATAAGTTTCATAAATTAAAATTAATATAAGATACCTGTAATTATATTAAAATAATAAGAAAAAATCAGCATATATCAGTCGATATATTATTATTCTATGCTAAATTAGACTATCTTTATTTAATTCGATTTCTGGTTGATTCTATGAATTCGCGGTAATACATAGTCGAGCGTATTCCGTTTATTTACGTAGTAAATGTATTCGGGCACACTGATTGACATAAAAACACATTCAGTCAAGGCTGTCATTTGTATACCAAAATTCATACCCCATATGTATGAATTGTATTTATATTTTAATACTTATATCCGAATACAAACAAATGTATAAATAAAAAGCAAGGAGAAAAACAATATATTTATGACATTAACCTTAATCAGATTCCATAAATAAATTAAGAATTCAACCTTAGGCATTTTTAAATTTTTTTGCTTTGTCTGACGTGCTAATATGAGCTATTCGAACCATTACTCGGCTTTTCACGGCCCTAGTCATTTTGTTTTTGTTCACCTAGTGATACGAGTATTTTTATTTTTGGAATATACAGATATTAAAAATTTTAACAATATATAGCTACACCCATTGCACCTATAGAAAATCAGAAAAAGTATAGATCCCAAGATAAAAGATTCGTTCAGTGTTAGCCGTCTTAATAGAAAAACATCAACTTTTAAAAAATTAGCATGTATTGGAGTATTTTTTTAAAACTTTTGGAGCGTATTCAATTTTAACAACCTTTAAGATATGAAAAGCCACATGTTATCCCCTAAAATATTGTTTAGAACTTTTTATCATAGCAGCAGCTAAGTCATAGTGAGTGTTGTATTAATATTATCGAAATAAATCAGCAGTTAACTGTTCAACAAGTTTTTAAGATCGTCTTGTCAATAAATTGATATAAGTTTAGACCGATACTGAGACATGTGATTGCAACGTTTCTATTCGTTTTATTTATTCATAATGCGTATAATGAATTGTTATTAAGATACAAAAATAATAATTATCAACTGAGTGTTTTTATAAAAGTAATTTAACAGCATTGATTGGCATCTTTAAGCCCTAACGCCAATAAAAGTTGAGGCTAGAACACAATATTATGTATATAAAACACACGCATATACTTTTATTTATTTTTTATACTCGTATATGAAGACTGTTCAAGTTACAGACTTGAAATTTGTAATCTATACTTGCGTTGACAATTAAAGACCAAAAAGATATATATATATACCGCATTATTATACTTTTTACTTTTTTTATTATAACTATGAGAAATTCGTGGATAGACTAGAACGTTTCAATTTTATTAAACACAATTGTATATCAATTTAAATAACGTGAAGAATTTTTAACCTACTCTCATATAATACTGTAATTTAATTTGGATGATACCCATTTTATATATACAAATACATGCAGCCGAAAATGAAAAGTGCATAAACTTGAATCATTTAAAAATTTTATAAGGGCAGACAGGCGGATTGGATAATTCCAACCTAAGAACTGATACTGACAGGGGCTATCTGTAATTTTTGCAGTCGAATATTTCTTCTGAATCAAAACAATACCGTCCACGAAAAAATAATAAAAAGTCCAAAAGTATTTAAAGTTGACCAAATTATTGACAATTCACTTAACGGGTTTTTCAGGTAATACCATTAACCACTATGCCACCGGGCGTATAGCTACCCATTTCTATCCAGTTTCCTCAATAAATAACAAGTTAGCACGGAACGCAAGGTAAGCACGATACACATGCAATTCGGTTGCATGGGAAACTAAAAAAGTATTTAAATATTATAGATACCGATAAAATAACATTTAGAGATAATACCTTCTTAAGAGGTCACGGGCTTCCAATTGAACACGAAGGATATCACAGGGTCGAATTTCATCACTGCGACTTTGCCTTTGAGAGTAAAGTTCAGAATTGCCAAATCTTTCCTCCTTTTGTATGAATCTCGATCCGTTGATATCATTTCGCAGCCTAGTCCTACTGCTTCTGCTAGACATTCTACCATTGGATTTTTGACCTGATTTATTTAAGCTACGTTTTTTTCCATTTTCAGCAATACTTCCTTTACTTCCTCGTTTGTATTTATTCTTTTGGTCTTCGTTAGCGTATAGTCTGCCTTTGCCACTAGATGTCTTTGAATCAGTTTTATATTTTTTACTGTCACTGATATTTGAGTTTCGTCTTTTTGATTTTCGTTTATTTTTATTTTTATCAGTTTCGGAAGGTCGCCCATTTTTATTTTTGGCAGCTTGCTCATTCTCGACAGTTGCATTCTTTCCCTTTTTTCCCTTTTCAGATATTGCATTGTTATCATCTTCGTCCCCTGATTTTTTCTTTCCTTTTTTGTTTGTGCTCTCTCTGGCTTTTTCTTTTCCCTTTTTCTCTTTGCTGCTGTCAGCTGTTAGGGAACTTTTGGAACCTCTTTTATTTTTCTCTGCCTTTCCTTTCCCTTTCACAGAGTCGCGCGAATCATAGATAGTGTCCTTGCTACTTCTTTGTCCCTTTTTCCATTTTTTAGTAAAGTCGCTTTCATCGGGATCATTTGGACCACCTTTACCATCAGGTCGTTTACCCGACTTTTTTGATGTATTTGAAGCATCGTTTTCATCGGGATCATTTTGACTACCTTTACCATCAGGTCGTTTACCCGATTTTTTTGATTTATTTGAAGCATCGTTTTCATCGGGATCATTTTGACCTCCTTTACCATCAGGTCGTTTACCCGACTTTTTTGATTTATTTGAAGCATCGTTTTCATCGGGATCATTTTGACTACCTTTACCATCAGTTCGTTTACCCGACTTTCTTGATTTATTTGAAGCATCGATTTCATCAGGATCATTTTGACCTCCTTTACCATCAGGTCGTTTACCCGACTTTCTTGATTTATTTGAAGCATCGTTTTCATCGGGAACATTTTGACCACCTTTACCATCAGGTCGTTTTCCCGACTTTTTTTGTTTATTTGAAGCATCGTTTTCATCGGGATCATTTTGACCACCTTTACCTTTGCCCGGCTTCTTTGATTTATTTGAAGCATCGTTTTCATCGGGATCATTTTGACCACCTTTACCATCAGGTCGTTTTCCCAACTTTTTTGATTTATTTGAAGCTTCGTTTTCATCGGGATCATTTTGACTACCTTTACCTTTGCCCGGCTTCTTTGATTTATTTGAAGCATCGTTTTCATCAACATCATTTTTACCACCTTTACTATCAGCTCTCTTGCCTGCCTTCCTTAATGATTTCGAAGGATCACCATCATCAGCATCTTTTTTACCATGTGTTTCACCTTTTCTCGCTGATTTGATTTCATCTTCGTCATAGTTTCCTTTTCTTTTATTTTCTGCAATCTTTGATTGCATTGCAGTAACGTTAAGGTTGCCTTTTTCAATTTGATATCCCTCTCTATTTCGAAAATCCCTACTCAGTGCCTTGAAATCCGCACTTTCTCTTCTTCTTTGTGAATTGTTCCCCCCGTCACCCTCGACCCAAAGATTCTTAGAGTAAATGTCATCTACAAATATGTTAAATTTAATATAAGCTCGTTAATTTAAATCAAAACATACATTTTTGGCTGTCAGACCATCGACCATTTATGCTGTTACCTCCATTGAATATTGTATACCTTTCACGGCACTGCTGTCGGTTATAGCTTTTTATTATCTTATGGCAAATTCGTTTGAGTATTGAATATGTGTGGTCATTGAGAAGGAACTGTCGACAGCACGGATAGCAACAGCATTGACTGCATTTGTTGTAGTTATCGTTGCAAAAAATGTTGTTTGTACTAGATGAACTGCATAAAAATAAAATATGAATAGTTTAAAAACATGTAAAAGCAGGTCTCCGAGTCAAGTCGGAACTGACCGAAGAGAGTTATGTTTCAACAATGGTGTCTACTTATATAAATACACACTACAAAACTAATTCACAAAGCAAATTTAAAAATCAATTTGAATCGATATGGAATACATAAATGGAATACGATTTTGCTTAAGCCAAAACTGTATATGGTATACAAGAATGTTTATTTCAGACTACAAGTATATAGCTGTTAAGGTTTCGAGATCGTTAAATGTTTTTATGCAAAATTATAAATTATTTTTACTATGAATGTATTGCCATTTATGTGCTCAACATATTAAAATCAAATGCGAGAAAAGATGTTTTTCTCACTAACACTAAAAATATAAGATAATAATACTGATAAAAAAATTTGGGCAAAGCTTAAAATCTTCACAAGAGTTGATTCCGTTGATCAACTAAACTCCAATGCAAATGTTTTATACTGTCATTTAGATATCTTTGCACAAGTTTATATCTAACCAAGCACGAAGAATTCCGCACAAAAATATACACGATTATTTTGATATTAAGCAATAGCATCTAAAACTAAGAAGTAGAAGAAGCATCTAAAGCTAAGTAAGAATGACTACTGACTTCTAGAATCCTCAGCTTTGGGCATTCTGCGGCTTTAAGCATACTTCCTTACTCTCTCTATGTATCTGAAACGTTTGTACTTCTATGAAATTTTCAGCACATGATCTACATATTTTCTGATTATATGGGGATTTATTGTAATTGAAAAATCTTTTACATGTTGTCTTTATTCTGATAATATAACCAAAATCACAATTAGTAAAATACATATGAAACTACGAGATATTTGGAAACTCTAGCTTTAAACACGTTTGGACATATGGACAGACATACAGATGGACAGGGCTAAATTGACTCAGCTAGTCGGCTTGTAGTGCCCCCTTCTACTTGTTATAAACATTTTAACAAAATACTTATATGAAGAATTTCCATTTCCAATGGATTCAGGGTAGAAAGCAAAGAGAAAGAAATTCGGGCGCAGATCACACAATATATACATACCTAGACGGTGGATAACAGCAAATGCGTTCTAAGTCAAAACCCATTTTATTATAATCATTTTAAATTGGAATTTTGTAAAAGAAACTTCTTTTCTTAAAATTTTATCTGATAATTTCGAGTAAAATCTGACAGTAAATGCATTGACAATTAAATAATTTATTGAATATACACACATAAAGAAAAGAGAAACAAGTAAGATAACCTGAACCCAGCCCTATCCATCTTAAAATTTGATATAAGTTTGAGTAAAATCTGACAATAAATGCATTGGCCATTATATTATTGAATATACGTATATAAAGTCAAGAGAAACACGTAAGAATACTCTAGTCGGACAACAACGCCATTTCAATGCTTGAGCGAAAAGTTATAAATATCAAATACAATTCAATCGAACAACTGTCTAAACGTTTTGCTTAATAACTTCTGTGTTACTTTATCGATGTCAATGAAATTTTCAGTATAGGATCTACATATTCGGTTGGATTACTTGTCAGCTTAGTAAAAATGCAGAACAGAATTGTTTACAAGACATATTATCGAAATTGATATTTGAATGATAATTTTTATGAACCAGTAGTACGTGTTGAAACTATGCAAATATAATTTTATTGTTCATTGCAATAGTTAGACAATCCGCTTTAAAAGGGTTAGGTTTTGTTGTGGGACTATCTGCAAAGAAGTTTAAAACTGATGCTCCGACGAAACTCAGGAGTCTTAGCTGCAGAACTTTAGAAGACATAAGTTGTGTATGAGTGCTTTGAAATGACAGAAATAGAAACGCATTGCATAAATTAGTATTTAAAATAAAATGCACTTATAACTAGAGTATTTGAAATTGTCCATTACAAAATATAAAAAATTAAAGCACAAGCCGATGAGTCTAAATAGAAGCAAACCACGATGATGCCACGTCATTAACGTGATCATGTTATAAACCAAGCTAAGCAAGTTTTCGAGGACAAAACCGCCATCTCGGTACTGTAATGAAAATGAAAACAATCATATACATAAGTACTTAATAGGAAGTCGTGTAGCGCAAGAGTCAGTGACTTAATACCAGAAATTTGTCGGTCTACTGGATCCACAGATTGTGCGAAAACTTCCACATATTCCAGCAACAGCCAAAGACATAAGCAAACGCACACCTGACTATCTTGTAATTTATTGTCGTCAAAAATTGTATTGTACGATTATATGAGTAACTCTTTTCAGTTAGACTGTTGCAATAATTTTGAAAACAAAATTGAGTACGACTTGATTATGAAGTTAGCAGTAAATGGATGTGTAAGAGCATATTGCATACGAACAACCACATATCCGATAAGCTTACTGTATTTTTGGATCAGCTTATATTAGATAAAAAATATAAAAAATAATAAATGCATAGGTTGAGGAACATTGCCGACTAACCATACTCGCCTGTTTACCAGCTGCTGGTATCAACTAGCAAGTTTGGGAACAAGCAAGAATATTTGAAAATAGGCTTATCGCATTTTAAGAGTATCGCTTAGTCGGTCATCCCTGACTCGATTACTCTCACTTGCATGTAATAACTTGTCGTTGTGCTAGACTGATTTCCTTTTTAACTTAGTGTCTTTTCTGCGCATCAACCAGTTACACTCATACGAGCATATGCATGGGTATGCTTAACACATGCATACACCGTATAATAGTAAGCACCTGAAGATTTATAATTTGGACAAATTGCGGGAATCGTTAAGTAACGCATGAAACACAATCGGTTTCTTTGAACACATCTAAATATAAATAAAGCTTGGATATATTAAAAATTATTAGTTTGAAACTTAAAGTCGCAGAGTTGTGTTCAAACCTAAAGTCGAGTACAACATAAAGGAAATTTTACACCTACTCAAATGGATACCAAATACCACGCTCCTCTGCAATTAACTTGCATATTGCTTATTCTAAGCCTTACAGAAGCGATCCCAAAACTTGATAATAAGCCAAAGTGAGTTTTTAGTATGATATTTTCATACAAATATATGTAAAGGCGCTGGCAGCTTATAAGCGTCAATAATTGATATAGGATCCTTTGAGTGAATGAACCCAGTCACTCTCTTTATCTGTATCTAAGAAAGTGTTAACATTAGAAATTATATAAGCTTCGAATTCTCGAAATTATTTGAAGAGTTCCTTTTATAGACGGCGCCATATTAATGTATTTTTAGACCTTACTCCGAGAGCACGCACTGGAGTCGAGCATATCCGAATGAAAATAAAACTCAACTAAAGGAACCGGAGACAGCGTCAACAAAAGATAGGCTAGAGCGCCTAGGTTACACCACTGGTTATGGAAGCTTGAATGTATGTCCTTTAAAAGAGTTTATTATATAATTTTTTACTATAGTCCTTGAAACCTAATGGTTCTACATTTACTGTATAGTATGCAATTATATATGGTACTTAATCCATTCAAAATAGGGATATCCAAGTAGCTCTGGACTTTCGGCATATAATCCTATAAAACTGGATCTAGGTGGAGTCGTGCTGGGAACTCTAGTTGGCATTGGTGCAATAATTCTCATACCTAAACTACTATCAGCATTTCACGGTGGTTACGGCGGCTATGGGCGGAGTAAGTGAAAAATATTTATTTTAATAATTCTATTCACCGATAATATTCAAATGTATTATTTGCGTGTAGGCGAGGATGACAATGACTTAGCGTCTTTAAGCAGTATGATAAACAAAATTGACAATGTGCTTGGCCAAAACAATATCGACTCGACTAGCTGTATGCAACGCGCTGTCTGTGGCTATATTCGGTCTACAGAGAATAATATTAAGTCCGGAGTATCAGACCAGATGGATGAATTCATTCACATGCTGTCCGGGTAAGCTAAAGAATGTTGTACATAAGTATTTGTTTATATGTTTTCATACTGAAAGAGTGAAACACATATCTAAATATAAATTGTTTATAATACGGCCGTAGTGCAAACACAGCGAATCGATGTGAGAGCTATTTTTAACCTTACAGAAGGTAACTTAGTTTTTTCAAGAAATCTGTTACATATTTGAAGATAAAATTATTTACTCCTTATCTTTTATTACTTAATGACAAAGGCACCGTCTTATAAGAAAAGAATAAATATCTATGTATTTATATATATATATATATATACAAACATTTATATATATATATTGAATAATTATTTAGTAGGGCTTTACAAAAGTTCGTCCTTTACGACTGAGAGTATTTCGTTAAATATATTTGAAATTAAACAGCTACAGTATATTTAAATTATAATAAAGCTTACGATAGTCATCTCTTATTCCTAGTATCAGTAAAAATCGTTGTTTCTTATTTTTTTTGAAGAAATTCTCTTGTGGATTACCTTTTGGATGGCACTGCAATAAAAGAAGCATTGGAACATGGAAAGGAAACCAATGACAAGACATGCGAGGAGCTTTACCTTTCTTGTCCATTAAATAGTAAATCGGCTACAAACATTCTAATGAAACTATTACCCAAGAAGCAAATTCCTACAAAATTAAAGTCTGCAGGAAATGAAGCCGAATCTAAAATATAAAAAATGGATAAATATAGCAGCAGAATACACTATGAGAAAGTTATTACAAGTATTCAATTACCTTTGAACGATCGAGTTATTATCGAGATATTATAAATCGTATGTTAATAAAATAAAGTATTGTATTTATGAGATATTATCATAAATATATGTATGTCTACATAGAAGTTTTTTTGAAAGAGAAATTTGATTTAAATTTGGAAAAATTCAGCCTTGACCCATAAAAGTCATAAATTTTGTAATTCCTAACAATTACAAAATAATATAAGAAAAACGATAATTTTTTTTAGAATATTGACAATGAGCTTCTATTAAAATTATGAAAAGGTAAATGCAAATACACAAAAATGGTAATATATAATATAATATAAACTAACAAGTGCATTCAATCAAATTTTTCATTGTTATTACTTTTATAGAATGAAAATAGTGAATGAAGTTCCCATATTCTAAATTAGGTCGTCTCATAACCTTACGGCGCAGGCAATTCGTCGCACAAAAGTTTGGGCATGAGGACACTGATTCAGCCATTCAAGAGGAAGGTTGTGCAAAAAGAAAACTAGAAGTTAATTTTAAAAATATCCTTACTAATCCATACATAATAGTATGGATATAGCTTTAAAATAAAACCAATAGCAACGAAATATACGTTTTGTTTTATTACAATGTTTTTCACTACATTAAAGTTATTGATATAGGTTATTTTAACTAACAAATAAAGCAACAATGATTTTGTCAATAATTAGTTCTTTCTTCATGATTCTAATTCTAGATGTCTAATATTTCTGAAAATGAACACCAATCACGAAAAGTCTTGCCACTGTTTACTTGGACAAGAGTATATTAGAGTGATTTGGTATGTTTCTATTTAAGTTAGTTACAGGGAAAAAGTTATTCTTTAATTTTTTCTTTATTTCGCGTCCAGCAGTATTTGTAGCTCTACTTCTTGTTTCTCAATTATCGGCAACCAGTACTCAGAAGGAAAAATAAATTCGCTGGGATGAAATTTTCTTATCTCATCCAAAGTATTATGCACTCGTTGATACTGAATATTTTTGCTTTCAATTATTTTTTGTATCCTGTCCAGCAAGTTATTAGATTCCCGAATTAGCTCATCAATCGACTGAAGTAGGAAATACCAATCCACTTTCTGCCTGCCAACCATGCTGTTGCCTCTCAAATAAAATGGTATTGGCATAAAGCTGCGCCATGGCTTAAGAGCCTCTATAGTATAGGGAATAAAATGTTGCTTCACCTCCATTTCAATGGCATCATCATCAAAACGCCACGATGCTAAGGTAGAGCTGAGCTGCACATTATTAGTTTTGTAAGGCTGTTTTTGATTAGATTCATAATTATCATCCTTGTCATGATTCAGAAACTTCAAAAGACACGGGTTACTGACGCTTCTTGGGAATACCTTAGGCAAAAGCGTTTGAGTTGAGACATCGGCTTTGTCAATATAATCGGTCATTTGCGATACAGAATATGTTAATACATCTGAAAGAAAAATCCATTTAGTCGTGAAGAAAATAAGTATATGTAGTCTTCCAATTATACATTGTTGATAACCATCCTTTCTAATCGAATATTGGCCATCCGTTAATATTCCAACGCTTTTCAATAAAATCAAATCATCTTGTGCACTTGTTGTAGCTTCCTTCATCAATTTAACGGGAACGAAATCTGTTTGAAGTGCCACATTCGTTTTGCCAGCTCTTAAACGTCTAAAAGTTTGTAATAAATCGCATTCACCCAGAAATAGCCATGGGAACTATCTTTTATACACACCTGGACGCATCAAGTAATTTAGCACGAAGCAATGCATTCTTATCCGGCTTAGGGAGAGTTGATACACTAACTGCACGCCAAGGAGGTCGCTTGGCTTCATTTTCTTTTTCCTTTTCTGCGGCAAGATCTTTCATTCGTTTCCAGCTAGTTTTCGCTCTAAACATAAAATACAATAAATTATTTTATAATATTAATAAGGTACACAAATTGGGGCATTGGACTGATATTATATACAGAAATGATTTTCGATTAGCGCCTGTTCTATGTAATAGAATTTACTCCTAGTGAGCAAATTCAGCAGTGCATCTCTCAAAAAGTTATTTCGTTAATTATCTGAAACCAACGGCATCGATGTCATCTGCTTTATATTAGTTATTCGATTCAGTTCTTTTGACCTTTGCACTCGAACTTTTTTTCATGATGTATGGCTCATGATTCCCGCCGATGTCTTCACCAAAACTTTAATTTTACTTTGACTTTGTCTGCTTCCAAATTTTCTAGATAATTTCAAACATGATTCACCAACATTTTATTCACTTTCAACAGTAGAGGCATGATACATACAGTTAAAGGACTTTGAATTCGGTTGCCTCACAATTGCCTTACCTTATATATTTTTAGAATTTTCGCTTAAGACAAAATGTTCAAATTGATAAATATATTCATTCATATACACTCATGTGCACACCCTGAACCGGTTGAAATGCTAATTCGAAATTCCCTATAGCCCGCGCAGATCAAGTTTGTTGTCAATAATCGATAACAATTCCCTTTTCAATGTAATCGATTGAAACTTGTCGAACTTCAGTTATTAAATTATATCTCATACATCTGTCGTGCTAGACTCTAATTATTTAGCATTTAGTTGGCATTCAGGTACATTTTATACAATTTTGATTTTCTTTATATATTATAAATTCTTTGAAATGTAGTAAATATGTGAAAGAGTTTGCATTTTTAGCCATTTGCCACACATTCAAAGAAATATTTAGATCAGATGCAGATAATTAATTTGAATGCCCTGAAGGCTCCTGTAATAAATACACAGATTTTGTATATTTCGGAATTTCACCCTACTGTAGCTTAACGCAATATTACAAAAAATGTTGTGTGTTTATAATAAGCGTAGAAGATTGGAATATCAAATCTTCACAAGATTCAGGGCATATCCTAGCCGACGAGTTACTTGTCTTACTTGTTATATAAACTTTAAACCTTTAAGTGTTCCACAAAAATAATCAATATTTTTTACTTAATGAGTTAATTTTTATGTTAATATTTTACAAAATATTCTTATTATACTAATTATTAAAAGATTTGTGCAGTTGAAAGGCTTCGCATAACTCGGCTTACATTCATAGCTCACCTGATTCGAGCAGCACTTCGATTGATTGGTGGCACACCCGATTGATGGTCCTCTACACTTTGAGTCTCACTATTTTCGGACGATGTTGCGCTGTTGTTGATGCTACTTTGCGCTTGTATCTGTAAGTTTTTCATATTACAGTCTGTTTCATTTATTGCAAACCCTTTTACAACCCTAAATGAATTGAGTGCTGTCCTTATCGCAACCAATATCGATGTAAAAAACAATTTCCCGTTGCCATGGAACCATCTTTTAAAGTGTTCGCTTAGTATTAGTAGTTTGCATTATATTGTTTATTTAAGTCAAGTAAGAGTGCATGAGTAGGCGTGATCTACACCCACTTAAAACATTATGCTCTTCTTCGTTTCTTAAATGCCTCAAAAAAATTAAATTATAACAAGGGACAAAGAGTCCTCGTGTCAAGACTGCTTGACTATGAGATACCTTGAACGATGCAGTGCTGCTATTTCATTGATACGCGTTTTTTTATACATACATAACAAATAGTAATAAACATTAGGAATCAATATCCACATCCAAGACGAAGAATATATAGTTTAAGGGGTCATCCACGTCTCCATCTGCCTGTTACTTACATTTTTATAAAACTATTATACCTGAATTCTCATTTTCAATAAGTTCCATATTTTATGCAACTTTCAAATTAAATAGTTTTTCCTTAATTATACATTATCCATAGAAACACATTTCGCTAAGTTTACTGCAGAGATATATTTGAATTTATAACTGTGTTTAAAATAATGCACACGATTAGATTATACAATCTTGGTAAAGCGAACTTTATTCTATTAAAAGAAAATAACAGTTTTTAAATTAAGAGCTATGATAAAACGCATTTAAGATACGAAAAGGTTCGGCGTTGTAACCATCTAAATGTGGTCTACCACATTTATAAGAACAATCATTAAACAATTCTATACTGTCTCGATGAAACCAATAGTTTTTTGTTGTATTGCTCGAGTTAAGATTAAGCGTGTTAAGTTGAAATACTCCAAAATGAAACTCTCGTCCGTCCGTCTGAACGCATTGTACAACAATTGGTTTTTGTAGATCCGTACAGGAAGTGACACCGTTTATTTGTTTAGCACGGGCAGCAGCTGCTACAAAAGCTTTAAGCAAAGTACGTCCGTATAATTGAGTCTTCGTTACATCGGAGCCATGTATGTTGCCCACAATTGTTTTATCAAAGAATGATACAATTGTATGAGGATGGGAGCAGTTAATTTCAGACCGAATAGCTTCATTTGAAAATATATTATTATTATACAATTACCAAATAAAATACTGCAAATTCACTTACGATAGAAATTGTTTTCCGTATAAATGTGTTGCTTTTTCATGGAAACTACACATTTCATCGGATACAAATCTGGCAATTCGCCATTAAATTTTCCTTTAACAGGGTCCAAAGCACGGGATGAACTTATTAATTTATCTCCACTAAGTGTAATTGCGACCAAATCATTGTCTTTGGATACTGATGTTTGAAATGTGACATTATCCATTAGCTTTCGTCGAGCAGTTACAGATCTTCCAGCTAATTTTTCAATTTCTAGCAAAAGCTTGTTTATAACGAGTCGACTGCAAAAATCGGATTATCATTATCAAACCCAAAACATATATAAAATCAGTCTTGACTTTTAATACTGTTTAAACCAAAGTTATAAAATTGGGATTGAGAGAAACCACACCAAATAAATTTACAAAATATATGAATGATCATTGAAAATTAAATATTAAATTTAGTTTTGATGAACCGGAGATTTGTTCAAAATATTTTGCGGATAAGTCAGTATAATAATTTCGTCACAATATGTATAAACCAAGACATATATAAAATCATCATTGATCAGTGGCGACAACCGAGTTATTGCTATTTTTGTTGTTGTATGTTATGAAAAAGTTCATAAAGAATTAAAAATTATATTTCTCAAAGAACGCAAAAAATTAATTTCGGTTGAGAAACTATAGACATTCATTGGATTCTTATTAATTCAATCTTGTAGCAAAAAAAGTTAAATGTTGATAATATGAAATAATGAAAATTACGAAGAAACTGATTGCATCGATAATAATCGGATGAAATGCAATTTCGTACTGCTCTCTGGAGTAATATTGTTATTTGTTTACAGAAACACTGATACTTAACTTTTTTTTTAAATGTTTAATACATACTTGCGTCTTTCATGAGAAATTCCGTAAAGGCGCGGTAGGTTAAATGCCGGTCTTTCAATCAGTTTTACCTTTGGCAATTTTACTTGCTGCGCATCCAGCAAATGGGATGAAAAAATGGCATTTTGAACATTGCGATCCACGGCCTTAGAATACTGGCTATTTGAAACAGCGTCCTCTATTTGTTGTGGAAAGGTATTTATTTCAATCGTATTTGTTAGAACCTGAGCTTGTGGCAATCCTCCAACTAGAACATTGTTGTCTCTAAACAGATGGCACGCAATTTTATGCCAATTTGGATGAGTTTGGTCTTCGGCAATTGCCTTTGGGGCTATTCCAACAATATCAACACTGCGTGTAAAGACATTTTCTAAAAATTAATTTCGAATTTCATAAATTAATTCTACTTACGGATGGAACTCTTGTTTTTTGTTTAATAGTTCGTCGGGTGTTTTTACACGAATTCCCATCTTCAAAAGTTCCGCAGCAGCGCCGGTTTCCCTGGGCACACGTCTGCCTTGAACCTGCCAGTGTTTTTTGAAATGCCATCCAATATGCTGTGCACATAGCTTATTTGTGAGCCGCATGCTTTTTTTTGTATTTTTATTTAGAAATATAAATTAAAGATCTCACAATGCCAGCCAGGTTATGAAATATTGCCAGCTGATTATTCAGCATGCATAATATCTATCGATATTATTTAGACATTCGAGGAATCATTTGATTTAAAGCGAGGGCTGCATTAATAACATGCTCTAAAGAGCTATCAAGAACTTTCGATCTAACAACTACCATTCGCGTAGCTTATTGGATTGATTATATAAAATAAAATACAAAATAAATTACTAATATTTGGTTCCAAAATTATAAAACGATTCAAAGGAACACCAATTTTAAATATGTAAAAAATAGTATTTCTTGTATTATTAGCTACGGTCACACTAATAGCGACGGTCTGGCATCTTGTCTGAAAATTGTATATTATTTTTCGTAATTTTTAATTGTTGATTACTGAGAACTTTAAAAATATATATTTAGTGAGTAGAACACATTTATTGAAATCATAATTACTATTTTCTGTTCCATATGCATCTGCCCATTTATAAAAAATTGGGCTGAATCACTTAGTGGCTAAAAAGCTTTTTATTATAAGCCACATACATGCAAACATAAATGGTGTTTATGCACATAATTCGACATTAAATATTTCATATAATCGATTCAGAATCAATTGAAAGCACCGGATAATAGTATATATATAATAATCAATGAAGTACAAATGTCTGACTAAAAAAATTTACATTTAAAAACATGTCGCCTCACGATGATGTTTCCGCTAATGCCTCGCAGTTTTCTTCAGTATTGTTTGCAGTTGTTCATTCGTTAACCCCTGCTAACCTCTCAGGTCAACAGTCTAAGCTCAACAGCTAAGTGATATGTTATGCGGCACAAGCCGACAAACACAAACATATGAACTGCAGAATGTCGGAGCAATCCTTAATAATATCACTATTTTATAAACTACAAAGCTACGCTGAATTAAAGAATTTTCTGTGTCAGCAATATGATCACAATTATTAGCTGTTTATAATATTTTTATTTTCGATCGAAATATATCGGAGAAAAATTAGCATGTGTTTTTTAAACTGAGTGCCAAGTTTTTCTAATTAGGCTAATATTATATTGATATAAATAATTTCAGCTGTAGCTAATTTAAATATTGATCCTTGTCCATTTCTGTTTAATAATATAAAAGAGTGCATATTACCGAAAGAGAAGAAAATTGATCAAGCAATATGACTCGCTATCGTGAATGGGATTTGGCCTGTAAAGTGTATGTTGGAAACCTAGGATCATCGGCATCAAAATATGAGATCGAAAACGCCTTTAGTAAATATGGCCCATTGAAAAACGTATGGATAGCACGCAATCCTCCTGGCTTTGCTTTTGTTGAGTTCGAAGATCGCAGGGACGCCGAAGATGCCACACGGGCACTTGATGGAACCCGTTGCTGTGGCACTCGAATCCGTGTAGAAATGTCGTCAGGACGCTCCCGCGATCGAGCTCGCCGTGGCGCTGGCGAAGGAGGTTCCAGTAGTGGAGGACGCAGCACTGGACGACTTAGGTAATTAATTTAAAAATCGTATTTAATTAAACACAAGTAATACTGTCTTAACTAGAGCTATTAATGTCAGTCCGTCTATTCGATATTTTCTTTTAAGAAGCAATCAGACATATGAACAACATATATCTTATACCATGAATTCATTGAAAATACAGAAATGCTTGGTTGACCGCATTGACGATATAAATTCATAATTCTTATTGATGTCAATCTATTGGATTTTGGCAATCGCTTAAACAAAAAGTCAACATTAACGTACTCAGACTTTGACTACTTTCATATTTAGATACCTCTTTCCGATACCCCAATCATTTTAAATTTCCGACTAGTTCATCCATTTAATTGCTTTGTTTTGTTTTTTTTTTTTGCGTTATATACAAGCAGAGTTATTAATCTGTCGTTTTATATTGATATGAAGTCGAGTAGTTGATAACGCTTGCTAAAGTCGACATTCTTACAGGGTCAATCCTTTGAGAAGAACTACTTCTACTCTACAATTACCTCGTCCTTCAGCAACAAGAACAACAGAAACACCTTTACGATTCTTCACAGCTCCTCTACCATAATCTTCACAAGCACAAAATCAACCAACAAGTTTTTAAATCAAAATAAAACAAGCATCGACGCTCCACAACTTCGGATGTCTATATGATACAAAAATTTTAAAACCAGCAGCAATATCTTTGAACCTCAGCCGTGTACATCAACAGCAACACGCGACCCATACGTAGATGTTACTTAATTTCGTTTAATTTATCTGCCACCTGAGCTTCTAATAATTTTTTTCAACATAATAATTGATAAAAATAGCTTTTAGTCAAAAATTGTCTGTGACTAGGGGTTAAGAAAGTATAAGATGTTGCTTTAGCAACGTGATAAATACCTATAACTATAACTGTGATAAAAATAATATATACTAAAATTGTGAAATGTACACATTAAATTATCAGATATTGAAAATAAGAAATTAATTCGATGAAGATATTTTAAAATTTTAAATAAATTGCATAAATTATGATATAGACATTACTCTGCAACGATATCAATTAATAACAAAAGTAAATTAGTAATAATAATGCAGTAGCAACGATGCGACTTTACCCTAAAGATTGATATGCCTTTATAAAGGTAGAAGGCGATGACGAACGATGATGGAGCCGAGAAATTAAAGAAGTAGTAGATACAGATAAAATGAGTTTTAATGTTCTAAATACGTCAAAAAGAAAGTTAAAATCGCATGTTACACTTAAGCTATCTATCCAATTTCAAAAAGATATTGTGGAAAGCATAAATCTCCCAGAAATCATAAGATATAGGTATCACTATGAGGATCTTGAATTGATATTGATATTAGGCAAATAACAATAATCAGACATCGCTCTCGACAACTAAAACTATTTTTTTCGACGAACGAATTGATAGACTTATTTGGTTACGGCTTGTATAGAAAATGGTACCGCATGTTAATTAATATATTATTTCTTGATTATTCGGCTTGCCGTCGGGTATAATAAAACTAATTAATGTTTTTCAAACTACCTTTTGCGGAATTTTTCAGATCCCGTTCACCAAGGCGTTCTCGGACACCTCGAAGTTTCTCTAGAGACCGGAGAACTCGTTCAGAATCACGAGAACGATATTAAAAATATTTGAACAAATTATTTCAGTGATTGCATTCAAATAATTACATTTATTCCGTAAAATTGTACCTACCTAAACTTAAGTTATGCACATAGCCGATTTTTATCCGAACATTTAACTGAAAGAAGTAAATATTTTTTAATATGAAAAAAACACATTTTTTTATTTAACACATAAGAATGGAACGATCTGAGAAATGTATTGAAAATGCGGTTTTCAGATTATTCGAATTTGGTTTTTTTTCTAAGTTCCTATAAAAAGGTAAGAATATTTTTTGGCATTGGAATTAGATTTAAATATTTTGCGTAACTAAAATATATTATATATTTGGATCTATAGATACCATTATGGGAACAGCAGATATCTTTTTGCGCAAAAGCAATAGCTAAGCTCGGTAAAACAATAATAGTAATAGGCATCATAGATCTCTGACGTCTTTATGACATGTTGGCAGTCGTTTAGTTTTTTTTATTTCATTCGTATGTTCTACAAGATTTATATTTTTCGTATTCTCACATTTCGACAGTTTTAGAGATACTATATCAAAGAAGTTTGTATAAAGCCCGATAAACAATGGGTGCACCAATATGTCAGCCAGTAGTTCCGGCAAACCCACAAACGTTTGTTGTCAAATCTCAACATTGGCGTAGTGATTCCAACTTAATAAAAAGAAACATCGATATTTTAGTGCATCTTTCAAACCTGAAACAGGAAATAGTAAATTTGGAAATTTTATACTAATTTCTATAGTAATAAAGATAAAACTAGCGTATGCAACTATTCCGAGTTAAAGTAGACGGACACTACTAGAAACCAATACATTTTTTCTATTTGTGAATATATATACAAAATTGTAGACAAAACAAAGAAAAACTCCAGTAAAATTGTGTGCATACCGCACACTTTATTTTCTTTTCGTGTGAGACTTAATGTGCCACTGTACAAATGTCTTAGAAGTATTCTTGAATCATAATTTAAACAGGCGCACACTTGTAAAAAATATAATGTATACTAAAAAGGTACACTTTAAACTTAGTAGAAGACGCAACACAAATTCGTTGCACATTTCGCACTGGATTACATCTTACGTCTAGTCATCATTTTTAATTCCCTCTAGCTTGAGAAGGCAAGCAGCTCTAAGGCTGCATTTATAGAATAGTGTAAATTTAACGCATACGGTATGTATTTGATTCCTGAATTTCAGATAGCTCGCCCTTAAAGTTTATGTCGATGACAAAGTCCAAGTCACGATTGTTACGTTCGTTTGGTTTCATTTGAAACGTTCCATTGATTTCCTCATTTTTCTTGGCAGTTATGTGATCATCCAAATAAAAGACGGTCTGCTTCCAATGTGTATATGTGGAATCAGGCGATGTGCTGAACCCAAGTCGTTTGTGACATTTGGTAAATTCAATGTTAAAATATGTGACCAAAGCTTGTACAAAGTCATTACGCTTAATGGTAAGGCTAAATTTCGAAGAAAAGTTTAAATCGGCCTTTTGCACTGTGTACAAATCAACCTCCTTCACCATGCACGCTGTTGAAACCACTTGCTTTGGATCGACCACATCCACAAGTGGTTCAGTAACAGCCACCTTGCGTATGCAGCTCATGTCAAAGCCATACACATCGTCCCACCAATTAATCTTCTCGTCTTTATACTGGCGATCTTCAATAGCTGTAATATAAAGTGTACCCCTGTCTGGAAACATCATGCCATTGGGCTTTAGCCATTTGTCGCGAGCATACAACACCGTGTCCAGCATTGATTCATAGAATAGACAGTACCTACAGTAGACAATTGAGTTATATGTAAGTGAATATAAATTTGCAATACTACATACCCCATCCATTCTGAAATAATAATGTCAACTTTTTCGATTCCATTCGGAAGTTCAATTTCCTCGATTTTTCCCTTGACTACTGTAATAACATCTTGCAAATTGTTATCAATTATCACTTGTCGAGCAAACTCTATTATATTCGAACAGTCTACGGCAATAACTTTGGCAGCACCGGCTTTAGCAGCAAACATGGATAGTATCCCAGTACCGCATCCAACATCCAAAACAGTCTGCAAGCAAAATATGTTAGATTCATTTGAATTGTGCGCTCTAAGCTTACAAATACATTGGCTTCTCCTCGTTTTTTTTTTTTTTTTTTTTGTTTTTTTTTTTTGTGTAAAGATCTTTTTGTTTAAAATAATTTACCTTTCCTTGGAAAAGATGTTTATTGTGGTACATTGCGTTACGGTATGTGACAGTTCGGACTTCATCTTTAAGCATTTCCTCGTGGATTCCAAAATGGGCATACGAGTCAAAGTAATAGTCCCTTGAAGTCATCTCGTCTGCATTGCCAGTTGCATCGCCATGGCCAGGAGACCCTTTTCCACCACCACCACCACCACCGGCGGTGCTGTGGGCAAGTTTCTTTAATACATTATTCGTGTTGGCAATTCCGATAGGTGCGAGACTGGCAGCGGGCGCGCTCTCAAGTTCAACGCTTGATTCCATTGCTATATCTGTTGAAGACTGCAAGCAATACAATTAGTCATAATTTTTCAACTTGTTATAGCTTACTTACCATTTTTTGTAAGTTTTATTTGGCCTAGCTTGTGAGAGTTAATCGAAATTAAGCAATGTATCAGACACCGGACTGCTTCCCTCCAAACACACGCGAAAAAGTGCTACCAAGTAGCTTAATTCTAGGGATGTTGAATACTTATCGATATTTTCAAAAAAAATACATATTGGAAATTTTAAGTTATATCGATATAAATGACAGAAATATTACTAATATAATGGGAATACTTACAATATATATAGAGTTTATTCCTTAAATGAAAGAAAAGTATGTTTGATACTCAATATTTATTTTTGAAGCTAGCAGAATACGTGATTTTGTTATAAATATATATACAGTGCTAATATTCCTTTAAATAAAATATCATTTTTCATTTATATATACAGTAGTATGAATATACCATTCTTCTTAATCATGATACTAAGTATTAATTTCGATAGCATTTGAAAGACCGCAAACTTGTATAATTGTTTTGTTAAATTACAAATTTAAATCAAACAGGAAGTCCCTTAATACCTATAAAAACTTTAATCGAAATAGCATTTCTGCAAAAAATCGATATATAGACTATTAGAGATCGAATGCAAGCAATGTTTTGGCGGCAATAAACAGCTTCACGTTGCGAATGTAGCGGTGTTTGCATAAATAACTTGATTGGCCTTAGTGATTTTGTTTATTATCGCAATGGAGGGCTTCGACGACGCTGGCGTGTTTTTCTCCGACAATTTTGGAAACGATCAAAACCCAGATGGAGCCCAAATAAATTTACAAGCAGTAAAAAAGAAGTATAAGGAATTCATTCGTACATTCAACGAAGATAATTTTTTTTATAAATATCGGTAAAAATAATTACACGAATGACACGTACAAATTATTAATATGCAATCAAATATTTATTTAGAGATAACTTAAAGCGAAACTATCTCAATGGACGTTACTTTTTGGAAATTGAAATGGAGGATGTGGTTGGTTTCGATGAGGCCCTTGCCGACAAATTGAACAAGCAACCTACTGAGCATTTGCAGATCTTTGAAGAGGCTGCACGGGAGGTAGCTGATGAAATAACGGCACCTCGACCCGAACATGAAGAGCAAATGCATGACATACAAATACTGCTGATGTCCAGTGCCAATCCCACAAATATACGTGAATTGAAGTCAGACAGCGTATCGCGATTGGTTAAAATTGCCGGCATAATTGTTGCAGCATCTGGTATTCAGGCAAAGGCAACTCGGATGTCGATTATGTGTCGCTCATGTAGCACTGTGATTCCGAATTTGAAAGTCAATCCAGGACTTGAGGGTTATGCTCTGCCGCGTAAATGTAATACCGAACAGGCTGGCAGGCCCAAATGTCCATTGGATCCTTTCTTTATAATGCCGGACAAATGTAAGTGCGTTGATTTTCAAACACTAAAACTGCAAGAGCTGCCAGATTTTGTGCCACAGGGCGAGATTCCGCGTCATTTGCAATTGTTTTGCGATCGCTCACTATGCGAACGTGTTGTGCCTGGCAATCGCGTGCTTATACAGGGTATTTATTCTATACGTAAGGTTGGAAAGCCATCGCGTCAAGATGGTCGCGAAAAAGCTGTTCTTGGAGTTCGTGCTCCATATATGCGTGTAGTCGGCATAACCGTCGATGCAGAGGGAGCTGGTGCAGTTTCTCGTTATACAAACATATCCACCGAGGAAGAGGAAAACTTCCGACGCTTTGCTGTATCATCAGATATATATGATCGCCTGTCAAAATCTTTGGCACCAAGTATTTTTGGTTCCAATGACATTAAGAAGGCCATAACGTGCATGCTCTTTGGTGGATCCCGAAAACGACTCCCGGATGGTCTTTGTCGTCGTGGTGATATTAATGTATTACTCTTGGGAGATCCGGGTACTGCTAAGTCGCAGCTCCTTAAGTTCGTCGAAAAGGTGGCGCCTATTGGAGTCTACACGTCTGGAAAGGGCTCAAGCGCAGCTGGTCTCACGGCTTCTGTTATGAAGGATCCGCATACGGTAGGAAATTTTTTCCCAGAATTGGATATACTTATCCGTAACTAACTGAGACTCGCTTATCTGAAAATCACTTCGTTTTTATTCATAGCGTAATTTTGTTATGGAAGGTGGCGCTATGGTTCTCGCAGATGGTGGCGTAGTTTGTATAGATGAGTTCGACAAAATGCGTGAAGACGATCGCGTTGCTATTCATGAAGCAATGGAACAGCAAACAATTTCCATAGCGAAAGCTGGTATTACAACCACACTAAATTCGCGTTGCTCAGTGCTTGCGGCTGCCAACTCAATATTTGGGCGTTGGGATGATACGAAAGGCGAGGAAAACATTGATTTCATGCCGACAATTCTTTCACGTTTCGACATGATATTTATTGTAAAAGATGTACACGACGAGGCACGAGACATTACTTTGGCGAAGCATATAATAAATGTGCATCTGAGCTCGAACAAGTCAGCGCCTGCCGACCCTGCAGAAGGTGAAATTTCATTGTCTATGTTCAAGAAATATATCCATTATTGCCGAACTCATTGCGGTCCACGACTAAGTGAAGCTGCTGGTGAAAAACTAAAAAGTCGTTATGTTCTAATGCGAAGTGGCGCTGGACAGCAGGAAAAGTCGGCAGATAAAAGGCATTGTATTCCAATTACTGTGCGTCAGTTGGAAGCTATCATTCGAATTTCCGAATCATTGGCGAAAATGCGTTTGTTACCTTTTGCTACGGATGAACATGTAAATGAAGCGCTTCGGCTGTTCCAAGTATCTACTCTTGATGCTGCTATGACTGGTAGTCTAGCTGGTGCAGAAGGATTTACTACAGAGGAAGATCAAGACACTTTAAATCGTATAGAAAAGCAACTTAAACGTCGATTTGCTATCGGATCTCAGGTTTCTGAACAAAATATTTTACAGGTAATAATTCGTAATATTGGTCAAATTTTATAACCTTAATTTTGTATATCGAAATTCTTAGGACTTTTTGCGCCAAAAGTATGAGGAGCGGACTATAATGAAAGTCATTCATACGATGATTCGGCGCGGAGAGCTTCAGCATAGAATGCAACGGAAGATGTTATATCGCATTTGCTGAACAGGTCACAGGTCAACAAATCTTGGATTATTAATAACAAACCGATTTAATATATTTTGAAAATCTTTAATAAAATTATTCTTATTAACAAATTACATTTTGAGTTTAAGATAAAACTTCACAATGAAATTTTAAAATCCCAACATAAGGTAACGTAACGTATAACATCAACAAGACCTATAGTCGGGTAGCTCGTTTCAGAGATTTGAATTAAATAACAATAATCTAAAATATATGGAGCAAGTTTTGTACCCATTGCCTCTTTTCAACACATCCAATACTCAGTGGTGCGAGAAAATCCTACCTGACGTATATCAAGTTTCGTAATGTATTGATAGATTTGCCCAGGGAAAATACAAACCAGAAAGTATAGAGCAATCAATATTGTGCTATACTTTGATTTATTTTATTATTTGGGAATACTTCTCGACTGCGAAATACGCTTCAAACATTCTAGTTATCATACGCATTTACAAAGAGAAATAATAAATATTGATTTTATAACCATTTGTCTGTATGAACCGTGCCAGACACTTGCAATTTGAAATAGAAATGTATTTTTCTCAATTTTCGTGTATTATTTTAAACTTCGTTTACAGAATATCTAATGACTATTTAACATAAAGCGCTAAACATCCAGAGATTCGATTTTGTAAATATATATTTGCATAGGCCAGAGCCAATTTAAATATCAAGTAAACCCTACTGTCTTACAGCTAAAATCCCATACCTACACAAAAACATTGATTATCTTCTATTTGGGGATACTAGAGGAATGTTAATTGAATACGTTTGCGAGAAAATTATATAAATTTCGTGTATGATAAAAAAAAACTTACTTATTTGTTTATTTAAACTAATTTGTTTGTGGACATATGTATATATCATAAATGCATATTTTGCATAAATATATACTTTTTCTGAGGTTCCGATTCCGGATGGTGACAAAGCGGCCAACGACTACCAGGAAAGTAATGAACTCATTAAAAGAAAATACCTATATCTCATTCAGATGCTTATGAATTTTTTATTTTATTTTTTAAATATATTATATTCTCCTGGTCTACTAAGTATTTAAAAAATGTCTTTAATTTAATTTTACCATATTTACACCCCAAACGAATTGAACATTTGAATTCAGAGTATAATGTGTGTGACGCAGAGCCCAAATTGTACATATTAGAATCATGGCTAGGCCGGCCCGTCTATCAGTTTGTCCATCTGCTTTCACACGTAGATCTACACAAAACACGGGTCGATTCAATTTGTTACACACAATCATTAACTCTTTTTATTTCCATTGAATCGATTGAAGTAAATATAAATCTTCAGTTATTAAAGCATGTTCAGAAATCCAGTGTTACCAAAATTGGTATATTCATAGATTGTTTTGAAGTGTAAACAATATGGAATACAAACAAACAAATCTTAAATTATATTTAATCTACTTTCTGTTACTGATATTACGGTGGTGTTATCCATAATTTATATAAAATATTGTATTACAGTATATCCAATCAAGAAGGTTGTATTCGGAAGAGTATAAAAGACGCGAACTGATGCATTCAAATTTCCACACTCAATGCAAATTTTTCAATTAAAAAATATGAACTAAGAAATAATAAAAAGGAAAGAATATAATGTACAATTGCACAATACTCTGTTTCGCAACCCGTAATGTGCTTATACGAGAATGAATAAGGATTGGCTATAAATCTAATAAACTATTCATTCCCTGTGGGAACAGAGTACAATCATTAACGTCATAAACATCCGCGACTTTTCAATTTTCAATTTTCAAAAGAGCAAGATACACAAAAATCTGGCTGCATACGTACCATTGGACATAGATTCGAATACGTAAATTCACAAATACAATAAAAATACATATAGAAAACATGTTCAGCACATATGTATGTTTGTATATACGAGTACATTTATGTACATTCAATATTTACACACAAGCGTATATACACAAACGTATATATATGTATACGTATGCATGTGTATACAATGTACACAAATATAAAAGATACAAATACGTAACACATCAGAGGTGGGGGCGGCATGTGAGGTAGGCACGAGAGCATAAACGATGAGTGGGGCCTTTTGTTTTGTGAATGGAAAAATTAAATGAAAATTCTCGCTGCACAGCAGCCAATTCCGTTATATATACGTCAGTACAATTATAGCTCTCGTAAGAGTCAGTTCAAACAGATACCAGAGGAATAGGGAAAACTAGTGTGTGAAGCAGTTACTTCACATATAAGTTTTTATTTTCTCTAATTGTAGATGAGACCACCGACTCATCTGAATTGCCTGGAAAATAAAGATACAGTTGTGCTTCAGTTGTGCTGTTAAAGATCATGTACATATATCCAAGCTCGCCCGAATCCGAGTCATTTTTGCAATCCGAAGAAAGTGCAGCCATAAAGATACAAGCTGGTTTTCGAGGCTACCGTGTGAGGAAACAGCTTTACCGCATATCCAAGTCGAATAGTTCTCGTAACATCGGTCAACGCTTCGGAAATCAGCAGGCAAGTGGCGGTCGACGTCAGCAACGTCAGCAGCGCTCTCACATATACGACAGCATGGAAGATAATCAGAAACAGATTCCTAAAGCTAATGACGTCTCTGCCCTGTCGGATGCTAACTCTGTCGAAGCTCGCTCTGCCATCAAAATTCAAGCGGGATTTCGAGGGTTCCTAGTGCGGAAGAAGCAGAAAATCGCAACAGATGCAGCGGTTAAAATACAGTCGAGCTTTCGTGGGTTCAAGGCGCGCAAGGAAACGGAAAAATTGAAGCAATCGTAACTTGTGGACCATGGTCTTCTTTATGTGTATAACGTCAATTCAATTTATTTAATACATGCATTCGAGTTCTGTGTGTGGTAACATGCAAATACATATTGTACATAGATAGTAGCAGTAGATTATTGTAATGAGATAAACAAAATAAATATAAACATACTTGCGTTAAGTAACAGTACTTTCATACTTAGTACATGCAGATACTTTTAGTGTGTTTGGTGGTCACACAAACAATTATTGCAAATATAAATAGATTAATTATCGAAGCTTTTCATGCCTTATATAGTAGATACACACGAGTGCATAGCTTCACACAACAAAATACAACAAAATATTATTGTTAGTGTGGTTAAATAACTAACTAACGTTCTTAAAAAATCAAACGTCTCAATATATAAATACAGGTATATAGGTATATATTTACATATCCCCATACATATATACCCATGTGTGTTTATTTGTAAATTTGTATACAGAAAAGATGTGCGGTATTTATATTTATCTATTTGCATTTGTGTACGAGCATAATGCTAGTGCATACGTGCCCATCCGTTAAAGTATTTTTTAAAACCTTTTTCGTAGAAGCAGAACACAAAAAAGAAAGATTTTTATATTAAAAATATATTGGATCTTTATCAAAATCAGAGTAGCAACGTAATAAGTATTCATATGAACTTATTTGTTTGGCTACGATATTCTCTGAAACTCGACATGGCAATTAAAATTAACCTTTTTTTAAACGCAGTCACAAATTTATTGTTGTTGGCTATATAAACTAAACTGCAGGAAAAAAAGTAAATTTTCGGTAATTCGACATTAAGATCACCAAGCTTCGCAGGTAGATCAATGGGGATCTCTCCCCAAATATAACCTTAAATTAGACAGTTTGCCGACTGGATAGCGACAAATAAGAAAGCATTTCTTGACTCTTTATACAAATAAATAAAAAAGTTGAAATACGTATCTTGTCGTCAGCTGTATTTACGTATAGTCTATCTATGGCTATATTAACATATTTTATTAATATTTTATTCTTTTGCAAACGGGCTTTAAGGACCTCTTTTAGATGTCATAACATTACTGTATGTGATTCGGCTACTTTTTTTAGAATTTTTTTTCTTTAATTTAATAAAATTTCTTGACATGTGTAATTACGTTATGGAATTCTGGATGGATCGACCCTCAGAGCATATATAAACGAAAATTAATATTTTTGAGAAACTGTTTATTTCATACTAGGTTACACTCAGTATATAAAACGTATACATCATTGTTTTTATTTAATCAATTGAAATGTTATTAATTTTTCTTATGTTTATCCTGGGCGCTCCTTATGCGTCTGCGTCTGTGTTTGGGGATGACTCTTAGAACCTCACATTCGATTTGAACTGGCATAGAGTTTTGCCGCAAAACAGGCCAATTCAGTCGCATATCACTTTTCTTGATTGATCGCGTACCTATAATAAAGAAACGATAATGAATATTAAAAATGTGCTCTAGTTGCAACTGCTCAACGAGGAGGAACGCAGCGAGAAGGTGATATTCTAATCAATCTACGCTTTGATGTATGAAACATTACAAATATCCCAGGCATACACACAAACAATACATGCAAACACGCATAAGAACGCGCTCTGCCTACTACAGACAAGTCTACCAAGATTCCAAAACCACTTGAACAAAATCATTATACTTATATTCTATATTTTTATACCCTGAACCCATTGCAAATGGAGTTCAGAATACACAATTATTTACAACATCTACTCAATCCGTTGTACTGATGAAGATTATCTATACTCTATGCGCTCTGCTCACCTTCCAGTTGTGCCCATTTTAGTGTGGTGGGTTAATGAACGCAGCTAATTAATGATTTTCAGCTTACCTTTACTCGGTGACGAATTGGTTCCGATATTTTTTTGAGGCAGCCCAGCAGTAGCGCATTCGGTATTTTCATCCTCTGGGGTTGAGTTTGAATCATTTTGCAGTGCGTCCCCACGTTGTAGTGTTTGCCGCTTGGCTGCCAAAGTGCTTTCTAGACTGGAACTAGTCAAGATCTGCGCTTGATTTTTGGGTTTCTTAGTATGCAATCGATATGCCGTTTGGATTTTCTTGGCTGCTTCTTCTTCAATAAAGCGTTCCAATGATTCGCTTATGGCATCGTTACCGAAAGATGCCTTTGTTTCCTGAGTAGATGACTTAGTACCTGCACTGGCACGGCGCAATCGTCTCCTAGTTAGAAATCCTCGTGCTCCAGCCTGTATTTTAGCAGCAGCTGATACAATTGTTGATTCGGTTTCTGTAGATGTGTCCATAGCATCTGCCATTGCAGTATCTACATGAAAATCATCTTTGATGATTTTCTTCGGATCATAATAATCGGAGTCCGCTTCAGAAAGGGAATATGCCATCATCTTTTTGCGAATGTTTTCTGAAGTTTCATCGTCCAAACAGAAGCTGTTACTGCCTTTTGAGCCATTGATATCATTTCCGTTTTCCTCGTCAATATATTTAACAGCGTCGTTTATGATCACGGATTTAAAAATAGTTTTTGGATCGTCGCCGGCTATTGTGTAATGCCGTGATAGTTGGGATCTGGACATTTCTGGATCATTCGCAACAGGCTTGTCTTCTTCTTCATTTCCAAATATAACAGACTCGCTTTGAGCTGAGCTTTCACGAGTTTCATCACGCTGTAAGCGCTTGTATACTATATCACCATCACCATCCTCGATATCTAGCGAATTTTGATCTTGCAAATCGCTCATTGGCTGAACACAAGGCTCATCAAATATGGGATCCCTAATATTACAATCTTCCCTCTCTCTTATTTCGGAAGATCGTCGGCGAGACATTTTGTCAATTATTTGATCTGTTTTCGATAGTTTTAGGGCTGTACTATCCAGGGTATCCAAATCACTTTCCGTTTCGTCGTGATGCTGGAGTTCGTCTTCTTTTATATTTTGTGATTCATCATTGTCTGGCTTATCCGCGGCCAGATTAGAATGTGACACAGTTTTTTTAACACACTGTACTTCATGCACTTCATGAAAGGCGTCGCTATGCTCTCGCTTGTCAGTATGCGAAGAGAATTTCGTCTCTTGCGCTAAAAATTCGTTCAATAATTCTCGCATTGTGGAACAATCTAATTGAAGTAGAAATTTAAATGTGAATGTGTGAGTTTTTTTTTATTATTTTTTATAATCACGCATTTTACCTTTGAAGGCTGCTTCGATTTCCGAAGACCTCTTAACTCCTACATCTTTAACAAAATCGAACACTTCTTCACTTGTTAAACCTGCTAAATTATTAGAAGATCCATTATCTGTTTCAAATACTTTAGTTGAATATAATTCATTAACAATGTTGCCAATATCAGTAGCCAGTTCAAGTGAGCCATTGCTTTGAGCATCCAAATTACTTAATTCGATATGTGTATTTTTGTCAGGCTCAGGTATGGGTAAAGCTCTTTTCTCATCTGTGGAAGCAACCAGAGAGTCAGCGACAGCTGGAGCACTTGAAGCACTTGACAACAGTGATATAGGCTGCGAGCCCACAAACCATTCGGGCTTCGCTATTTTCTTACGTCTCATATAGTCTCGGAAAATCTTTTGAATTTTAATTGCTGCTACAATATCATCTGTTGTATATTTTCGAGTTTGCTGACTCGCTTTCAAGGATGTCGCTTGTGCGGCTTTTCTTGACAAGAATATTCGAAATAATTTTTGTATTTTGACAGCTGCATTAACTTGATTAAGTTGACTTTTTGACTCGTCTAATATTTCTTTATTTGTAGTGCCTTCAATATCTTCAACTTTAATTGCCTCATCTCGTGATTGGCGAGTTTTGTATTTTTTGTATGCTCTTTTTATAATGTTTGCGCTATTCTCTAACTGTACATTATCAGTAGTAGCACAAAGATTTTCACTTTTTGGATCAATCGGCTTATTTAGATTCAGTTGATTGCTATCATGGGTAGCACCAACTGCTTCGTTTTCACTCTGGATATTTTCTTCTTTGATATCGGTCTGATTGTGACAAGCCATTTTATCCATATCCACTTTGAGCTCACTAGTGACTTCATTTTCGTTCAGTTCATGTATGGTTTGTAATTTTGGAACAACAAATTCCTGGTAAATTCCGCCAACTATAGAATCATCGAAGTTGCCTTCATCCGGGGAAATCTTGCTGTTATGATACTCTGTGTTTTTGTCGCTCATACTATTCTCTGATTGCCTTAAGAATTTTTTGGGTATCTTAAAGCTTGTCTTCTCATCATTGCCATCCAATGGAATAAAAAAGGAAATAGATTGCTTCGGCTTGACTGGCTCATTACCTTCAATTTGCATTCCATTTATGTAACTTGGAGATCGCTCAATGTTCTTTGACGACTTTATCTCTTCTAAGAACGCATTTTCTTTTTCAGACCCATTTGTGTTATTCGCTTCATTTGTGTTCACTTCTAACGCGTTTGGTTCACTATAAACCTCATACCAAGAGCCTTCGCCGGCAGACGTCTTAAATGATTTAAGCTGTAATTCAGCTATTGGTGTCTGCAATAATCGGTGTGAAGTATGGCTTGATAATTGTATATCCTTAATGTTTGTAATTTTTTTTATTTTATGTGTTGTCATCGTATTGTTTTGGGAGCCAATTAATTGATTACTCAAAGGCAACGAAGATTTGTTCTGCTAATGTTAAGGACAAATTATAGAATGATACAATTTATTTACTCTTACCACTATTTACTTCGGACATAAGAACATCACTTTTTAATCCACTGCTTGCTTCGTTAGCTGCATTTAAATATAATTATAAGATAATTATAAGATAAGTTTAATGTCTATTATTATATTTGTATTGGGCATCAGTTGAGTTTAGTCTTCTGATACAACTAAATGTGATTGTTAGCTTGACTCCTAACAGTTGAAAAACACAACCATTCTAATTTCTTATCTGATTAAATCCAACCTTACAAAGGGAAAGGGTATTTTGGATTTATGCAATATCTGTCTGTATAGGTTTGTATAATAAAGTCTTCTTAAATTTGGTGGATCAAATGTCAATTTTGTTGGAAGTAAGAAAATCTTCTAGAGTTTATTAGATAGAATTTTATCTACCCGAAGAATATATATAAAGATTATATGCCTATGTGGGGCGGGGAATATCGAAAACATCAGTACAGTTTTAGAGTTATGATCGTCGTTTCCGAAAATAACGGTTATGAATTACAATTTGTTTCTGTCAGTCTTTATGCTGGCTGTCTGTCCGACTGTCTTGATATTTTCCATTCCTTATCGATAATGATCGATAATTCAATTAAGATACTAGGGAGCAAATTGAATACCATTAAAGCGCGATATTTGAAGTGTATTATGTGGGTTTCTGGGATAAATACACAGATAAAAAGTAAGTTGAATATTGGCTACCTCCCCTATTGCTTCAAAATTAAAAAAGCCATATAACAGTAGAGTAGGAACTTTTAGATCACTATTACTTTTTAATTTTTATACATATTTTATCTAGGTAGGTAGTATAGGTATAGTTTATATATAGTTTATTACTACTATACAACAAAATAAACTTGATGTACTTACTCATTACTTTCACAACTTCACAATTGCTTGTATTATCATCAATTAATTTTTGGTCCATTATTCCTTATGAAAACAGGAAATTATTATTTATATTGTGATATTTTAAAATAAATATTACCTGAAGTCTTAATAATTTCATTTTTCTTTTCGTCATCTGTATTATGGAGCTCAGATTTGAAAGATTCCATTTCCTCACCACAAGGGGGAACGTTTTCACCAATTACATCTTTTGAAGAACGTTCTATGCCCTCAGCTTCCAATAAGTTGCTTATTAGGATTTTCGCAGTGTTCTCGTCATTAAGAGCAGCATGAGTGGTTAAATCTGCCTCAGAATTAAATAGTGAATTATTATCTATAGGAGAGTTTTTGTTCACTAGGCTGGGTTCCATTTCTATTTTATTTTCTTGTCGATCTTCAGACTCCTCTAATGGTCTTGATAGCAGTTTTTCACTTTCTGTATGAAAATTAAGGTCATCTAAGTTTTCTTTTTCGACAACCTGTATTATGTTGTTATTATCCTTTGTATGTTCCTCGGAATCATTTTTAGAAGTGAGTTGATTCATTTTGGTTTCTGGTCGTTGATTGTTTTCAACCGAACTTTCAATTATTTCATCTATTACTGTAGTCCCGATATTGCCTAGTTCAGCAATTTGAGTATCTACAATATCTTCTTCTTTGCTTAGTTCTAATAAATGATCATTTCCTAGAGTTTTAGTCTCTTCTAACATTTCCAACGGACTTGAAGATGCTTCTTTATTTTCATCTACTGGCTTATTAATAGGTTGTATATTATCGTCATGGATTTCCGATTGTTTTTGTGTCTCAATTATGGTTAAGTCCTCTGCACTTGTATTGCTTTCAGTGATGCTTTGACATTCATTTAAATGTATGTCTTCAGTTAGTGTGGCTCCAATTGTGTCAAGTGAAATTATGTTATTTGCTGGCGCGATGGCTAACTCATAATCGTCTTCAGTAGGAAGAACGCTATGAATTATAATTGATGTTCCAAGGTTGTTAAATGATTTTTCATTGAATTCCAAATTGGACGAAGAGTCCCCGTGTTTTAAAAGTGCCGCTGTAAGAATTCAAAATTTAGTAGTGCATATTGTGATTATTAAACGAGTTTGTACACCAAATGGAGTATAAGCTGCATATAGGATGAAACATCTAAGAGTGCTCTAGTCGGACTGCCCGACTAGAAGATACTCTGACTCCTGCGCTGCTATTTCATATGATCTACACTTCTTAAGCATATAAAAAAAAACATTAGATGCACACACTTGCATAACAATACGCTGCAGACTTTAATAAAATGTAGACAGCGTAATATTGATATCAAAATGTATATTTTCTGTAAACCTCAAATTTCCAGAATTTGAAATATGTTAATTTGAAACACTATCCAAAATTGAAAATATTCATAAGCTGTGTATTCATAGCAGTAACATTATGCTTAAAGGACAAGTTCAAGTATCGATTTTTATCGACTGATTTATTCTGTCTGTTACATACATTTTCACAAAGCCTTACACCTTAATTTCCTATTTTCAATGCGACCTGAAACACAAATAAAAATAGACTCAACTCAATTTGTCGTCCTGAGCAATGGCTCATATATATGTTACTTTATGTGGTCTACCAAAAGCATTATACACCGAAATCCAATTTTCAACAGTGAACTCATAAATACAAAAGCTTTATACTATTTATAGATAGAGCAGCATTACCTCATTTTAAAACATATATTTATATATATAAAAGGAATAACTGTACGTACTATTATTTTCGGAAAAATCATCGTCATGAGTATTCTTCGCTTGAGTATGTAGATTTTTCAAAACTGTCTGTAGGCTATTTACTTCAATTGAATGTTGAATTTCTGAACTTGCTTTATTTAAAGGAATGTGTTCCTCCCCATCAATTTCAGTTTTCGTGTTGCACTTCATTTCATTTTCTGTTGTATAATTTTAATATAAGAATTTTTACATAAATAAAATTAAAAGTTAATAAATATGCTCTTTTAAATTGACCTGATGTAGTTGCGATTACAGAACTCTCGTTGTAACTATTAGATGATGAAACTTGAGGGCTCTAAGGAAGTAAATTTGTAAAGATGATTATTATATTTGCTCCTATGCAAGAACGACTTGATTTGTTTACCTGATCGACTTTATTGTCATTACCGCATTCCAAGTCGGGAGTGTTTTCCACCGATGCATTCTGATAATGTTCTTTTAATGTAGAACTTGTGTTAGCGTTATGAACAAGGCTTTGCTCTGGCTCTAAAATATCTGTGGGAAGTATGCTTATATTTCGTTCATCTGATGAAGCATTTGCATCCGTTGATATATTGGGATTTTGCTTATCTGTCGAGCTGACAACGTTTAAAGACTCTGGTACTCTGGTATCCTGGTATTCTTCTTTGCTCAAGGATTCTTCTGTCGTACTATTGTCTGCTGTGGTATTAATATCCTCGGTTTCATCCTTTTCATTTTCATTATTTGCAATAATATCATCGGAATAGAGGTTATCATTAGCTTTCTTGTTGCGAGAATTCTCTGCAATTTCATCAACCGAAGAATGTTTCTCAGAAGGCACATTATGCATGCCTACTTTATTAATATTTTCATCTATTGTTTCTTCTAACTGGATATTGTTAGGCTTATCATTAACAGTGTCGTCTGAAAATAAAAACCAAAATGGTTAAATTATTTAAGGCCGTAAGCTGACACGAATAATAATATAAATAAAAATATGTGGGTCGTATCTGCAGTTTCTCATTGCATTCTAGAAAAACTGAAATGCTTTCTGTCTGATTGTACGAGAGTATGCATTTTCATAGACATAATAATCTTTTTATACTAGTTCACAAGCTAAACATCAAAAAGAGTGTATTGGTATTGTTATTTTATTTATTTAGTCGGGTTTTAAATCACTTCAAACTATTTCCTTATCACTATTGCTTTATAATGAATTCATAATGTCATTATTAAACTCTCAATTTTAATGGGTACAGGAAATTAATACGTTATTAATCTAATTAAAAATACAAAAATATATACGATTTTATAAACGACATTTTCTGTCATCTTGCCTGAAATATTGAGTACAATATCATTATAATATAATTATTAAGTTTTAATTCTTGGTAAATTTAATTACCAAATATTTTGTCAGCATAAATCACAAAGATTGTGTTATTTTTATGTATTGCATTGCTTTTTATTATGCACTTTAATTTTCCTGAAGGCATTGTTCAGGGAATCTAATGGCAATTATTGCCTAGACGGGTGCATTTCTGTCGAAAGCGATTCGATGTAAATGGATATAATAAAAATAGTTATCATTCGAAAATAGGAAATTAAAAATAAGGATTTTGAGTACTGTATGCAGTCATTTCATTTTTATAAAATTTTTTATATTATTTTAAATATTTGATGTGCATGTCTCATATATGAATTACTTTATTTCTTTACCTGACAGAGTTGCTATTACGACATTCTCGTTGTTACAGTCAACTGATTTGAGCGGAGTCGAAATTAAAGCATTCTGAAAATATATATTTACTCATTACGGTTTTTATGATACAATTAATGGTCTTCATTGGTTACCTGAATGGCTGCGTTGTCATTATTGAATTCCGATTTAGCAGAACTTGTTTCTGGAGATCCATTCTCACAATTACCTGGCACGGTTGTTTTTATTGTACTCAAAGTGCTTTGATCGAGACTTTGTTCTGGATCTAAAATATTTGTGCTTAGTGGGCTTTCATTTCCTTTTTCTGCCGAAGCTTTTAGATCAGTTGTAATTTTGGAATCTAGCGCAATTTCTTCACCACTGGGGATAAGGATTTTTTCCGAGTCTTGTATAGATTCCAAGCTTTGTGTTGTAGAGCTTGGATTAGGGAATGATTCTTTTTTAGTGATGTTGCTGAGTCCTGTTAAACTGTCGTCCTCGGATTTATCCGTTTCATTAGTTTGCCCGTCCTCTAAAGCTCGATTATCAGCAGTAAGGCTTTCACTTTGCAATGTCGAACTATTTTTTAGCTCGAAACTTTCAATTAAATTTTCCTTTTCCTTTTCTAGTTGGGTTACACTTTGGTTATCATTAATAATGTCTGCAAAATAAATAGATAAACAAAGTAGTAAAACGGAATTAATATTAAATAGGTAATATTCAAAAGTATATTCAATAGATCTCTGTCTCTATCTCGTACATTTAATGAGCCAGCTTCAAATGTTGTTGTGCTATTGTAGTAAAGCATAAAAACAGCATAGAAATTTAATTTTGTATAGATTATAAAAAATGTTCATAAAATATAATAATTTCCTTCTTCCATAATTCATCACAAATTAAAGAAGAACTAAAAAACTTTATATATAGAAAGTTAATTCTAGAATGCTCTTCATATAGTATGACTCTTCCTATATGAAAGAACACATACAATGGGTAAGTACTTATTGTGTATTATTTGTCTAAGTGCGTATGTGTATGTATGTACATATCAAAGAAAATATCACATTCACATTTAGCACATTTGTTACCTGATTCATTTGCTATGACGACATTCTCGTTGTTACTACCAGCTGATGAATTGGCAGCAGTGGATGGATTCTTGAAAATATATTTTTAAATTTTAAAATTGTCTGTAATAAGATGATATATTTTTTTACCTGAATGACTTCATTATTGATAGTGCTTTTTATATCAGTAGCACTTGTTCTTTCTTGCAGTAAATTCTCAGTGCGAGACTGTATTGTATTTTTAATATGTTCGTCGGGCTCTAAAATATCTGTATTTGATAAACTTAATGGACTTGCATTTTCTTGTATTGATATGATTTTAGAGTTTACATCATTACTAATATCTTCATTAGTTGGGCTAATGTTATCTTCTGACTCAGGTAAAAGTTTCTCTAAAGAATCTTCATTTGTAATGTTTTTTTGTGTATTCAAACTATTGTCTTCAGGCTGTGTCATTAAATTATTTATAACACCGACATTTCCATCGTGAAAGTTCTTTGAAATAATATCATCTGCATCAAGTTTTTGCAACTCGTGACTATTTTTTCTTTCGAAGTCATTGTCCATAAGTTCGTCAGCAGTTCTATTGCGTTGGATTTCATTATAGTTTTCATTATTATTTTTGGCTGAAATAATAAAGAAATAGATTTTAAAATGAGCAGTTAATGAATGCTCCAACGCCAGAAATAAAAATATAAGATAAAATCGTTCTGTCGTTGGTAACCTAGATGCGTCCAAAGTCTAGAAATATTCGATCTATTGAACGTTGTTATGTAGTGCTGAAAATATTTTTTTGTGTAGACATCACCTGAGTATAAATATATGTATATACGATATTACGCTTTACGTAATAAACTTAAAATTTGAGGACTGAGTTACAGTTATTGTATTTATTTACCAAATTCATATAAATGAAAATGTAAAATCTACAAAGTTTGATAACCCGCCCATTGAGCCAAAATATGATATTGATTTCCCATTAAATTGAACTGACTTCAATATTCTTATTAGCTACGAAATTGCGTTACCAAAGTGCGTAGTTCGTAGCTGATTGTCTATATTTTCAAATATTGATGACTCTTGTTTCACATCTTTACACTGTACATATCATTTTAAGGTTATATTGTAAGGGTCGGAAAAAGTGATATACATAGTCGTAACTCTTACAATATAACCTTAAAATGATATGAGCAGTGTAAAGATGTGAAACAAGAGTCATCAATATATATATATATATATATATATATATATGTGTATATATATGTCGTATCAGGATGAAATTTTGACGTGATGTTGAGAAATTAATAACCGAGTCTTTTGCTCATTCTCATTCTCATTGCCTCCTTCTGCTGCAATAGTATTGGAGAAGCGTAGTTCAACGTAGACCCGACATATATACAGTTTTACCCAATTTGCCAAATATTCTGAGCTTTATAATCTGTTCATTCAAGAACGAATTTGCCCATTACCAATATACTATTTTCACTTCGTGTCGATAAGTGTACAAAATAGTGTTCCTAAAATATTTATTTACCTTCTTCGTTAAAATCTGTTGATTTTTGACTTGTTTTCATCGATTCCGATCCATATTTCCTCTTAATATTTGTATTGTCGTTTTCAACTTCTTCATCTTCCTTGATAGTTTGTTGATGGACGCCCTCTTCGTAATTGGGACTCCCAAAATCATGTTCACCAACCGACTCCGTTGACATAAGAGCCGTAGAGGCGGACGTATATGATGCTGCTTCGGAGGCATTGTCATTCATCTCATCACATTGCTCGAGATCTGCTTTTATATGCCTTTTTGCTCTTCGTACCTTAACCATTCTGCGAAATGCCCTTTGAATGACGAATGCTGCTGTTGCTAAGGAAACATTGTTCTCAGCAGTAAAGTCCGTCACCTTGGGTAAAGCCTCCTTCGTGGACTTCTTCTCAGCAGTAGGGCCTGTAACCTTGGCCTCCTTCGCGGACTTCTTCTTTTTAAAATATTGTCGTATGTACCGTTGTATAATAAGTGCGGCCTTTAGATATTTCACAGAATTGTAACTTTCTGTATTCGTTTTTTTCAATTCCTTGTTATTATTGGACTTTTTATTCAATAATAAACGGCGAAATTGTCTTTGAATTAGTAAAATGGCATTTAAGACTTCTTGACTGTTATATATATCTGCAGATTTCGAGGGTCCCTTGACTGAATTTTCAGCTTTACGTTTCAAATATTGTCGAAAGTGTTTCTGAATAATGTACACTGCTTTTATGTATTGATCATTTTTATTTTTATTTAAAGCTTGTTGATCCGCATCAGATGGATCATTTGCATTTGTGTATTGATCATTTATATTGAGCTTCAAAATTGGTTGATCCGCATCCGTTGGATCAGTTGCCATTTGCGTTTTCACTTCCGTTGAGCTTAGAATACGCCCACATTCACATTTAGTTACATTGAGTGCGGGCGACCTTTTGTCATTTTTTTCAATAAATTTTTCATAAGCTGTGTACTGAATATCCCCAATCTTTGGGGAAGAGGCTTGAAGATTTTTAAAATACTCTATTGCAAATAAAACTAAATATTGCGGATTCTCTCGAAGGACAGCTTTAATAAATTGCTTAATTACTTCGGTAAGATTTTGAGGAATAATGTGAAATGCAAGGGATAAGGGCAATTGTTGTCGAGCGCGGTTTTTCATGATGGTTTCATAACTTTGCTGAGATTCGTATTTGATCACTTTCTTTTGAGTTTTTCTTGTACCCGCAATATTGTCAAAATATTCAACTGAGAATTTATATAAATCTTTGGGTTTTTCGCGTAAAACTTCTTTAGTATAATTTTTTACCAGGTCTCGAAGACCTTCTGGGACTCGTGGTAAATTAGTTACAGCCATGTCAATGATATCTTTGCACTACATAAAACGTCCACTGCTGTTGTTGAATCAATACTGAGAGAAAATTTCGGCTTTTGAACTTGGAAACCCCAGCCGGTTTCGCTGACCGTTTCCATGCTTACCAAAAGGTAACCACAACAGTTAGAACTACTTACGTCACTGCTGACTCATTTAAATGTTGTAAATAGAACACATTTTGTTATTTAATTTAATTCAAAGAAACTCCTTACTCAGATAACTTAAGTGTATAATTACTGGATAAGGCAACTTGCCTCCCAATTTCTAGGTATTAGACAACGCTCTAATAAATGTAGCCGTTTCCACAAATAACAAATAACGAATAACAAATAAGAGAGTTGTAGTCGGTTATTAACAACTAGATAATACTCGTTAACGCCTCAAAAATTTAAAGAAATGGATTTTAAAGTGGATCTGATTGTGGATGAAATAGAGTTTAGAGATGCTTTACGCCTCCAGCGCTACCCAAATAAGTGCTTTCTGCATGTTGGTTTGTTGCAATATTCCTTTTATTGTCCATCTATATGGCGATGCAATTTTTTGTGATTATATTTATATTTGCTTAGTTGAGAATTGCAATAATGTTATTACTACGTTTGCAACGTATACCCTATTTGTATAAAATGAATGTGTACAACTTCCAAATGGCCGGTTAATATAATAATATATATAAAACTGTGCAAAATATGGGGCTTGCAACATAAAATTAATATTCGGGACTCACAAGCAAATTGTGTGTTTGACACAGATGCTCGACTAGCTATGCATACACACTGAAAAACACGCTGCCCTGACATTTGAAATAGGTTTTTTCAAATTCAATCTCAATGTCTGTATATTTTTCACGGCCAATATTTAAGCTTTTAGACTACGGTTAAAAATCCAAATCATCCTGGAATGCAGGAAAACACTTTGAACTTCAAGCCTCTAGCTTCTATAGCTTACGAGATTGCTGTGCTAACACGACCGGACAAACGTGTCAGTTTCTTGATCAATAATATATATTAAATATATATTTAATTTTACGCATACGTATGTATATATATCCTTATTTGTATTCACGAGGCTAGACAAATAATTCCGCTCAAAATAAATATATTTATTGAATGTATTATATATATTAATCTCGCGACACACTAATAATTAATTCTGTGCGGAAACAAACAAATATATAACGAAAAATGTCATTGCGTTTCGCTGTCTTCTTCAATGCGACATAAAATTGGTATATCATCAAACTTGGCGATATCTTTTGTGTTAAGTGTTAAGTTCTTGATTAAATCAATTTTAAATTTGTTCCACTTTAAGGTCTTTAGGAAATTATCGAACAAAGATTCTCTCGATGGAATGATACAATCCAGGTAAAAAAGTCTCCGTTGCCAAATGTTTCCTGGATTTTGTTCGTTATCGAATAGAAAAAATCTGGGAAGCAACAAGCATTGCACCGTACTCCGTGCCATTATTACACGATGAAGCATATTTTCACCCAGTCCAAATATTCCACCAAACGTAAGAGATCCAACATCAATAAAATGGTTTTCGATTAAGTCCGCCTATAATTAAATATAATTGTTAATTAATAACTGTTAACATATTTTGTTCTACTGTAAAACTGAACAATGAAACTGTAAGAATTAAGGTCATTATTTTGAAAGACTCACACTTGGACTTTTTCTTGATGAGCTACTAGAACTTGATGAAACGGAGAAAATTTCACTATTGTCGGTTTCAGTTACATTATTATGGCTGTTAGAGGAAATTTTTTGTAATTTGTTTTCGAATATTTCTACTGAGCTGGAGTGGGTTTCATCAATGGGTACCATGTCTTCGTCACAATATTCGAAATATTTAATGCTGCTTGAACGAGCATGATATTGTAGTGATGTTAATGCTGACTTTGAGGTTTTTTTGTCATATTCACATCCAGCCAAGATCTTTAATAATCCAAACTGCATCGCATATAAAACATGAGTTTGAAAATAAAACCAATTGTATTCCGTAGTATTTTAATTAAAATGTTTTAATTTTCTTAGCTGATTTGTAAGCTTGGAACTAGAAAACGAATTTAATCCGTCGGCAAAGCAACAAGTTACATTTTTATAGAGAGAGCTTTATCTAATCTTCACAGAGCTAATATTATAATAATTATTTTAAAATCAGTAAATATATTTCTTCCAAGTTCTGAAATTTACTGACACACTCGATGCCCGTCTCTGGTCACTCTGAACGCGTTAATCTAAGACACTAACAGAGCTTGAAATCAAATCGATTAGAAGATTTAAAAACATTTTCGGAAGTCAGTATTATTACTATACGTTCTTATTTTGTATTCACTGCATCAACATCTTGGTGATCTTGATGATACGGAAGTTGGAGTTTTTAACTACGGCTGTGCCGTTCCACGAGGCGGATAGGGGATCTAACGGACAGATGGACGGACAACGTAACCACTCTTTTTTTTTTTTGGTAGCAAGTATAAAAATGAAATAGACTTGTTACTCTTCATGCGCAGCTAGGCGTATATTTCAAAATTGCTTTTTATTACAGAAAACTTACCGATTCCTTTTCGTTGTCATGGATCGCATTCAGTGCGGCGAACATAGACGGACTTTTGACCTCACGCTTGTTGATACTGTTATTACTATTCATATTTAAAAATTCACCATCCAAAGTGTCCACCAACTCGTACCCTTTTTTCCCATTCTTCACAATGACCTTTATGAATAAATAGCATAGAATACATTTATAAAAATATCTATCTAAATACCTTCATATTAAGACACTGGAGAATTAAACATTGCCCACTTAAGACGAAATGAACATTTGTCAATTTTCCTCTATCGTGACTGTAAATTGTATCCAAGGGCTTATACTGCTTAAGCGTACATAACTTGCATGCTTTCAAAATCTATAATGAACAGTTTGATTAGATACTGTTTAAAAATATTGAAATCCAATTCGCTTACTTGATCTTCGCTGAGAAAATCGAAGTAGTCTAAAGCCTTCAAGGCTGCTTTCTTATCGTTCCAAACCTTCTGCATGTAAGGCTTGAGGATCGAATTGAAATCATTGTCGACTAGCACCAGGAGTTCGCATTGCGCTAAGTAGCCGTCACGTTTGGAAGGTAAGAACGGCAAATGCAAAATGAGAACGGTATACAAATTGGAATACATCAATTCGTTTGAAGATTCCAATGCGATAGACCGAAAAGAAGAAATAGTTTCGAAATCAACCAAATAAAAATAATAAACACCACGTTACGAAGTGAAAGCTAAATTAGGAATCGGTTTGAGGTACTAAGGGTCTGTTGTTATTGTTGGTGTTGTTGTTGCTGCCAACCTATATTTTTGCAATGCATAGCAGGCAATGCTTGAAATGCCTCCTTGGCAAAAGTATAGTATATTGGGTTGGTTGGGGAGAATGGCTATGTTTTGCTATTCAATTTGATTGAATCGAATTAGGACTTAACTTTGTTTATTGCTGATTAAATTGGCTGGTGCAAGCCTTTGCATTTGGTCACGAAGCAGCAGCAATTTTGCGTCATGTACAAACGTACGTACTTAAGATATCGCGTGTTGAGCTCTAAATTTATACAAATGTAAGCAGTTATACATATATACATATATACATATATACATATATACATATATACATATATACATATATACATATATACATATATACATATATACATATATACATATATACATATATACATATATACATATATACATATATACATATATACATATATACATATATGATTTCGTTTTTACAATCTACAGACTTTGTGGTACAAAATTATTTCAAAACACTAAATTTTAAGAAACTTTGAAATTTCTAGCCGAATGAGTTTTAAGTCTGAAAGTATTAAATAAGCTTGTAGGTCCGTGAATATTGTTTTGACATTGGCATGATATAGCTTCACAATTGTACATATAAAATATATATGATAAACAGTGGCTCATTGAATAATAATAATACTAATGATGTGCAAAATACTGATAGATTGGTTGAAACAGAAAAGTATAAATTTGAGAGCCCTTTCGTCCAGAAATGCATATCTCATACAATTAAGTACAAACAATAATTATTATTATATGGTGAACCATACAAAGATATGAAAATATACTACAAAACATTGTTAAGAACATCAATTTGTTTTAATACGATAGTACAAGCCTTTTGTACGAATTTGGTTGATATTTCCAAAGATAAAAATAATACTACTAGGATATGCGATACACGTATTATTTAAGTAGCAGGTACTTACATGTAGCTACATAACTGTAATCGCGTGGGCGGTCTTCGATTATTTCTATATCGCCAATGCAATCACCAGGTCCAAAACTGATTTCGCAGTTAGACTTAAATTTTGGAAAAACTATAAGCTTGAACTTGTAATTAGAATTTAACTTTACCTTGCGATCAGATTGCTTTAACATCCCAATTTCTCCCGCTACAATAAAAAAAATTATATGCGGCTCGTCTCCCTGTCTTATAATTGTACGGCCTGGATTAGCTGACATGTATTTAATGACAGGAACCACACGAGCACGCAATTTCTATATGAAATACAATATATTCAATTGTAATGACAGGTATTTGTATAATGTAATACATACTGGGGGAATACAAAGGAAGCATCTCAATCCAGCAAACAGAATACATAGTTTGGATCGATCAGATATTGTCCGCAAATGATGTGGAGTTCGTATTAGAGATTTTTCCTGATTTAAAAAATATTTTATTCTTATTCTTAGTATATACTGATTTCTATAGGATAGTGAATGTTACTATTATTAATATGATATTATTTCCACACAACATACTCAAATCTGACATGAAATTAATATTTATACAGTTTATTAAGTATTATAGATCTACATTATTTGAAAGCTTCGACTACAACTTAATTTCTTATATTCTGACTATAAATACTATAAATGCCATTATGAGATGAAAGATTACATAAATACGTTTTTAAATTACTGTTAAATTAACATTTACACATATCTATTATATATACTTACATATATTGTTAGGATTCCAACTCTTCGTTTCGTGCGCATCATTAGAGCGATATTTTTTTTAACGTTTGCGGAAATTTTCTGGTCTTCATAATTTTCATCAAGCCATTGGCTATTCATAATGACTTCGCGGACCACCTTTTTAAATTTGTATTTCAGTAATGCCTTCCTTCTCAGGTCTTCTGCATAACGGTTACGTTTAATAACCATTTCTAAATTTTATTTACATTTAATCAACTAGTAAATTACAAACAAATAAGTTAAAAAACGAACAAAACAAAATATTTGTAAGTGCTGCAAGTATGTTGTTGTTTTAAAGGCATTCTATGTGAATCCCTCCAAGTAAAATCGGAATCCCATGACTTCCTGAATACCAAATGTAATTCAAATTCTACATTTCTGTTTAGGAACTTCGCCGTATTTTATAATCTAGTTCGTCGAGGTTCCCCCAGATGGCGATATCGTATACAATCTCTGTAGCCCTGGAATTTGAAACTTGCGATACATATCGATTACTATTCTTTCAATTCAAATAATGTAAGAATAACAGCTGATTGAAATATATATCGATAGTTTTGTGAATTTTTGTTTTCTCTTTTTAATTTTTCGTTTCTACAAATTGTGATTTAAGCGTTTTGTTTAAATTTTGTTTCTGTGATTAATTTAATTTGATTTTAGTACAATGAAGTCAAACTCAGAATCGGAAGAGCAGACACAATTGGAAAATGAAAATAAAGTATATAAAATGTAAATTTGGTTAGAAAAATTTAATTCAGTTGTTTTTCCTTTAAACTTTCACTTTTTCAGTTATCAGATAAATTTACCAAGATACCATTACGAACCGTTATGCTATTCTTGGCAGCAACAGTGTGCACTGCAGTGCTTGCTGAGCTTTTACCACTCTACACTAAGATAAAAAGTGAAAGAAACGAATTGAATAGTACAATACAAAAGTCGCGGACTCAAGATCGGTTCTATTCAATTTATAGTACTAGTCCCACTGAAGAGCACTTGGTGCACGTAGTAGATATTTTAAACCGTTTCGGTTATAAGAGAACTGAATTAAACGGTGAATGGGACTTGCTGTGGGCTCATGACTATCCGTTTCGTGTATTTCCCCATCTCAAGAATCTTGATGCGCATCAATTTGTTAACCATTTACCTGGGTGTGGTTACTTAACAAACAAAGTTGACTTATGTACGACGCAATTACCATTTTTGCCACGTGCATTTCGCCTCCCAAGTCATAGGAACTTATTCTTGGAATACGCTTCAGCCCATCCAGAGGCACTATTTGTGCAGAAGCACAATGAGCATCGTCATATTAAAGTTCGTGCAATAAGTGATATTGATTTGTACTCGAATGATTCTTTTGTCCAGGAGTTTATTCAGAAACCATTTTTAGTCGACGGTCATAAATTTGATATCGGTGTTTATGTTGTGATTACATCTGTTAATCCGTTACGGGTTTATATTTACAACGGCGATGTTCTGTTTCGCTACTGTCCCGAAAAGTACTATCCATTTGATGCTGAAATTCAGGACAAATATGTTGTAGCAGACAACTATTTACCTACTTGGGAAGTTCCGTCATTACGCAAATATTATAATAGCTATGGTGGTAGCATGCGTGCCTCTTTTGAAGCTTATGTACGTGACCAAGCAATGGATCCATCAAAAATATGGCCACAAGTCGAAAACATTATTCGTACAACAATTTTAACTAAAGAGGATGACTTAATTGATACACTTCGTAAATATAAGAGACATAATTTTTTCGATTTATTGCGTTTTGACCTATTCATTGACGAGAACCTTAAGGTCTATCTCATGGAAGCCAATATGTCACCAAATCTTTCCTCTGCCCATTTCAAAGAAAACTCACTATTATACGAGCAAGTGCTCTACAGTGTATTTAACCTAGTGGGAATTCGCCCAGTGAGCAAATCGGAAATTAGTCGAAACACGTATGTTCTTAAAGAAAAATATATACATATATAAAATGTTTATTATAAGTTTTGATTGCTTTTAGGACTTCTGAAATGATAACTGCTGACAAAAATTTGGCGACTGATTTAAACCTATGTGTATATAATGATTGCGACAAATCATGCAATAAAGAAGAATGCGGCTTATGTCTACCCTGCATAAGTGGAACAGAATATGAATGGCTACAGCGAGCGCATGACGAGCACTTGCATCGCGTTGATATGAAGCGAATCTTTCCCAAGCCAATAGTAAATTTATTATCATCGTCCTGCAGTACTTTTTAATATATATAGTAATATGTTTTACTTCCAGAGTGATATTCAAACATATGATGTAGATGCGGAAACTAGACAATTATCGAGAAAGAACGCTTGGATAACACGCTGGTTTTTCAATAAATGTAAATATGACCGCACATGGTGCATGTAAATAGATCTATGTGAATAGTACCCTTTACTCATTTGAAATGACTTAAAATCTAACTTTTGACGATTTTAAAACTTTATATGATGACAAAAGCAAACATCATAAAAACAATAGCGAATGTTAAAAATATTTTATTTTAAAAGTTCGATTCCAGCCCATAAATATATTCAAAAGTTTTCTTAAGATATTGTTTTTTATGGGATGTTAACGGCTAATCACAATCTCTTAAAACTTCAATCAAACCTGGCGGAAATCCTTAGTGCCTTTGGCCATACAAATTTGTTTTTATTATTATGTGTATTATTTGTCCTAAGAATAAATGTGTAAGCTCGAGTGCTGTAAATTATTTAAATAATAAAGTATTTGTTATTATCGAAATTTTTTTTTTGTATATTAAGGTGTCAGATTATATATAGTAAAATAGCTGTTCACGAGGTGAGCAATGAAAATATTCTACTGGACCGATCAAAACGTTTCTCATAAAATATTATTTATTATGTTGTTTAATTTATAGAATATTTATTTATAAATATTTTAACCAATAATTCCACCACTAGTCATAGAATATATTTTCTATGGGCATTAAAAGATGATGATATATACACAAATATAAATAATTCGTCGATACACCAATTTCAAGCTTCAATAAGGAGGAAGCTTTTGCTTACATTGCTTATGGGCAAGGTTTAGAACATATACAATTTTTTACAGAGTTTCGCAGATAATGATATTCATTAAACTACGATTTCGCCCATGCAAACATAATATAATGAATAATGAATAATGAGAGCTGAAACAATTTCAATGTCTCAAAGAAAGAGATGAATTAACGATTTTTTCAAGACGCTAATAATCAAAATACTTGGCTATGTTCCGAGTCTAACTATCAGAATAAAAATTACTCACGGAAAGAGGTATTGACAATTAAAACTTATTATTCAAATATCATTCTTTTTTATCGATTCTCATGTCTAACTCTATACTAAATGCTTAATAAAAGAACTGGATCGACGGATGATAATGCCCAATGAATACGTTTATCGGCTATTTTTTGTAGCAGTAAGAATTAATGAATTTAATGCGCAAGCAGCTAATCAAGAAGATCAATTTATCGCTGACATTATTCGACATTTAGAGGCTGCATAGTCTGTATAATTTGTTCGTTCATGGGAAAAAAATAGTGTGCATGTATTTGGTTCGACAAAGCAACTTCAAATGAATGGATGAAATTGATCGCATAACACTCGGTTAAAGGTTATGTGGAGACTACTGATTAATGATATTTGAGAACTTCAATTGAATAACATATATATTTTCGATTACAAGTACGCCTAAAGAATTGGTTAAAAATGTATGCTAAGAGCATAAAATTAACCTAATTTAAGTTAGTAAGCAAACCTTAAATATATTTCCAAATTGCAAATTTCTTAGCAATAAATTAAATTAATTCACACAGTAAGACAGCAAAGAGGGCATTTTTTGTACCTCAAAAAGTAACAAATTATTTTTACATATTTATAACATAACATTTGGAATATATATCTAACACATCATTTTGATTTATGCGAAAACATAGCTGTTTTTCGTTTATTCCTTAGGATCCATTCGTTCATGCGAACAGAAATATCATCGCTTCAGCTCATTGACCAGGTAAATAATCTGAAAGTATACGTTTCCAGGTAAGTTTTCCTTTCTCTGTTACACTTTACTTCATTATGCATCTATATAACAAACTTCTTCTATCATCTCAGATCTCAGAGCTCTATTTTTTGAGTCTTCTACTTAAGTACATATAAGACATTTTTATTTCCGTTTAACGGTGCCCCAAGCTTCGACTCCAAATAGTTGCAATAAACAACTTTTCTTCAATTCGACGTTAGTCGCTTCATTTTCATACCCATTACAGTCTGGTAGAAATAGGGTATATTTCATGTAACTCGGTTTATGTGAGTATGTGATCATGCTTAAAATTTATCTTATATATTTTTTGGCATTATAAGAATATGATTACGGCGAATAAATCATTATTTTAAATTAATTATTTTCGTAGTCCCAAGTCGAATGTTTATGATAAGTAAACACAAATATACCTGAAAACAGGGTAAATTCTAGTATATAACTCAACAGTAAAGCATTGTTGTTTGCTGTAATTAATAGTGGCTCATGTGCGGCAATTTAAATAGCCGCTAATTGTTACCACCGCCAAAGAAAACTGGTTTAAGCGCCAGGAAATGGTCAACAGTAGATGCTCGCTGCATTCCTTTAAATTTGTAATTTCGCTCTTAATGCTAGAGCATATTTCATTTGCATTTTGTGCTCATTTTTTACAGCTTGACTCAAATGCATAAAGAAGTGCGGATAAGATTCTCACGCATACAAACTCCTATATGCCTATAGGAACACGTAAGACTGCTCTAGTGGAAAGCGGTCGTCTTTGATTAGCTCTGTCCTTCTGGCAAAACGCTGCATACCACATGTAAACAAGTCAGAATATTATAGTGTGACAGACTAGATAATACTCGTTCTGGACCCAAAATAAATGTTTTCAAATATATAATATAATAATACCGACCATATCAGTTGTTAAACTTATAATTATAATTAGAAAATGTACTAAATGTAATATTCATATGTAGATCTAGGATCTCAAAATGCTGCACATAAATTACTGTTAATGTTCAATATTGCATGGATCTATAACTTGTTTGTTCCGCCCAAATCAGAAAATATTGATTTTGTAATCAAATTAGCTGTTAATACTTGTTTTAACTTGATAAAATGTATTTGTTATATGATATATATATATCATAGATCATAATCTTCATGTAATATATTTTGTTTAAAATTTGCACATCATTATTTTATTCATTTATTGTAAGAACTTTTTTCATTTAAAATGCGCAGTCTCAAATCGTAACAAAAAAAGAAAATTGTTAATGAGCTTAAATACATTCGATTTCAATTGAGCCTAGATCGATTAAATAGCAGCCGAAAAAACCCAGCAACAGAAACCCGTATACGAAAATACTTTCTACAAAGAAATCAGTCAGTTCTCACCCATCACCCCACTTGGCATAGCAAAAATATGCCCATTGACAGAATATTGACAGAAGCTATTTCACTTTTCGGGCGTCGACGTCGGCGTCGACGTTGGCGTCGGCGTCGGCATCGGCGTAGCAATATTCCCGTTACAGCAGGTTTGCCGCCTTTACCTTTGGATATGCTGTTGACTTTAGCATTGCCGTTGCCGTTGCCGTTGCCGTTGCTGTTGCCGTTGGCGTAAACGACTGCTGCAATTGCGCCATCTTCACACTCATACTTGCATGCGTATAAGCTTTGCGGCCAACAGACTGATTGGGGTTGGGCGAATGGACGGGAAGGCGCTGGGCAGGGCTTCCGTCCGTGCCAAAACTTTTGACTGCAATTCAATAAACAAACGGGATCATTAAATATTTCACCCGATTGGTAGTGTATGCTTGCTTAAGCTTTAGCGACTAGTGAGAGCGGACTTGTTTAATGCTGAGTGCAAGAATGCAAATGGATATTAAGAAGCGCCAAGTAGCAATGAGCGGACCAAGCGTGCCACCGTCAAATTCGGCAGAGCTCAGCGTTCACTGCCAGCAACAACAACTCGAACGCTCCGTCCAAGGTGTTTAAATGAATGTTGCCAGGATACAGGTGCCAGGTGAAGCCATTTTGTTATTTTTATTTGCTTTGACAGTCAGCACGTGAAACTCACAGCAAACGCTGCAAACTTTGAGTCGGGCCTAAACTTTACCTGGGCAACGTCGCAGATGCATAATTCAATTTTGTTGCGTTTGGCAGTCAGCCTCAGACAGTCAGCAACGGATGTTTATTTAAGTCATTTGTAAAATCCGTTCAAATGCGAATTACCTGAACGAATTGTAAACAAACCCAGTTGGAAAAGTTCGAAAATTCAGACCACAATGAAGCCATTCACGAACTTTAATTTCAACTTCTCTCCGGGACTCAAGTGCGAAGATTCTTACAAGCTGCCGTGTCGCTTAGTGGATAATTGTGCCCTTATATGCAGGCCGATTCAGAAGGAGGCTTTCAAAAGTTACCAGTTCTGCTCTTAGCCAGAAGTTGATATAAATATTTCGTCAAATGTGTATGTATGTCCACATATAATATAGCTGTACATTAAATTATTCTAAATGTATATTCTATATATCTATAAACATAAAGGAAGTAAGAGCAAATACAATCAAATTCACATTACAATTCTATAAAGGCATGCAAAATTCAGAGTTAGTAATATTTAGTAAGAATCTTATTCCTTATGCATTATAAGTTTTGTAAGATAACGTGACAGCTTATTTGGTCTGCTGCTGCTTAAAAATGGCTTAGCAAAATTAAAGTAATTGTGTTAAATGCCTTCACAGTCTTAGAAACACTTTAACTGGTTAATATTCTTGTGTTACGTTTTATGTGTCGTATTGATTTTATATTGCTCGATGGCGCCAAAGCGGATGAGATAAAAATAGTAAGTGAATTTGAAATACTTTAGGAGAGTATTATTTTCTAAAGTAAAGTACAACTGTAAGCATTGTAATTGTCACCAATATGTATAAACTGATTTTTCATAATTTGTCTGATTTAACATGATATGCATATCCGATAAGATGCATTCTTCTATAAATGCAATATGTCCGAATTACTAATTTGAGTAAATAAATTTTTAATTAATGTGCTATATACATTTGTGTAATTAATGATGTCTGGATTTCAGTGTGAGCATCTCAAAACCACAAATTCCAATCCGCTTTGAAGTTTTGAAAGATTTTCTGTTCAATTATTTTTATTTTTTTTTTTTAGTTTTATAATTTTTTTATAATCAATCAACTCTAACATAGAAATATGAAATGTTGTCTAATTAAAATCAAAATATATTCAAATTCAATTAATTAAATTAAAGCTATATACGAATGATTATTTTTGAAAATAATAACACAAAATGTGGGGAAAATAATTCGAAGCGCAATAGTCAAAGTGTAAAGGATAACTTAGTTCACTTGAATTAATTCCACAAATGTTTATGACCTATATTCCTTCGACAGCTGTGTTTAAAAATATGATCGGCTTGCTGCTTTAATTAATTTAACACACGCAAATCAAAGCGAAAGTACTT